AGCCCTCAAGTTATCGTCCCGTCAGCCTCCTCAGTGGCCTGGGGAAGCTCTACGAACGGCTATTATTAAATAGGCTTAAAGAGCACATATTTTCCAACGGCCTTCTGCCGGCGGAACAATTCGGATTTCGATCTAGACATTCCTGTCCCTACCAACTATACCACATAACGGAACACATCCTGAAAGGTTTAAATCATCCGAAACATATTAGCACGGGGGCTCTTTTTTTCGATGTCGCAAAGGCATTTGACAAGGTCTGGCATAACGGCTTGCTTTACAACCTGTACACACTCAAAGTGCCAGATAGGCTCGTACACACCATCCGGGTCTTCCTGTCGAACAGATCTTTTCGATATCGAGTTGAGGGCACCCTCTCCACAGCTTCACGGCAGGCGTTCCACAAGGCTCCTGCCTCTCACCCTTACTCTTTACGCTTTACACGACATACCCAAAGACCCCCATGTCGGCGATTTTCGCGGATGACACGGCGCTCTTTTACACAGATAAAAATCTCAATCAACTCACTACTCGTCTCCAGAGCGCCGCCGACCGCCTCGGCGATTGGTTCCGCAAATGGAGAATAGAAGTAAATCCGGAAAAGAGTGTGGCGATTCACTTCACACGGAGTACTTACCCGTCACATCTTTATAAGTGCCCTCGCCAATGCAGAAAGTTGGGGCAAATATCCCTTTATGGCCAACCTGGGAGGAAAAGGTCAAATACTTGAGTCACTTTCGTCTCGCGTATGTCATTTACTACGCACATTAATAACGTTCGTAATAGAGCTGTGTTCGTCTCCGGCCGGCTACACAATTTAACTAAAGCTAAAAGTAAAATGCCCTTAAGGCACAAATTATTATTATATAAGACCTGCGTACGGCCTATTATGTCCTACGCATGCAAGACCTTCGCCCACACGCACCCTACTCTCTTGTACAAGCTGCTAATAATATAAAATAAGACTAAGAAATAAATTGAAAATAGTGCAAAATGAGTTCATCCGCCGCGCAACCGGTGCTCAGTGGTATCAACGCAACGTCGACCTGCACAGCGATTGCAGAATCCCGATGATTCGCGAATATTTTAAAGACCTGACCAAACGGTTCTTCGATAGAGTCGAACATCATCCCAACCCTCTGGTGGTAAGCGCAGCAAATTACCAACCCGACACAAACGCGAACGTCAATAAGCGTCGCCCGCGAAACGTCCTCATCGACCCGGTCGAGGAAGTGGACTTAGATGATAATACGAGGCAAATTTATAAAAACAAAAAAGCGTTCCATGTTCCATCGCACGAGGAACTATTACAGCCTCCATTTTGCGTCTACATCTACAAGAAAACCACTAAAAATTGAACAATTTTTACTCGAATAATCGAAATAATCGAATATATTAATATCGAGTACAAACCGAAAAATTTTTCGGAATTTGAATGACTATAATAAATACGTTGAGAAATACGAAGTTCGTTGAGAATCCACCCATTATAAATTTTTTTGATAATCCATTGATTTTCAGTTTTCCAATTTTATCCATCATATCCATTGATATCTATTTTGATACAAATACAGATTTCTAATTTAAAAAGAAACAATTTTTTCGATTTATTTTATTGTTACGTCATAACCAAAAAGTACAACATTGCCATGCGTACATTGTAGCGTCACTAATTACGGAACTAGATTGGCGTGATTTGAATGACAGCTGTCACCCGCACTATGCTAAAACGCACGGGTTAATTACCATGGTAACCAATGATGTTTAATAAAATAGATGACGCATACCCATATTGCGCTGCGTTCAAAAATTTTTCCGTTTATGTAAAGCCTATATGACATAATTATACAGGTTGATTTTTAGACGAAGTACATACTTTGACATAATGGTAATGAGTATTCCATAATTTAAAAAAAATATTAATATTTTATTTTGACAAGAAATAATCGGAAAAATATAGATTCAAACGTTTTTTAGCGTGACTCTATTGATTAGTGGTTTAGTAATTATGCGTTCAGCGAAAAATTTTAGTGCTCGTCAAGAGGTTGTTGTATTGAGACGGTAAGGCAGGAATTTCTTAAGTGTCCAAAATGTTTGACAAAATTTAAATAAATGAAAAAAAAATGAGGTCACGAGTACGTACCAGATTCAGATTTAGTATCAAATTCTGCATATGTTCTGTTAATACTTATGTCCATCATCTATAAAATCACCCTGCAGAAGTAAATGTGATAGATTATATAGAACGTATAATACGGAAAGAGATAGCAGTCTATATCACCACTTGGCGTAACACTTGGCGCACTTGGTATATAATATCATTGCAAGGTCAATTAATTCTTCACCACTCATCCATAGTCCCAGCGCTACCAAATAGTCCAAATAGAACCCTTCGAAGAACAATGTTTACACGCAGAGATTGTCCTACTTATATCTACACTTCGTAGGTAGGGGGCCCACTTTCTTGAAGGTTGCCATCGCAACCGCATCAGCACCGGTCCATGGCCATGTTCCATGGCCTCAACGTAAGGTGAACTGCACACTCTTTGCCATAACAAAGAGAGTTTAAATTATATAAAACCAATAGAAAAGCCCGCTTACGTATTTTTTACGCATAACCGCGATCGAGAGATCGGTGTTGCAACACGAGGAAAACAGACGGGGAATAATGCGAAATTACACACCGCGAGCTAACGCGGCGTGAATTCGTTTGAAGAACTGCCGAAGAGCACGCTATTCTGTTTTTAAATTTAAATGTTGTACATACAACAATTAGTACCTGGAGGACCGAGATTTGCTCGGTTTGTTTTTTTTTTTTGGTAAATCGTGTATTTTGGAAATGACATTTAGATACAAATTACTAAGTAATGAAATATGCATAATATGTTTCGATCTTACCGACGTAATAATAAGAAAATATGAACTGGTGTTTTTCACAAAAGAAAGAACTTTAAAAAGAAAGCAATGATCTGGAATCGAAAAAAAGTAAAATAAAAGAATATATATATATATATATATATAATAAAGTAAGGTGCATTCGGCTAATTCCGTAAATTGGGATATTCTGATAATCACAATTTTTATTATGAAATACGGCAATAATTTTGTTCTGGCAACCTTCATCTACTGGAATTATATACAAGAATTGCTCGTTTAAAGGATAAGATTAAATATACATGTTAAATGTCAATATGACATTTACACGTATATTGACAAGTCAAAGTATTTTTATACTTTTTTGATGTTACAACGTTTCTTTCGGCGGGTCACCTGGCCTTGAATGATAACCGCCGCTCATTGACATTTTCAACACCCGTAGGGTTGCAAATGCTTCGCCACCTAGCTAAAGTGGGACCCGGCTATGTCACTGAGAAGACGAAACGCAGTTCTCCATTTCACCCCGGCGGTTAGGCGGTTACTTTATTTTAAAGTACTTTACCAGCCTCGCTATTTTTGCGGATTGATTAATTGTTATGATTAAAAGAAGTTACTTCATTAGTTATTTAACTGTGGTAGGGCCAGGCAACAGTGTTCGCTGTTTCACGAGTGGAGAGGTCCTTCCGTGGAAGTACAAGTGGATTAAATGCAATTGATAACGGTTTTATTTAAATAACTCGGTGAAAAATATAAAGTGAATTACATTTAATTACAACGTGTTAATGTAACTGTGTGTAAATCGCAACAATAGTTTCGAGTCGCATTTTAATTAATAAAAAAAATAACTAAATTTCACGAGACCTCCAAGTTGTGATGCAACTCAACGCAACCTCGCCTTTAAAGTATTTCACACGGTCGCGATGCGTCATTCTCGTGTGACGCAAGGTAAACAGTTTACTTATTAACGTAAACAAACGAATATGTCGATAACTAATTTTATTTTTAATGGGAAACTTTGCATTTTAGATAAAACATAAAATGTGTGGTTGATTGCTTTGAAAATTTTTCTACGCTGCCAGTCTTCGAATATGCGTCGAAGACGTAGGTGACGCAGCCAGACTCGCTAAAACAAACACTAAAACTATCCAAACTACGAAGCTAAGCGGTCGATAGCGTCATTGCTCCAAATGTATGTACAGACGCCCTGTACACGTCTTAAATCTGACAGCAACTTATAAAGAAATAAAAATAATTTTGTAGTGGACCGAATTGTGAACCTAAAACATTCCATATGAACATACACAAAGAATTTCATCAAAATCAGTCCAGCCGTTGAGGAGTTCAGTCACACACATAATAGGAATAGTATCCTTACTAATATTATAAACGCGAGTTTGTATGTATATCTGTCTTTCTGTCTACGGAGACGTAGTCGCGCGAGTGATAAATAATATAAGCTGTTTTTATTTCGAACTCCATAAGGTTATGGTAAAATAGTCTTCATTTGATCATTCATTTGATAACAAATTAAAAAATGATATTAATGACTGCAATAGCATAAATATGTATACGAATAAACTGAAGCAATATTTAACACAGTCTCAAGTGCCAATCTCAAGGTCAAGTTTAATATAATTTAAAAAAATCAAATCATTTAAAAAGTACGAAAAGCTTTTCGCTGCTATCGGAATCGAACCTACGACTTCGGTATCGCTTTAGCCTTTAACATAAAGTCTGATTGTCAAACCGACGAAAATATCAACGTCGTTTATCTACATTGTTTTTTTAGCATTTGAAGCGATGCTTGGTGCCTCCATTGTTATATCCTTTCCAGCATACAAACAATTTAGAATATCGTTTTACAACGATAATTCGAAGGAGAGATGTCGTCATTGCTTTTTAGAAATCTTAAATTTTTTATAATGCTAATCTCTGCAATTAAGATTGAACATTAAAATTTGTAGAAATAAGTACGAAAAAAGTACAAATTTTAATGTTTAATCTTAATTGCAGAGATTAGCACTTTAAAAATTTATTTAGAACTAAATTACTTTACTCCCATATCAATATAAAATGTCACGTAAAAAGTCTTGGAATCAAATTGATTACACTTGTTTTGTCCCCAGTGCGGCTGTGCATAGTTGAGGGCAGAGGGCCCTATAAACGAGGCGCCAAGTACTGTCCCGTACTCGACGAAGAGAACTCCGGTATAGAATGCGTTCTTGGCACGGACAGGTAATTGACCATTTACAAGGCTGCTAATCTAACTCCCTCTCTTTGTGTAATTTAAAAAATACCACGCAGTGTCTTCTCCTCCGTCTCTTTCTAACTCACACTGGTGGTAGGGCCACACAGCAGCCTCGGCTGTTGCACGAATGGGCAGGCTCGTCCGGTTTATTACCACAACTTGACAGAAGACAGGCGTGAAGTAGACGTCTTAAACTTCTGCGTTTCGTCTGCTGTCTGAGGTGGCCGGGGCCCGCTTTATTAAATGGCGGCAACGTATCTGCAACCCTACGGGTGTTGCAAATATTCACGGTTATCACTTGACATCAGGGAACCGCCAGCTCGCTTGCCACGTTCTAACATAAAAAAAAGAACTTAATTTTTTATGGAGCTAATCTCTACACGTAAGATGAAGCATTAAAATTTGTAGAAAAAAAAAGCACGAAAATTTTCCCAATATTTTTCTACTTTTTCTACATATTTTAATGTGCAAAGATTGGCACTATAAAATTTTAAATTTCTAACAGCAATGGCGACATATCTCGTTCGAATTGTCGTTGTAAAACGATATTCGAAATTTTTCGTATGCTTCGAAGATGCAACAATGGATGCGCCGAGCATTGCTCATAACGCAATCGGGACCGCCAGCTCGTTTGCCGCTTTCTCACATAAAAAAAAAGAATCCACTTCACGCCGGTCTTCCGTGTGGTACTAACATCGTCGAACCGATTCGTCCGCAGGCTGGACTGTCTCCGGCGCATCAGCAAGGGCACCGTCGACTTCGGCGTATTCAGCCCCGAGGACCTGGTGGCGGCGCAGTGGGCCAGCGTCGACGTGCTGGTCACCGACGAGATACGCCACAGGGACAGTGAGTGCGCCGCTCTGGGCTATAGCTAGAAAACATGCAGCCAAACAAACGTTGCGTATTAAAATTTGCAGAAAAAGTACGGAAAGTTTGTCGCCGCTGTGGGAATCGAGCCCACGTCTTCGGTTTTCGCTGCCTGACGCCTTAGCCACAAAGCTAAACGGTTATTGCCACACCGACGAAAATCTTAAACAATCTTTTCGTACTTTTTCTGCAAATTTTAATGTTAAATCTTAAGCGCAGTGATTAGCACTATAAAAAAATTTAAATTTCTAAACATTGGATATCTTGTCAGCGTGACAATTTCTAGACTAACGCCCGGTTTCTTAAACACTGACCATTCTAGAAGTTAACTGATCGTCGTAGACTTATCGCAGAGGCTGTTGACAATAGGGCTAGTCTTTTCTCGCTAAAAGGTTAAGCGTAACTAATAAGTTAAAAAAAAATTCACAGTCATGTCCCATTGATTACTATATTGGTTAAGTAACGCCCGGTTTCTTAAACACTGATCGTCGTAGAAGTTAACTGATCAGCTATCAAATGGCTTTTCAAATGTCATGTGAGTTGCCCAAAAGGATGGTTAAACTCTTTGAATTGATTATTCTGATTATTAAGATCATTCTGATCAATTCAGAGATTTGGACCATCCGTTTGGGCAACTCAAATGACATTTGAAAAGCCATTTGATAGCTGATCAGTTAACTTCTACGACGATCAGTGTTTAAGAAACCGGGCGTTACTTAACTCAATATAGCTACCTAATCAATGTAAGACATGACTGTGAATTTTTTTTTAACTTATTAGTTACGCTTAACCTTTTAGCGAGAAAAGACTAGCCCTATTGTCAACAGCCTCTGCGATAAGTCTACGACGTAAACCTATAAAGATATCGATATACGTACTCCATGGATCTAAAGCTTCAACAGTAAACGGCACAAATACATCTGAACAAAGAGACTCACATTTGCAACTCCGATGCCGTCCAGGTCCTAACCTAATCGCTCCTCAAATGAGGAGGGAGCGAGGGCTTTGCCTCTCTTATATTCTCGCTGAAGACGTAACATTCAGACTGAAAGGCAGATATACATAAAATATGTATATAAATTCTAGCCTATGTCTTATTCTGATGTATAAGCTATATTATTGTAAAGTTTCATTAAAATCCATTCAGTAATATTTGCGTAAAAGAGTAACAAACATCCATACATACAACCGCCTTTATAATATAAGTAAGGATAGTAAGTAAGGATACTGTCTTGTTATATATATAGTTTTGTACGAGAGCTAGCAACGTCTGGAAAACAAGAATTTCTAGTAGACCAATTTTGAGATACGCTATCTCTCCACTCTCCCGGACGTCATACGGGCTATCTCCTATATCCGGGAGAGTGAGAGAGATAGCTTATCTAAAATCTGGCCTACCTGAAATTCTCATTCTCTTAGACTATTATATTCGCAGGGGAGTTCGAGCGAAGCGTGGTGGCGGTGGTGAATAAAAGGATTTTGCCCGACAGCGCCGCGCCCCTCTCTTCGATTCTACGGAACAGCTCGCTGTGCCATCCAGGCGTCGGGGTTGACGACCTCCGTCCTCTGAGCGATACTCTAGCCGGGGTGAGTTCTGGAATATTCCTAGCACACAGCTGACGACAGGTTTCACGCAAGCCGCACGCAGTGCCTACGAGATGGTGCTTTACTTTTTGACGTACTGTACTCTTGTTTCGTTTTTAATGGGCGGTTGACAAATTCAAATGTTTATTTTCTAAAAGGAAAAGAAATGTTTATTCGATGCATTAAAAAAAGCTTGTGGTATTTTGTACATTAAAAAACTAGCACATGTGAATTATGTTGTAAGCGGGTTTGGCCATGTTTATCACGACGTCAACCCCCCTTGGGAAATAAACACCCAGATCCGGAAGAATTATCTGTGGGTCACATAAATACTAGGATGGAACAAATTAGTATGGCGGATGTTGTCGTACAGTCACTAATGGTCATGTATTTTAAATATATATCTTGATATGTATGTATTTATAATATATATATGTATATATGTTTAGATTTTAGTATTGTATATGATGTGTTACATAAATCTTTTTTTATATACAATATCTTGTATATTCTGGAGCTTATATGATGTGTACTGCATATGTTATAATTTGTTAAAGTAGTCACATAAATTCAAATTGCAATTTCATTTATTGCATCTACCACGATTTCTCCTCACGCCCCGAGTTGACTCGAAGAGAGTAATGTGTTTTCAATAAAGAATAAATAAATAAATAAAATGAATAAAATAAATGACGAAGTTAACAATAGCAATCCATCGACCTCCCGCACATTTGCACAGGTCGACACTCCATCTATTGGGGGGTCGTCCCACACTGCGATGGCCAGTACGAGGCTGCCACTCGAGAACCATTCTTCCCCAATAGCAATAACAAAATGTAATTCCACATTCGCAGTACTTGGAGTCGTTGGTGATAAGTAGGTCCTGCGAGCCGGACCTCTCGCTCTCGGAGAACAGGATCAAGGCGGTCGCGGACTTCTTCGGCAGGGCCTGCAAGGCCGGGCCTTGGGTGCCGGATGGCGCTCGGGACGCGCAACTCAGTGAGTGGTAACAACACATCGTGTTGTTACAACCGCGACGTTAAATCAACACACTTGCCGATGATCATAAACAAAATACAAACTTAAAAATAAATACACAATTAAAAAAATTTTTTTTTCGATCGAATTAATAAAATAGAAAAGAAACAAATTTGCAACATCCTGTACAGCTAAAACTGACTGATTCATACATTCAGAGATACCCTTCATTCATTGCCTATATTTGTGTACTTGTATTTGTATTGACCCGTATCAAGTATTCAAGTCGTGATATCCCAACACAAGGAAAATACTACATTCAACGCACAATATTTTCCAAGTAGTGGGGATCGAACCAACGCCCTCTGGTGCGAGAGGCGGGTTCACTACCCACTACGCCATTCGGGTCGACTTTGTATTACTTATTTGTGAGAGTTTCGTACCCAAAGGGAACAACGGGGCCCTATTACTAAGACTGCTGTATGTCTTTTCGTCCGTCTATCACCAGGCTGTCTCTCATGAACCGTGATAGTTAGTCAATTGAAAATATTCACAGATGGTGTATTTCTGTTGTCACTATAACAACAAATACACAAACAGAATAAAAAATAATTAAGTGGGGCTACCATACAACAGACACGATATTTGCCGTTTTTATATATAATTTAAATCCTCGTCTTAAATCCGACAACTTATAAATAAAAAAGAAACGAATTGTGAATCTAAATCATTCTCGAATAAACCCTTTAGACACACAAAAAATTTCATTAAAATCGATCCAGCAGTTTAGGAGGAGTTCAGTGACATAAACACGTACAGAAGAATTAAGTATATATACAGGATGATTTTATAGACGACTTATTAACAGAGCATATGTAGAATTTGATTCTAAATCTGAATCTAGTACGTACTTGTGTGTCATTTTTTTTAAAGATTATTTTTAATTTTTCAAAACATTATGGGGGTGTCCATAATGTTTTTTTTATATATTCCTGCCTTACTACCTCAATACAATAACCTAGCCGCTGATCTCAGTGTGCCGTTGCTGTTCGCTGTTTGATTTTGTCTTAAAGAATAAAAGTGCTGGCCGTTTTTCGTTTTATACGTAAGGATGTTCTAAAAACGTTAGTTTTGGAAAATTTTATAACTCGGTAAATACTGATGTTTAAATTTATCCTCTTCCTTACCTTAATATACAGGTATAATAGTTTTATTCTAGCTTATTCTATTCTTAGTGTGATTATCAACAGTATTCTCGTTTCTGTCACCCGCAGAGGCGAAATATCCGTCGCTCTGCGCCGCGTGCCGCACCACGTGCTCAAAGTCGGACCGCTACTGGGGCGATGGGGGCGCCCTCGCTTGTCTGGCGGAGGGCGCCGGTGACGTCATGTGGTCGGAGCTCGATGACGTCATAGCCTACTTCCAGGTGAGCCACCGAGTGCAATAGGACGGCCTATGGCCAGATATGTAAGTAATTGAGTCGGCAGTCCGGCAACATTTTAAGGGTTCCGCACCCAAAGGGTAAAACGGGACCCTATTACTAATACTCTACTCTCTATCAGTCCGTCTGTCACCAGGCTGTGTATGTATCTCATGAACCGTGAAAGTAAGACAGTTGAAATTTTAACAGACGATGTATCTCTGTTGCCGCTATAACAATAAATACTAAAAAACAGAATAAAAAATGTTTACGTGTTCCCATACAAGACATAATTTTTTTGCCGGTTTCATAGATAATGGTACGGAGCCCGCGTGCGCGAGTCCGGCTCGCACTTGGTCGGATTTTTTTTAAGTGAAGGCGGCAAGCGTGCTGGCGTATCACCTGGCGTTAAGTGATAACCGCTGCCCATCGATATACTTACTCACTAGTTAATTGTTACGAACGACTTGTTAACTGTTACTTAGACGTTGTAACGAACTGTTACGTCACGCCCATTGGCCACGTAACAGTACGTTGCGGCACGAATAGGCAGGTCCTGAGAATTGCAGAAGACTGGCGTGAAATGGAAGTGTGCTTTGTGTGGCGATAGCCGGGGCCCACTTAATTAAAAGGTGACGACGCATCTGCAACCCTTCGGGTGTGACAAACATCCACGGGCGGTCATCACTTGACGTCAGGTGAACCATCACCCCGCCTGCCTCCTCGCATATAAAAAAAAAACAACCACGGCGTGTAAGTGTCTGGTGATCCACGAGCCGAAACCTCAAGTCTTGAATTCCGCCGCAGCTGAAGGTGGCCCCCACGGCCGGCTCGCTCTCGACGGACCACTTGGCCTACCTTTGTCGCGACGGCACCTGGCAACCGCTCGCTAACAACACGCAGCCCTGCGTATGGCTCAACAGGCCGTGGCCGGTAGTGGTGGCCAAAAGGTAATTACTAAAAACGACAAAGAATTGTGTTGCCATAAATTATATACCAATACGAGTAATGATAATAAAGTTTATTTACTTTTAGTTATAGTTTTAGACTTGGTGCTAATACATAATAATGTTACAAAAATGATGTTCAATAACTTGAGGTGCACTGGGGACGCGTTTCACGTGACGTGCGTAAATTTTACTCTAAATTCTCGTCCAATAATCAAAATCAAATCTTCGCCTCAGAAGTTGAACTTTAATAAAAATAAATAAATCTTTTTTCCTTTTTTCATAAATGTCATACTAAGCTTAACGCATACAAAGTGCATGAAATACATGCGCTCCATTCCAAATTGTATTAATAAATATTAAAATATTAAATATTAATTATTCATAATGATGAACGCATCCATCGTAACGTGCAGGAAGGCGGCTGCAGCGGTAAGCGCTTTAGTGAGCACGATATCGAGCAACGCCGCGGCCGTAGACCCGCACTGGCGCGGCGCGCTCGCAGCGCTGCTCGAGTTGCGCGCAGCGCCGAAAGCGCTGCGCCCGTCGAGAGTCCCGCTCGACCATCTGGCCACGGCGCGCGGATTCCGCGAGGCGTACAGCCAGAGCGGCTGCGACCCGCCGAGGTAATGTGAAATGTTTAAACCTTTCTTTTTCAGTATATATGTCTAATCTATGGTTTAAACTAAAACTAACAGCCTATCCATATCCCACTGCTGGGCAAAGGCCTCCGCTGTACGGAGCATTAGGGCATAGTCCACCGTGCGGCCCCGCTGCAGATTGGCGGACTTCACATATCTTCGAAATATTTTTTTATTTAGAAAGTATGCAGGTTTTCTCACGATGTTTTCCTTCACTGCTGAGCACGTGATAAGACGGCACTTAAAATTAATAATGTCATTTTTGCCGGCACCGGGGTTCGAACTCAGGTCGCTAGAGTATATTAAATTAAAGGCGAGCGCCCGGACACTGAGCTATCACTATCACTTATTATCATTTGACCTATATTGACATTAAAAACTGAGTAATAACAGCTTTTTAATTGATATTTTTTATTCGGAAGACATATAACCGTCTGCACGAAGTCACTGCTGGAGAAGAACAAATGCGAATGGCTGAGCGAGGCGGGCGCTGTGTACGGCATCACGCCGCCTGTGCAGTGCACGATTAGAGAGAGCGAGCGCGATTGCATGGACAGCGTGCGGAAAGGGGACAGCGATGTCGTCATCGCTGACAGCGACTGGCTTGTGGCGGGAATGCGGTAAGATTGATATGAATAACGATTTTTTTACATACAAATACTTGATGACTCCGTGGCGCAGTCGCTAAAGTATTGGCTTCGGCGTCGGGGGTCGTGGGTTCGATTCCCACACGGGACAATTATTTGTGTGACCCATAGAAAATAGATGTTTCAAATCTGATTGTTTGTCCACGTGAAATTTATGTTTATAAAACGTCCTTACAACACAAGATAATGTTATCCTAAACTAAGGGCAATGTTTAAAAAAAAAAAATAATGAAAATAAAGTGATTAAGTTTGTGATTTTAAATAAATAATAACTAACGTAATAAATAATAAAAAAAAACATATTTATAAGATGAAGTAAAACGCGATTACACATTACTTAACGAAACTATACGGATTTATCGCGACAACTCCGTTATTTATCGCGACAGTTTCTCTTACGAGCAACAGTAAAATATGATCAGATGTTGAACTATTTACACATAACCAATAACTAATAACAGCAACCCATTTCAGGGATTACTCCCTCACTGCGGTCCTGCACGAGGCGACGCCGATAGTCGAGAAGGCCGGCACGGTGGTCGCGTACGCGCGGAGGGGCGCCATGTTGGAAAAGATGGCGGACCTGCGCGGCAAACGGGCCGCGTTCCCGCGCTTCGACGGGCTCGCGTGGCACTCGGTGGCGCGTTACCTCGCCGACAGGCTGGGGGTGCCCTGCGATCGCTTCGTCGGCTTTTTCGGCGAGGTGTGCGCGCCCGGCATCGTGGGCAGCGACGCTCCGCAGGAGACTGTGGAGCTGTTGACGAAGGGCTGCCTGAAGGGCGGAGCGGGATCGAGCGACGAGCTGACCGCCCTGCGATCGCTGGTGGAAGGGAGGAGCGACGTCGCGTTCCTCAGCATGAAAACGTTTAACAAATACAAAGGTAGGAGGTTCTTTGATTTGTTTCAGTTATCAATATCCATGTGTTCGTTTTAAATCATAGATTTTAGATCCCTACCCCCGTTTTCTGAAACACCGATCATCGTAGAACTTAACTAATCAGCTGTCAAATGGCTTTTCAAATGTTATTTAAACTCTTTGAATTGATCATTCTGATCAATTTAAAGAGTTTAACCATCATTTTGAAAGTTATTAAATTTGAAAAGCCATTTGACAGCTGATTCTTCTACGATGATCAGTGTTTCAGAAACCGGGCGTAAGTCTGTGTTTTAAATACTTCTAGTCTAGTAATGCAGCTAGAATCAAATTTATGTTAAAACCTTTTCGATACAAACGATTGCTTTATGACGTTACATGTGTTCCAAAAGACGATGCAATTTATTGCAATATAATAAAATATATAGTATAAATATAAAACAAATTTAAATCCATTTGTTCGCAGCAAACATAATTCACGAGCCCTGGGCGCAAGCCGGCGTTGAAATAGCACCAATATGCCCCGAAGAAAACAAGAAGTACTGCTTCATCAGCTGGTCGAACCTCGGCCACATCTTCGCGTCCAGCAACAGCTCTCACATGCGGCGACAGGAAATTATCAACGTGTTCACGAAACTCGACCAGCTGTTCGGCAAACACCAGCCCTTCCACAACGCCATGTTCTCAATGTACGGCGCGTTCAACCACAAAATGGACGTGCTCTTCCACAACAACACTAAGGGCCTCGCGACGGACGCCATGCTCAATATGTATCCGTACGACAAGATCCCGCTCAGTTTCGAGCGCGCTTTGTCGAATGTCAAAAATGACGCCTGTCAAACGGCCGATCTCGTTTTCAGTTCTAGTTTTAGTGCGGCACCAATATTCTTGATCTACGTCGCGTCACTAGTCCTGTGTATGTTAAGTAGTTAAAGATTATAATAATTAAAAAAATATATATGGAAAATAAATGTATATAATGATCTTTTCTCAATTACTACACCTTACCTCTTGTTTAAAGTAGTGTTTCATGTGTCTTGACTGGAAAACTTTCTACAAAAATGATTTTTTTATTGAGAGAAGGTGGCAAATAATCTGGAAGTGATAGATGCGTTGCTACCTGTGGGCGCCGGCTACCTCACTCACCAGACGAAACGAAAAAGTGTTACTCTTCCACTTCACGCCATTCTTCTGTAAGGTCATGGTACTTACCCAGACGTGTCTGCCCCTTCTTGCAATAGAGAAGACTATTGCACGGTCCTAGCATGATTAAACACTACACTATGAGTTCAATAAACGACCGGAATGACGCTATTAGTAACATAAGACAAAGACCTGAAGTTAACGATAATTGATGTAGTGAAGTATTAATTTTACACTTTAACGCAAACGGCATAGGGGTCTGAAGGATGAAATAGGAAAAAACGTACATTATAATTGCAAAAATACCTATGCCATTATTTAACAGATATTTTTCTAGTGCATAAAAAAACTGCACACATTTTTCGCTGTTAATACCAGTGAGTGCTACTTTGTACTAACTTCTGTTTAGATTCTATCGCTAATTAGAATATCCTTAAAGTAATGACTAAACCTCGGGTAGTTTAGTATAATCTAATATATAAAATTCTCGTGTCACGGTGTGTGTAGTTGAACTCCTCCGAAACAGCTCGATCGATTTTCGTGAATTTTTGTGTCCATATCGGCCAGGGTGGAGAATCGTACAACTATTTTTCATCCCCCTAAACGTTAAGGGTGGTCTACCCCAAACACTTTTTTCTACCCTACAAATAATTTATATGGCAAAACAACGTTTGCTAGGTCAGCTAGGTCAGCTATGATCTATAATAATGATATATGATAAACCTATAATCCATAATAATGATAAACCTATGTCCCTTCGTATTACTTGATTAACAGAATCTTAATTGTAGCACGCAGTATCCAAAGATGACACCCAAGAATTTCACATCATCTCTTACAAGAATTTTATACTGATTTTCATAAAATATGTTGACATGAGGAGAAGCCCTTCGTTTAGAGAAGACTCTAACGATGCTCTTGGGGATAGATAGTGATAAACCATGGTCATTGTGCCATTCGTAGTATATCAGAGAAGAATTAATATTCGAACTCCGACAGGTTGATCTTGAAACTATATAAGGCATCAATCATTTTCATATTGTAAAATTTTACAAAAAGGATTAACTGATAATTCAAGGTCATATCTTAATAAATAAAAATAAATGTTGGTAAACGCATAACTCAAGAATAGCTGTACCAATTCGGCTAATTTATTTTTTGTATGTTCCTTAAGTTCCACGGAATATTTTAATACTATAATAAAAAATAACGAAGTCAGTCCAGGCAGCTAGTCTATAAATAGTATAAAGTAAAGGACTTATGACTGAACCTTGAGGAAGGCCCTCTCAAATTACTCTAGGGGAGAGTAAACAATTTCTGAGACTAATAATGTTGGATTTAGAAAAGAAAGTAATTAGAAATTAAATTAACTATCTTCACTGATACCAGTGAAGATAGTTAATTTCATCTCTAATTACTTTTTTATATATATTTCATATTACATATCTTTCTTATATATAGTATACACTCACCTCTAGCAGTTTTTGCCTGAGTACAGGAAGTATAACATTATAATCGGCGGCTGAGATGTATAAGAAGACTCCAACCAGATATTTAGTCTTACAGATGGCAATTTAGGTATCTGTAACAAACATACTAAGGTTATCCATGGTGCTGCTTTTCTAAACCCGAATTGGCTCTAAGCTAAAACCATATGCCATACGTTTATGTAATATACTCTGGTTAACTGTCAATGTCATTGTCATATCATAATGACATTAATAAAAATTTAAAACAAAATTATAAATATGTCAATCGAATGTATATTGTATTCCCGCGCTGTAGAACTTTTCAAATAGATGATAAATTTAATATATGAGCTATTGATCTTAAAATGACTTCAACACAGATAAACAGTTTTCTACAAGCTTTAGAAGCCGTTAAGCAAGATTATACATGTGGTGTTTGTTTAGAAATGTGCAAAAAACCGGTTACATTGAAGACATGTTTTCATTTAATTTGCGAAGAACACCTCGATAACATAGATAAATGCCCTAGGTGTAAGAAACCCCTATTAGATTCAACCGTGTTTAAAGATGACCGTTTGGAAGCATGTATCGAGTCTGCGAAAGAGCTCGATAAAATATTTGCTCCGTTTAAGAATGACACCAATGTCTTGCAATCATCTAATGTTGACAGCATTAGCAGCAATGTAAACAAAAAGAAAGGCACTATAAAACCCGCCGCATCGAAAGCCGACGATAAAGAAAACAGCAAAACCTCAGCTCTGTCCAAGAAGAAAGTTATTAATCAAAATCCCAACATGTCACTTTTATCAGCCGCTAGCAGTTCAAAACACAATAAGACCAACGAAAAACGTAATAATAAGGGTGAAACTGCCCTACACGTAGCTTGCCGTCTCTGTAAAATAGATAAAGTTGTTGAGTTGCTGAATGAAGGCGCGAATCCGAACACGAAAGACAATGCTGGCTGGACACCTTTGCATGAAGTGGTGCAAAATGGCAGGCTTGATTTGGTAAAGATATTGCTGCAACACAACACCCTCGTCAACGTTCCAGGGCAGGGCAATGAGACTCCCCTCCATGAAGCAGTCAGGTACAATCATAGAGATATTGTCGAAGAGCTGGTCAGGCATGGCGCTGATTTGCACGCTAGAAATAGCAAAGGTGAAACACCTACCGAACTAGCGTCTACCGAAATCAAGCGCATATTGGAAACTGCAGCTGAAAATTTACTGCAAACCCAAGGAGCGAACGTCACTCACATATCCCACTTGCAAACCGAACTTGACTTTGAAGATATAAGAATTTACTGCGTATCTCAATACCGTACTGTGCACAACAAACTGAAGTCTCTCGTGAAACATCATAGCAACTTACACATAGAAGCAAAATTTACGAAAAAGGTGACACATTTGATAGTTGACACTGAAGACGAGGGTATCTGCACACCTAGTTTAGATGTCCTGCAAGGTATAGTATACGGTATATGGATTTTATCTTCGCAATGGGTTACTGAGTCAAATGAAGACATCTTACAACAGTTTAATACTTACGAGGTCAAAGGGGTAGGCACAACAAAATTCAAAGGGCCCGAGAATGCAAGATTTAACAAGTACAAACAACTCCCTGGCCTTTTCAACGGCTGTCATTTCTATTTGCACAACTTTAACACAAAATATGAAATTTCTAAAACAATTGTATTGAACAAGACCATATTGAGTAAACTAATAACCGATGCCGAAGGCGTTGTGCTTAGGCGGGTTCCAAATCCCGAATCTATACCGGAGTCAGAGAAACTAGTTCCCTATCATGCTAAAAAGGGTAGCAAATTAGAGATTTGCTCCCACTATATTATATTCAAAGATATGTACGAACCAATGTACAATATGAGACACTTTAAAGCCTTACCTATAGGCTGGTTGATGGAATGTATTGAGAAATATGAACTATGCGAGCCAGAATAATCATATATATCTATATTTGATAATTTATCCCATCCATCATCGTATGTAAATACATTTTTGCTTAAAAAAGTTAATTTGGTTATTTTAATAATGTTTTTTAAATAGATAGGGGAATCAAATTGAGTTTTTTATGGTCTACATTTCCATGGTATAATTGTAGTTTGAAATTCAGCCAACTTTTCTTAATTGATTAACCAAGCAATCTAATTCTGCTTTTAAATAAGGGGAATATATATTATAAGGGAATGATTGTTCACCTGGTGTGATATGAACTCTATACATAATATATTCAACAAATAAACACACAGACAGACAAATTCTGAAGCTAGTAGAACATGAAAAGTATCGGATATATTGTCTGTATTAAACTATTCATTAGCTGTATATTATAAATTATACTACTTTTATATCGTAAGTATATACAGCGTGTCGTTACCATCGCGACAATAAATGAACACACGTCTAACCCTACTTGCCAATAATCATAAAAAAATATTAACGTTAAACAAAATTCACAACTAAAAAAAATATATTTTTCAAACAAACTGATGAAGTAAAATGAAACAAAATTTGTAACATCCTATACTACTCGCGCCACAGCGTCGCATTACAAGCCTCTCCTTCTAACAGTATGTTTTGTTTTTTTAAAATTCATTCAACCCATTCATATGCTTTGTGACCTTTACCAATGAACTTTACGTCACAGTTTTATACGTAAGGATGTTCTAAAATTCTTTATTTTTGAAAATTTAATAACTCTGTAAATATTGATGTTTAAAGAATGTAAATGTTTAATACAATTTTAAAAAGTTATCCCCTATATGTGTGTTCATTTATTGTCGCGATTGTAAAGACACGCTGTATAATATGTCGATGAGAAAAACTTTTTTTTTACTAACTAACTTTAATATCACTCCTAATTCCTTAACCAAAAATGTCGCCTCTTAAAAGTTTGATATGAAGTAATCTTAATAATATGTTTACTATGTTAATTTTCTTTTCTTTTGCATATGACCACAATATGATTGATGTTTTTATGATAATTTATCCTATTTATTTATTAATTATTAAACATTGATAAGGCTAGTTTACAATTAAATCCGTAAACTATAGGTTTTATTGATTTTTTCAAAATAATGATTCAACAGATACCATATATACATTATATACGGTATCTGTTGAATCATTGTTTTATTTATGGAAGTCTTAATTTGTTACTAAAGTCTCATTGAATATAATTATTAAAATATGTTCTTATACATTAGCTAACATTATTTAAGTAACAATTGTTTAATTTCTCACTTATATTACTGATAAATTTGAAACTTTGTTTATTTTTCATTAATTTTGTACTCTCATATAAGTATGTTTCCAGTAAATCCAGTTATTAAGCATCTCAAACAATTGATTCAATTTAAAATTATGTGCTGTAGTGTTATTGGAATTTCTTTGAAACATATATTATAGTTGTATAGCAATATACCATTACAAACCTTAATAATTACAGATTGTGATCAACAAGTGATTTTAATTAATTTATATGGTTACAATGTAATTGTAATTGCCTTAGTTGTATGTTATAGTGTATCTTATGTTCAAATATATTTTTATAATGACAAAGCATTATTTATATTCAAAAAACTTCTAAATTAATGAATTACGGTAAAAAGTAAAGTTAATTTAGGAATATCTTATTTCGTGAGATATTTTTACATCAACTTTGCTTTATAATGTAGGTGATGATTTTCATACGAATTTTGTGAAATTACACTTTCCACAGATGCGAAAGCCTGGAATGGCTCATTTGACTGAGATTTTTATTTTAATACCGAAAACTGCTAGGGCAAGTTAAATCTGTTTGAATGGGAGTGTGGTGATCATTTATTCCATATTGTAGGGTTTTTGGTGCTCCAAAATGCATTACAGTTGATGTTGTTTCCTAATAACACTCTTCTTGTATCTTGTATTAACTGATGTTTTTGCTTTCAGTCCCGAGACTATTAAAGCTTCATCTGACGCAGAACCGGTGGGCTAGTCAGTACCCACGGGTTTGGGCCCTCCGCTGTGGGTAGGGCCACGCATGTGCTCATGCGTGCGTTAAACTATGGTGTGTCATCTAAGGGCCATCGAGGTCGTGGTTCGGACCGAAACCCCGATGGCCGTCGACTGTGCAATTAGCTAATCGGTGGCTGGGGGCGGTGAGAACCGCCCTGGAACGCGGGTGTACCTTGTGTACGCGTTGTGTTTTGGTCTCGCCGTGCTCGGAGGCGAGGGCGAACTAGTGTGTTTGTTGTTGCACTAACTGTGGGTGTAGTGTTGTCCGGCGGGACCCCCGGTAGTGGGTCCGGCGTGTCTAAGTCCCCTTCCTCGACCGGGTCGATTAGGACGTTTCGCGGGCGACGCTTGTTGACGTTCGCGTTTTTGTCGGGTTGTTAATTTGCTGCGCTTACCACCAGAGGGTTGGGATGATGTTCGGCTCTATCGAAGAACCGTTTGGTCAGGTCTTTAAAATATTCGCGAATCGTCGGGAGTCTGCAATCGCTGTACAGGTCGACGTTGCATTGATACCACTGCGCACCGGTTGCGCGACGGTGAACTTATTTTGTACTATTTGCAACTTGTACAAGCGAGTAGGGTGCGTGTGGGCGAAGGTCATGCATGCGTAAGACATAATAGGTCGTACGCAGGTCTTATATAATAATAATTTGTGCCTTAAGGGCATTTTACTTTTAGCGTTAGTTAAATTGTGTAGCCGGCCGGAGTCGAACGCGGAACTATTGCGAACGATATTAATGTGCGTAGTAAATGACATACGCGAGTCGAAAGTGACTCCTAAGTATTTGACCTTTTTCTCCCAGGGGAGCGGTTGGCCATAAAGGGATATTTGCCCCAACTTTCTGCATTGTCGAGGGCCATTATAAAGATGTGACGGGTAAGTACTTCGTGTGAAGTGAATCGCCACTCTCTTTTCGGGATTTACTTCTATTCTCCATTTGCGGAACCAATGGCGAGGCGGTCGGTGGAGCTTTGGAGTCGAGTGGTTAGTTGACTAAGGTTGCGGTCTGAGTAAAAGAGCGCCGTGTCATCCGCGAAAAGCGCGAGATTGACGTGGGGGTCTTTAGGTATATCGCTCGTATATAGTGTAAAGAGCAAAGGTGAGAGGCAGGAGCCTTGTGGTACGCCAGCCGTGCGGCGGTGGGTTGTGGAGAGGGTGCCTTCAAATCGATATCGAAAAGAGCGGTTCGACAGGAAGGTCCGGATGGTATGTACGAGCCTGGCTACAGTGCAATTACCGTTTGTAATAAATTAAGGTGCCTTCGAGATGGTTTGCTAACCGGTCGTGGCGGACTATGTTGTAGTTTGCGATTCTGGGATCGCGTACGATAGGTTTTAAGAATGTCTCTTGCACTAGAAAAATATCTACATTATAATCGCGGAGGAATTCCGAGATTTCGTCCCTTTGACCCTTAATGCCGTTTGCGTTAAAATACGAAACAACCAGAGCCCGAGGCTTTGATCTACCTGCGGTTGTACTTTCCATAAAAGTTTTTTAAAGTTTCTAATTAACGACGCGGCGGAGCGCGGTTTTATTGCGCGGACTATAAAGTTTACGGCTGGCTAGTAAACACCCAGAGGGCGTCTACAAGTGTTTTATGGTCGCGAATAGCTGTGAGACGCTCGAGGCCAGATGTGGCGGACCGCGATCTGCAAACCTTCTTGCACCTTGTTTCTTGCTTGATCCCCACTACTGGAAAAATATTTTGCGATGAACATAGTGTTTTTCTAGTATCTGGTTGTTTATACATATATCTATGATATGTATTTGTTTACAAAAGAAAATATATTTAAGTATGTTTATCAGTTATCTAGTGCCTATAGTACAGTCGTTGCTTAGTTTGGGACTAGAAAACGTTGTGTAAAAATGTGTCCTGACCTGAAATATTTTTTTTTGTTTTTTTTAGTAGAGTACACCTTGCGAAGAAAATTAATTTTCCATTTTTAAAATTGGAACACTTCTTTTTGAAATTTTTTTTTTATTTGGTAATTTTTTTATGCGAAAAGATGTCAAACGATGAGACGGTTCCCCTAATGTTAAGTGAATACCGCCGCCCATGGATATCTGCCACACCCGAGGGTTACAGATGCGTTGACAACCTTTGGAAAATTGGGCTCCGGCTACCTCACTCACCAGACGAAACGCGAAAGTATTTGTCATACTTCCACTTTACGCTGGTCTTCTGTGAGGTCGTGGTACTTACCCGGACCGGCCTGCGCATTCGTGCAACAGCCGAGGCTGCTGCGTGGCCCTACCACCGAAGAACATTCGTATAACTGATGTTACGTATATTAACACCCAGACACTAGAAAAATACTATGTTCATCACACAATATTTATCCAGTAGTTGGGATCGAACCCACACCCTCTGGCGCAGGAGGCAGGTACACTACCCACAACGCCATTCGGGTCGTCAAAACTTCATCGAGCGCAGAACCGGTGGGCTAACCAGAACCCACGTGTTTGGGGCCCTCCTCAGTAGGGAGGGCCGCGCATGTACGGCCCCAACGGCCGTTGACAGTGCTTGGTTAGTCGGTGGCTGGGGGCGGTGAAAGCATCACTGGAACGCGGGTGTACCTAGTGTACGCGTTGTGTTGGTTTCGCCGTGCTCGAAGGCGAGGACGAGCTATGGTGTTTACATACAACTGTGGTAGGGCCACGCAGCAGCCATATAGAAATAAGGACTCAATAAGTTTCGGCTACAAAAAGACTGCCATTTGATGAATTTAAACGAAAAGTTAAAAGTAAACTTATGGCTAAAGCATATTATACTATTGCTGAATATCTTGACGACGCCAATGTGTGGGGTTAATATTGTTGATACTCACGTAGGCTAAAACAAGACTATTAAGACCTGTAACATTATATTGTAAACTGACCTTTTAAAAAAGAGCAACTGTTGAGTTTCTTGCCGGTTGCCATGGGTTATCATTTATGTATTCATTATACTATAATAACCCTTTTGAATACCTTTTCTTTAATAAATTTATTAAACCTGTTAATAGGCACGCTTTGAGCATTAACGAGTTACTTACTCCATAGTTTAGTTAGTGACTTTTGAAATCTCTCAAAAATTACAAAAGAAAGCGTTGTAGTTCTGTTCACCAGTAGCCAGTACTAAAATACGAGGATTGCACATGGATATGATGTGTCATGTTCCTGCTGAGTTTTTGTTTTAATTTAATTATTTTTGTGTGACCCGCGGATAATTGTCCCGGATCTGGGTGTTTGTTTCCCAAGGAGGGTTGACGTCAGGCAGGCGGCCGGAGGTGGGATAAGGGCAGGAGGATGTTGATGAATGATTTGAACTAATTTTGGCAACACAGGAACAAAGGAAGGGGATAGGATTAAGGTTATTTCGTTTCCCCCCATTACAAATATATAATCTTTTTAGAATGGTTTAATTATTTATTTATTGAGGACAAAGATTTCATGTGAGAATCGATCGGTGACTTTAGATAAGCATCACTTTAGTAAACTGTAATAATTGTAAACAGAGGTTCAAATAAATCAGTTATACCCTGATATATTTATTGATAAATAAGCAAGTATAAATAATTGCAGTCGCCAGAAAATTGTCGAACGTGTATGTAAAATAAGGGTAGGAAAATAATTTTTTTGCTAAATATCTAGAACATTGAGAAAATATTTATTTCATAATACTAGTTTCCGTAACATCACAACACTTTCGTATAATTAATTAACACTACATTCACTGTTCAGTCACTTTTCCTACGGACGAAGGAAGAAACGGATTGAAAGGGAATAGTATTTCCCGCCATTTTATTGCTTACGTAAAATGCTCGTAATAGATTAAAAATACGTCGGGTAAATATCGTATCAAGTAATAGAGGGTACACACTTGAGTAACATACAAAATTGGAAGAAATCATCTGAGAAGTTTCGTTAGTGATAAATTCTTATAAAAAGTTTCATCATTTCAATTATTTTTATTAAAGTATTATACAGTTAACCACCAGAAAAATAATTTTCCTTCTTTAGTCATAAAAGTTTAGAAAAAGTTACATTTATTTTTAAAATACATAAAACCATGTTTAACATAGTTATTGCCTTATTTCTCTAATACTCTTTAATAGGTCTTAAATCTAAAACTTTACAGTGGTGTAACTAAGTTTCGGGACCTTGGCAAATTATGGAATTTTGCCCTTCCTTCATGTAAAGAACTTTCATTATCTATCTAATATATAAAATTCTCGTGTCACGGGGTTCGAACTTGAACTCCTCCGAAACGGCTCGACCGATTTTTGTGATCCTTAGCGTGATTGTCGGCCAGGGTGGAGAATCGGCCAACATCTATTTTTCATCCCCCTAAATGTTAAGGGTAGTCCACCGCTAAATTTTTTTTTATTTTTCAGGCAAAATTTTTTGTTTTTATTTTTTTATGACACAGCATACAAAAATACATACAACCCTAAATTTTCACCCCTCTACGCAGACGTAGTCGCGGGCAGCAGCTAGTATATATATTGAAATTTAGCTAAATTTTGTAACAGACCATTTTGAGTTATTACATCATACTACCTGTATAACACTCAATTTGTCGAGATTTTTACTTTCTAGAAACTCATTTTTTCATTTTAAAAATCATCAACATGAAAATACACTAAGATCTGGATGCGTAGTGTAATAAGAAATCGGACATTCTCTGTCCCTCTACACATCATAAGAGAGAAAGAGACAGAGAATTGACTTATGGCGAAGAGCTAGGTCACGTCAAGGTCAAACAGCACAAACGCTCGCTTAGGAAACGACTAATCGACGGAATTCTCTAGAAAGCAGCGTATTTATCGTAACAGTCATATCAGGTATCTTGAGATAACACGTGTTACGAACAAACTTAAATAACAGCTCCTATTTCACACAAAGTGTTCCTTAAAGTGATGTCACAGGTTTTTCTATATTTATTCTTACCTTAGTTAGAAAGAGATAAAAACCACGTCACAGTTGTTACTGAACATTTTGTCACTGTTACAACCTCTTTTTTTTTTCTCACATACCAAGTGGACACAAACAACAAACGGAAAGAGCTATTACGGTATGTCACTCAACGGTAACAGTTACGCAAGTTGTCACAACATGGTATGAAATAGCGGGGTGTTATTTCGCAACAGGTATCTGTCGCTCTTGCTGTTGAGATTTCAAACGATTTCACCCATTATAGCTCACTGCCACTAGAAAGTTACGTCACAAATTCCGCACCGTTACTAGAAGTAAGGCAGACGCGTGCCCTTTGTGCCGCCTCTGCGGACGGAGTAGGGTCAGGTGTCGAAGCTACGCGGCATGTATCTGGAACATATTGGAGAGCGCTTTTAGTGTTATTGGGGCGAAAAATGAGTGTGTAATTTCAAGGTCACGAGGCCTCATGAGACATCGTGTCTTGACAAAAACGGCGGTAATGATTAGTCTGTATGGTGTATCCCCAAGACGTTACAATTGGTAGTAATAATCATTTCATTCATTTATGACTCCGTGGCGCAGTTGCCGACGTATCGGCTTCGGCGTCGGGGGTCGTGGGTTCGATTCCCACACGGGACAACTATTTGTGCGACCCACAGAAAGTTGTTTCGCATCTGGGCGTTTGTCCTCGTGCAATTTATGTCTGTAAAACGTCCTTACAACACAGGTTGATGCTAAGCTAAAGTGAGGGCAATGTTTAAAAAAAAATATCATGGTAATGATGCGCGTCACTGGCGGCATTGCTTAGAAAATATATGATACATGTAAGAACCTAAGAACCCAGTCAGATAGAAAGCGATAAAATATTGGTGAATAAAAGTTCAAATAAATATTTTTATTAATGAAATTATAATTTGACAAATGTTAACCAACTGTGTGGGTAAAGTGGGTAGTATATTCTTAATTCTTTTGTACCCAATCTTATTTAATGTAAAATAAACTAGTTTCATTTAATGTGTATAATATTCGCGTAAAATCAAGAAATCAATATGTAAAACTACGATGTTACGATAAAAATTCTCAGTATCTAAATATTTTGGTATTTATACAGCGTGTCTTTACAATCGCGACAATAAATGAACACACATATAGAGGATAAATTTTTAAAATTGTATTAAACATTTACATTCTTTAAACATCAATATTTACCGAGTTATAAAATTTTCCAAAAGAACGAATTTAAGAACAACCTTACGTATAAAACTGTAACTCAAAATTCATTTGTAAAGGTCACAAAGCATATGAATGGGTTGAATGAATTTTACTGTTAAAAGGCTTGTAATGCGACGCTGTGGCAACGAATGAAAAAGTTTCTGAATGTATGAATCAATCAGTTGTAGTTGTATAGGATGTTACAAATTTTGTTTCTTTTTTACTTAATTAGTGTGTTTGAAAAATATTTTTTTTAATTATGGATTTTTTTAACGTTAATATTTTTTTATGATTATTGGCAAGTAGCGGTAGACGTGTGTTCGTTTATTGTCGAGATTGTAAAGACATGCTGTATATTTATAATTTATTATAATCCTATGAATTATTAGAAAAATATAATATTTAATTAATATTACATGAATTTCGCCGTGATAACTCGTATTCAATATACTCGAGAAGCCCGAGTTCAAGCCCCTTTGGTGTCACTGATGAACTTGTCAATTGTGTTGAATCATGCACAACGGTGAAGAAGAACATTGTGAGGGAGCCCAGTGGGGGCGCATGATAGACTCTCTGTTCTAATATCCTCTGTGGGATTTCAGAGGGATTTGGCCGGCAGTGGGACGGTGGTAGGGCCACGCAGCAGCCTCGGCTGTTGCACGAATGGGCAGGCCGGTCCGGGTAAGTACCACGACCTCACAGAAGACCTGCGTAAAGTGGAAGTATGACAAATACTTTCGCGTTTCGTCTGGTGAGTGAGGTAGCCGGAGCCCAATTTCCAAAAAAAATTGTCAACGCATCTGCAAACCCTCGGGTGTTGCAGATGTCTATGGGCGACGGTATTCACTTAACATCACGACGACCGTCTGCTCGTTTGGCAACTTTTCACATAAAAAAAAAAAGTGTATAGAAGATCACTTTACCCACGTAGAGCTATGTTGTACGCACTAGCTCTCACCTGACGCTGACGTCGTGCACCATGAACACAGCGTACTCGCCGTTCCTGAACACCGGATAGAAGTGTTCCACGTGCTCCGTCAGAAGGATGTGGCAGAGCAGGGGCCGCTTCGACAGCATCGGCGACTGCACGTCCCATATCGCGCCGAAGGAGCAATTGTTGCTGAAAGCAGACGGGAAACGTTTACGTTTCAAACGATCGGCGTGGGTAGGCCTGCCTCCTGCGCCAGAGGTGTGGGAAGGTGTTTATTTTTTACGAACATTTGTATGTTGAAGTTATACTTTCTTTATTCATAAGCGTTTCTAATTATATGACCACCACTGTATATAATATATGTATACATATATTTATTTCAGTGTTTATGTAGGTATTGGAATATATATTTATGTAACGGTTTATTGTGTACAGGGTTTATGTTTGTATATCTTTTTTTTTTTAATTTATTACGCATTTTTTGTTTTGCACCTACGTCAAATTTTCTCTTCTTAGCATTAAGGTTTACTCTTTTGTTCAGCCTCAAGTCGGGATGTAAACAATAAATTTTTAAATATATAAATAAATAATCTTGCACATACTTGCTCCGTCCGTAGCAGTACTTGTTTTCCACAATCAAGTAGGTGGCCTCGATCTTGTTCAACTCCCTGTACAATTCCTCGGGAGTAAACCTGCCGTACACCTTGTAAACGGCGTAGGCTCGCTGCCTGCAAAGTCACAACAATCATTAAGGACACACACAGCGGTTACTTGACATAAGTGACAAATTAAAGTTTTCTATGAAGTTGCCGCCGAGCATGTGATGATTCAGCACTTAAAATTGTGATGACAATTTAATTTGTGCTGGCACCGGGATTTGAACTCAGTTTGCTTGAGTATATTGAAAACACTGAGATATCACCGCTTAATTCATATGTTATTGATCATATACAGCGTGTCTTTACAATCGCTACAATAAATGAACATACATATAGAGGATATAGTTATACTTAAAATTTTTGACATTTCCAAGAAATTTAGATAAGCCTTAATCATTTGATGTCTTTATCCTATGTAGCCGGAGCGAAATTTTCAAAAGCTTGGCAACTTTTCACATAAAAAAAAAACATTGCTGTCCTCAATGTATTCTTCGACGTTATAATAGGCCCCTGCCGTTAGGGTTGCATTTACAAAGTGTCCGAAACTGTTTCCACTCAATTGTTTGCGGATGCAGCCGACCTGGTGGCGAGGTGCTCGTAGTGAGGGTGCACCACGATGGGCTTCCTGGTCGAGAGCATCACCGAGGCCAGGATGGGCATCGAACCGGCGAAGGCGCCGCTGCCGGCTTCACGGGCGATCCACTGCAGCAACTCCTCCTGGGGGTAGTCGCTGAACTCGCCTGGAACCGTCGAGATGGAGAACGGAAATCGTTTTATATCGATGTGCCATAGTTGCACAAGTTGTTGGTAAAGTACGCCTATACATATCCCACTGCTGGGCAATGGCCTCCTCATTACAGAGGTTATCTGAGCATAGACCACCACTCCCCGCTGTAACGAAAAGTGAAGAACAGCCTATACACGTCCCACTGCTGGGCAAAGGCCTCCTCAGCACGAAGGGTATCGGGGCATAGACCACCACTAATTTATTTTATTTAGAAATACTCCCGACCCGTTGGTTGGACGAGATTAGTTCCCCGTAGCTGGCTACGGAGCTTGTGAGGATGCTTTGAATTGTAAAGTTCCATCGACCCGACTTGCCCAATTGATGGTGGCCCTGCCTCTTGCGCCAGAGGGTGTGGGTTCGATCCCCACTACTGGAAAAATATTTTGTGATGAACATAATCTTTTTCCAGTGTTTTGGTGTTTATTCATTTATAATATGTATTTATTTACAAGCTAAAAGTATATTTGTAGTATGAATGTTTAGATGCCGGTAACCGACATAGCCCGGAGGATTAGCAAGCTGAAGTGGCGATGGGCCGGCCATATAGCTCGTAGAACCGATAACCGTTGGGGAAGAAAGGTTCTCGAGAGGCAGCCTCGTACTGGCCATCGCAGTGTAGGACGACCCCCCACTAGATGGAGTGACGACCTGTGCAAGTGTGCGGGAAGTCGATGGATGCAGGTGGCTCAGGATCGTGCTTCATGGCAGTCTGTGGGGGAGGCCTATGTTCAGCAGTGGACTCAAACAGGCTGAAATGATGATGATGTATGGTTATCAGTTACCTAGTGCCCATAGTGCATGCGTTGCTTAGTTTGTGTCTAGAGAATGTTGTGTAAAAAACCGGCCAAGTGCGAGGCGGACTCGCGCGGACTCCGTCCCATGATCTATAAAGGCGCACAAAACTCATGTCTGCTGTATGGGAGCCCCACTTAATTTTTTTTATTTTGTTTTTTTAGTATTCGTTGCTATGCTACAGAAATACAACAGGTGTGAAAATTTCAACTGTCTAACTATCACGGTTCATGAGACATACGGCCCGGTGACGGACAGAAATACTCACCCATGTAAAAGTACTCGTCGGAGATGTTGCCCAGCATCACATTGAGGGTCGGCGTAGTAAACACTATGTAGAAGATGGGCAGGTACTTGTTCATCACGCTCGGCAGGCTGCGGGGTGAGAGAAAGTGATTTATGGGGGGTGGGCGCTGAGGGGGCGTCCATCAATTACGCGAGGTGTTCAAGAGGCGGGGAAGGGGGCGGGGCAGGTTTGGAGTCGAATGTCGTAAACCAATAACCTTATTTTGGGTAGAGGGGGGGGGGGGGGGGTCTCGTAATTTCAAAAAAATATAACGTAAATATATCCAGAAACAGAGTTGTAAAGTAATGAATGTTAGTAGTAAAGATTTACAGCCAAATCTCACGAAACCTCACCAGTGGGGGAGGGTCGGTCAAAAAAATCTCTCATATTACACGCAATTAACGAATGCCCCCTAAGCGCTAAGATTGTCGACTTTGTCACTGCGGAAGGACCTCGCAATAGAGTCAGCGTTTGCACTTTCGAGTTGAGCTATCACGGCTCTACATTATAATGAACAAGAGACAAAGAAAAAATTTACAGTAAAAACAAATTTACTAAATAACAATGTAGAAAGAAGTCGTTAAGATTTTCGTCGCTGTGGCTATCAGCCGTTTAGCTCAGTGGCTAGAGCGTCGGGCCGCGAATGCCGAAGACGTGGGTTCGATTCCCACAGTGGTGTCTATCTTTTCGTACTTTTCTACATGTTTTAAAAATTTACAGCGTTCAAATGTTCTATTGTACGGTGTGCCGTCGTAAGAACAAAAGAAAACTCACTACAAGTGGTTCTTGTTCATCACCAGCGAGGCTATGAGGCACATCTGCGTGACGAGCAGCAGTTTCAGACGCATCACCAGCAGGGCCATCGCCCCGAAGACTAGCATCTGGGCGATGTTGTAGACCACCGCCGGGTCCGGGTCGAGGCACTTCAAGTAGGCCACGAGGCGGTCGTCCGGCGGGGGCGCGGGGTCCGACTGGGGTGCTGCGGGGTCCGACTGGGGTGCTGCGGGGTCCGACTGGGGTGTTGCGGGGTCCGACTGGCGATCTATGAGGTTCAACTGGCGAGCTGTGGGCTCCGACTGGGGATCTACGGGTTTCGAATGGGGAGTTGTGGCGTCCGACTGGGGATTTATAGGGTCCGACTCGGGAGCCGTGCAGTCCAACTGGGTGGCTGTGGGGTCCGTGTGGTCCAAGAGGGGAGCCGTGGGCTCAGGATGAGGAGCCGTCGGGTCACCACGGGGATCTGTCGGGTCAGAGTGGGGAGCCTCGGCAGCCTCGCCGTTCGCGTTGCCACTTAAAGGAGGCGGTCCCGTCTCCGCACGGTTGCACCCATCGACCAGCACGGAGCTCACATAGGAGCAAGTGTTCAGCACAGCGACCGGTATCAGCAGCGAGCTGAACAGCGAGCGCACCGTGCTCCACGGCATGAAGTCGAACACGTCCGAACAGGTGTATATCATCGTGTGGAACGTCCTGTACGCGGTGAACTTGGAATACAGGATGTCCCACACGTGGGAGTCCTCTTGGACCGCGAGCAGCTCGCCGATGGCCCTCTTCAGCAGCAGCGAGAGGCAGAGAACGAGGAGCATTCGCACTCCGATGAGGGAAATCTCGAGCAAGAGGTCCCGGCGGCTGCGGACCTTGACGCGCAGCGAGCTGAAGAAGAGGCAGTAGGCGGAGATGACCAGGAAGAGTGAGGTGTAGAGGGACGCCTTCAGCATGTCGTTCCCCTGAAGCAGGAGCACCGCCATGTGGAGGCCGCAGAAGTGCGAGTGCAGGAATATCGAGAGGGACTTCACGTCGATTATGTACAGCTGCTCCATTAAGAAGTATATCGCCATCTGGGTGAGGAATATGAACTGGGCGAACTGCCAGAACAGCAGACAGAGGCAGTTCAGGATGAAGATGGAGATCTGCAATGGAAAATAAATACTGTCCGTAATGTACTGTCTTAAGCTGAAGAGTCCGTGGCTACTTAAATCGAGTATGCTGAAGACAACTAGATGACTCCGCAACGCAGTAGTCCGTAATGTATAATTAAGTTAACCGTAAGTATTATTGTCTTTTATTACTAGTAAGTTAACCGTAAGAATTATTGGCTTTGGCGCCGCGGTTCGTGGGTTCGATACCCACACGGGAGAGCTATTTGTGTGCCCAGCGGATAATTGTTTAAGATCTGGGTTTTTGTCTACGTGAAATTTGTGTTTGTGAAACGTCTTTACAATACAGGATAATGTTATAAATATATGAAAAAAAGGAAAAAAAAAAAAGGGGTAGAAACTAGTAGAGTCTAGGGACTACGGGAGTCCGGGTTTTAATTCCGAGACAATAAGGCTTTCCGTTTTTAATGTCTCTGAACAGTGGACCTGATAGCAAACATATCGCCTGATCATTCGATTCAAGCGATTCGCTTCTTCATTTATCATCCGTACAGCCAAGGAATGGAATAACCTGCCGGCGTCCGTCTTTCCGTCCGATTACAACGTAGACATCTTCAAGGCAAGAGTGAATAGGTTTTTACTGAGCTAGCGCGCTTACCATCAACGGCTGCATGGCCACTTACCATCAGGTGGGATGGCGGTCAAGTGCAGGCCAGTTTTGAATTAAAAAAAAATCATTGTGGACTACTTTCACACCTTTAGCATTTTTGTTATGTTAGGCTATATTATGTAGGGCCACACAATCGCCGTTGCACGAGTGGGCAGGTCCGTCCGGGGAAGTACCACGACCTGACAGAAGACCGGCGTGAAGTCAAAGTGTTATACTTCTGCGTTTCGTCTGGGGAGTGTGGTAGCGGGTGCCCACTTTATTAAAAGGTGGCAACGCATCTGCAACCTTAGTGTCCATGGGCGGGGGCTATATTATCAGGTGAACCACCAGCTCGCTTGGCACTTTCTCACAGAAAAAAAAAAAAAAAATAAAAAGAAATATTCTTTCACTCGGCTTAACATCTAGACTACATCAGTGCTTAGCGTCAGGTGGGTTTGTGTAATACTGATGATTGGTAACTTACGAACGTATTAATTTTTATATAAAATTTTGAATAAAAATTTTCGACTTTGATTTATTGATTTTGACTGACCTGACCTAAGCAAAAAGGAATTCTACCTGCAGTTGGAAGGCGAACTTCCTCTTCGTGTCCCTCAGCTGCAGGGTTAGGAGCCAGGTCTGCAGCAGAAGGAAGGGCATGGCTATGTTCTCCCTCTCGTTGGGCGCCCATTGCACCCTAGTGGCCTCCGCGTGGTTGGCGAAGTAGTGGAGCACGGACAAGACACCGCCCGTGATGCTGTTGCTGTTGGCAAGGAGTGAATTCTTCAGCAAAAAACCGGCTAAGTGCGAAGGGTTCCGTACGTATTATCTATAAAAACGGCATAAAAAATCGTGTCTGCTGTGTGGGAGCCCAATTAAATATTTTTTTATTCTGTTTTTTAGTATTTGTTGTTCAAAAGAAATTCATCATCTGTGAAAATTTAAACTGTCAACTATCATGGTTCATTTCATGATATAGCTTGGTGACAGAAGGAGAACAGACAGACAGATGGACAGCGGAGTCCCGTTTTTCCTTTCGCTAGAGGACCGTCGACACACACACTAGCGGGTTGCCTTTAAGTGGTCGAAAAGTTTGGTGAGTGGTTAAAAAAAAAAAAAAGAGACATTGTGTATTATAACCTCCATAATCGATAGTTCAACTTGGGGTGTAGACCGGCATGTTTTTTTTTTTTTTTTTTTTTTTGTATGTATTATTTTTACTTCTGGCCAAAGTTTGTCTAAACTTTGAAAAGAAAACAGACTTCAAATATCGCACTCATTTTCCATTTATTATACATATTTAATTTTGAGGAGTTTCTAGACGTATGTACGTACTTTATACACTCGATGTTTTATAAAATAGTAATATATTATATTGGCTAAAATCTTTTTGACTAATTCAACTTTTCTTTAAACGTCTCTCACTTGACTAATTAATTTGTCTTATACTAAATATGGAAGTTATATTGACCAGAATAATCTCAAACCATTGAATTCATTAAATTACTCTATTCTTTAGTTATTTATCTAAATTACAATAGAACATGTCTCTGAGAGTTTTAGAGAGATAAATGATATGTCCTGAAGATAAAGATAACAATAGATGTTTTTATCTCTGGTAAACTATGTCAGAAGCAATCCTTATCTGACGTTGCGTTATTGAAGTCTGTTTAGAGTAAAAAAGAAAATAACCCACACCAAAATTGTTTAATTTCTTGTTCAGATTTAAATTCTCAATAATTCCCAAATGGAACATATTTTAAGCCTGTTAGAGCCAGAAATGTGTAAAAGCCTATTTTATTTTCTGTGACAAGGACATGACTTGGCAGTGCTGGATTAACCACATAGTAAGACTAGCAATTGCTACGGGCCCCGTGCCAAAGGTGCCCAGCGTATTTAAACACACTCATCTCTGCATGAGCCTTAAATTTTTGAGTGTAACTTATCAAAGATGTGACAGTATTGTGAAGAGTTTTTTTACCAATTTATTCTTAGGAAACCGTAAGAGATCAAGGGCTGTTTAAAGAATTTGCTATGGGCCCCGCGTTTGCATAGTCCGGCACTGCTAAGGGCTGTAGTTGATAAGCCATTGGAGGTCGCGGGTTCGATTCCCGGTTCACGGTACAAGCATTTTGTTTGACTCGCATATACTTGTCCTGGATCTGGGTGTAGGTTCCGGGAGGGTTCTGACGTCATCCCTCCTTAACCTAAAGGCAGGGCAGTTGTAAAAAACGATAACGATAAGCCGATACGATTAACAACATGATTCACGCGTTTTAGTCCCACTGACGTAGTGAGAGGGCAGGGGAAAGAAGGTGTCTAGCGAACAGGCGGTTCACCTGATGTTAAGTGATTGCGTGATATTGTGAACACTACAGCATATGACAAATGGAGTTAGGAGACAAACATCACTTAAGCTAAAAGCAATGGAGCCATGAAACCACCCCAACTACTTCACTACATAGTATAAAACAAACTCGTCCCGCTGCCTGTCCCTATGTATGCTTAGATCTTTAAAACTACGCAACGGATCTTGATGCGGTTTTTTTTACTAGATAGAGTGATTCAAGAGGAAGGTTTATATGTAAAATTCATTGCACCCGTGCGAAGTCGGGGCGGGTCGCTAGTAATTATTAAATATGTAGGTTTAACTCGGTGGCGCCGTTGCTATTGGATTGAGACTTGGGGGTCGTTGGTTCGATTCCCACACGAGATAAGTATTTGTGTGACCCACAGATAATTTCTCCGGATCTGGGTGTTTGTTTCCCAAGTAAGGTTGACGTCAGGAAGGCGGCCGGCCGTAAAGAAACATAGGCAAAACCGCTTACAACATGATTCACATGTTGTGTATTAAATATTTTTTTATTCCGTTTTTAAGTATTTGTTGTTATAGCGGCAACAGAAATACCGGTGTACCGGTCCTGTTTTACCCTTTGGGTACGGAACCCTAAAAAGGAAATCTTTTTGTTCCTAATGTACTAATACTGTCTAAGCACTCTTTTTACCATTCCTCATGAATAACGCGTCAAAATTGTATCTTGAAATGATAATGGCTCAGATAAAATACGTTGTGATTTTCAGCTATTTAACTTAGTGGATAAAAAGGGTTCAATTCCCGCAGCGGCGAAGGCTTTACGTCCATTTTTTTCTACAAATTTTAATCTTTCATCTTTCATTCAAAAATTAGCACTATAAACCTTTAATGATGTATTAACATTCTGGTTAAAATAGTTTAGAGGAAAGTTATAAGAATGTTATTATCGATAAACTAATTTTTTATTACACATTTTGTAAATGTACATGAAATTCAAAAGCAAAATGGTTTATACCACATTTTTCACTATGATAATTTTGATAGTTCCCTCCCAATCTTATTAATACAGCTTCAAATACATAGTTAAAAAACACTGTAATATTATTATTATCCTGCTTATGCAGGTGGGGCAATAATAGGCATATGCACTCAAAATATATTAAACCAAAAGCCTCAACAGCGAGCAACGCATCCGTCCCTTTCACTCACCTCAAAGTGACGGCGTGCAGGAAGAGCACGCCCACAGTCAACCCGGCGAGGTACCACACCACCTCCAGATAGAACATGATCGGTTCCCCCATGTCCGTGCAGCTTTGGACAACGCCGTGACCCTCACCCCTGTCCACTATGATGCACTGGCGTTTGCTTGTGTCATTCAGGATGGGCTCGAGGTACCGATACACCGAACCAATTATCACCTATGGATACAATTTACATACTTTTTTAAGTGAGAAAGTGGCAAACAAGCAGAAGTTTTACCTTAAGTGATAACCACTGCCCGGGAGCATTTGCAACTCTCATGGGGTTGTATGCTGTTGCATGGACGGTTACTGTTTTTGGGAATGCACATTCAACACCCTCAGAAATTGAGGTGGTTTTGGATGACATATCATCAGGTACAATGCTTGCTAGCGTGCCAACATTTGAAATAAAGAAAAATCATTATTCCGTATCAAGTAAGGAATAACATGCAAGGTAAAAGTAAAAAAGTAAAGTATCAGCCTATACATGTCTCAATGCTGGGCAAAGGCCTCCTCTGTACAGAGCGTATCAGGGCATAGTCCACCACGCGGCCCCACTGCAGATTGGCGGACTTCACATATCATCAAAATATTTTTTTTGTTATTATTTGAAAATATGCAGATTTCTAAAAATATATTGTTTTCCTTCATCGCTGAGCACGTGATAATTAGTGGTAAGTAAAAATAAAAGGTAATAGATATAGTATTAATAGCAAGAAGTCTCTAGAGAATCATATTTATTAAATTAACTACTCCAAATTTAACATTGACTAGTCACAATATAATTGTCACCATTGTTCATCATCTCACCAGCCTATAATTATCAAAACTTTTATAATTTGCATAATTAATCATCTTAATTGAATCATTTCAAGCCAGTACCAGAGCAAATACTGAGCCATCATAGAATCACAGTATAACTTTATCTTAATCATATATGTACAAAAGTTGTTACTTAACCAATCAACAATATAATTAAATATAAATTAAGAGCTGATTGCCCCTTGTGTGTGCGTGTTTAAGTAACTCTTAATTTAGATCCTCACCTCAGGGTGTACATTGAATCTATTAAATGCATTCACTTCCTTTGGGTATTCAACCAGCTTATCATACATGAGTTTGGATATGCCAGCAAAAAATGGCTGCGTCTCCACAATGGTTTTGTAATAAGAGTAGTAGAAGCCCATTTCAGTGCGCAGTGCCATCTCTCGCTCAAGTTTCGACAAATGGGAGAAATTGAGGTAGTTCTCAAATATGTTGGAAACATATTTGTAGTGCAGAAACCCAAAAGTAATGGCTGGGGACAAAACTGCTAATGTTACAACCGTTTTAACTTCACAGTATATTTTATAAGCATAAATGATATCTTAGTGCTTCTAAATTTCAAGACCAAAGAAACCTAAACATAGTTCAGCCACCATTCCTTTTTAGTTGCATAAACATGACTTTTTGTATGCAAAATAATACACAAGAAAATATTCTAAAGAAACATACTATTCACAAATCTACAAGGCGGTTGGTGGACCATCTACCATTTATTTAAAGTAACCAAATTTTATAAACATGTATTATCTCTGAATAAATTAATACTAAAATATTTATCTAGTCTAGTCATTAATTTTGTCATTTTTCACATTAAGTCACATTTTCCATTAATTTAATTACGCATTTTTAAAATAGTTACTATTTTATAATCAATATTTATACATAAACAATTTCTTACCTAAAACGCCGATAGTAATGTGTTTTAACATATTGTTGATTTTAAAAATATTTGTTTTTTTTTTAAATTACATCTTCTTTGGTTTCAGTTGTTTTATTTGTATGTGCTAAGGTAAATCAAACAAATACTATATACTATTAACATAACATTTTAAACAATTTTAATTGAATATGTGAAAGAAAAGACTACGTTTTGATTGTTTATTGATTGACAGTTAGTTAGTGTTGCCAACTTGCCAGAATAGTAGGCTAGTTAGGAATTTTGAAAATTATCGATACATCACCGAAATGAAAATACAGTGTAAATTATAGAAGGAATTTCAAGGGACCAAGAATTTTTTTTTCGTTATACGAACAGAAGAGAAAAAAATAAATCTAACCAATTAGTTACTACAATTTCTATTTTTATTATTACCAATATGTAAAATATTTTAAACACATATAAATCTTATGTTCATTCTGCCTAACGTATTTTGCTATGCCAATATTTGTTTTGTATTTTTTTAAATTATTTTGTGCAAGTATGGGATGCGTTTTGTAATTGAAATCAAAATTTAGTACAAAACAATGTAATCTTAAAATAATGGCATACGTTTTATAGCAATTAACAATACCATAATCGAGACGGCTTTTTGCAACATCAGTTATTGAGATACTAGTAATTATTTACAAGGTGGCTATAACCGAAGCCCCACTGAGTGCACCGTATCACGGAGCATGTACTAGTTAAACGCCAACCCGGACCAAGTACTCTTTGTACAACATCGGAGCGCTCTTCCTCGATGTGGCGAAGTCCTTCGATAAAGTTTGGTATAACGGGCCTATGTACAAGCTATACGAGTAAGGAGTGCCAGATCGTCTTGTAAGCATAATACGAGATCTCTAAGTAAACGGACCTTACGCTGTCGCTTCGAGGGTGTTTGCTTTACAACGCATCCCGATCAAGCCGGGATACCTGAAGTGTTGGTGTTGTTGACTGGGGATATTTACGCTCTACACGAACAACATGCTGCGTGTCAAAAATGTATATGCCCTCTTTGCTGACGACGCCTGTCTCTATACGTCAGGCCCAAAGTCAAAAACGATCCATCGACGCCTCCAGTCCCATTTCTTTATAACTTGGCGCACTACATGAATATGGTAGATTACTGAATAGTCTTTACGAAAATCTGCCTGTTCAATCGGGTTGGTGTTCATCTAATATTTTTTCAATTCGATATTATCTTGGCAAATATCTTATATATGTTGGACATAAAACTAATAGGGCAGTGGTTTTTATCTCACTTCCTTAGAAAAATAATGTTGTACTCTGTCCACTGCTGTGGGATAATTTAGATGCTTAATATCTCGTTAAACATGTCAGTAAGGACTGCTTATTTGTTTTCTTTTAGGATTTCGTTCAACATTTACCTATAACTGTAAGTTATTTTAAACAGTTATCAAATGCATTTCATGTATTTTTCACAAAAAAAAAATATTCTGGCACAGGGGATAAATTTTTACTCATTTTTCTTTTGTTACGCTAGAGAATTATAACTAATATAACTTCTTACGTTGTGTGCGTAAAAAGTTATATTAGTTATAATTCTAGTACACGTATACTTTTTTTGGGATGTCAAAGAAGGGAATTCGTGTTAATTTAAATCCATGTTTGTAGTATCGCAACCCTTGTTCCACGGCTGCCTTTAAAAAGAGTGCGAATGGTTTTTACGGGCAAATTATTCGTTACCCTCATATTTTTTTTCAAACGCTTAAAAAGAATGAAGCTATCCTAGAAAAAAAAAAAAATAACGTGTCCTGAATTTTGCATGCAAAGCCTAAAAAAAATGTAGTGGCATTTTATAATGACGCATACATTTTATAGAAAAAGAAATCCATACGTCATAATTTTGAGAAAATCATGTTATATAAATTATTATTGTGGGGATATTTATTTGTTTTCTCGTCTGGTAGGGGTTATAAATAAAAATAAACATATAGATATAAATATTGTATATTAAACCGGTGGACGATGCGGGTGGTATCGAGGAGCACCGCCTTCTGCATTTGAGCTTGGAGCGTTCCATCCCTGAGTCTCAGTCGCCTCAGATGTTCATAGAGGCTGACTGGGATCAACCCATTCGCAGACACGACTAAACGTAGTGATTACATTCTCTTTGGAGAAAATTTTGTTGTAAATGTATGATTCGGATTTCGGTGATTTCGGATACGTGAAAAGGTAACGTTGTGCCTTCTAGTGACTTTTTCATACTATTGAGACTATTGCCCATATTATAATTATTTAACGAAATTAAAATTACTTAAAAATATTTAACTTATAAAGCCGATTGTAAAACCCAAATTTCTTACAATGTGAAAATTGAACTGTGTATTCCTGGTGTATTTTTGAGAGTGAATTCTCCCCGTTTCTACCACTGCCTCCCAATAGTTCTTGTCGGGCATTACAAATTACCGATAAAGTCACTATCGAGGCAATTATATCATTTCGAGTTGTTGTGCCGGCAGCATTAATGGTATAATGCCAAAAGCCTTAGTAGGGCTGTTTAATGGATATATAGAATTATCTAAAATATCGCAAACTGGACTATTAAGATGACTTAATTTTTAGGGTTCCATACCCAAAGGGTAAAACGGGACCCATTTACTAAGACTTCGCTGTTTGTCTGTCTGTCCGTCTGTCACCAGGCTGTATCTCATGAACTGTCATAGACACTTCAAATTTTCACAGATGATGCATTTCTGTTGCAACTATAACAACAAATACTAAAAAATAGAATAAAAAAATATTTATTTTTTTCCCTTACAGCAGACATGATTCTTTTGCCGTATTATAGATAATGGTACGGAACCCTTCGTGGGCGAGTGCGACTCGCACTAGGCCGGTTTTTTATTGCAATCGATGGTCTATTCCAACTAGTGGGCGTCTTCACTCGGAACATATGGTTTGCTTAACCTCCATAAAAGCGATGTCTTTACACCAAACGACCTGGCGGCTATTTGGGGGCTGAGGACAGAGAAACGCGAAAACTTGGTGATCATTATTTAATGCTCAAATTAACGGATCCGTTGATTTGTATTCGCGGTCTGTTGGCTCGAGCTCACAGGAACCAGTAGGTCTTGATCAGGTGCTGGTGCTTCGTGATGGCGGTGAAGGTGGTGAGGGCTCCGCAGGGGCCGGCGGCCACGCCGCGCAGGTACTGCCTGGTGGTGTTCTGGATGGTGGCGGAGAAGGTGGCACCGCTGCCACTGTCGGCGCCGCACAACGCTGGCCCTGGGAAGTAGAAATCGATTGTGACTATTATTATAAATATTTAACTCGGTGGCATAGTTGCTAAGGTATTTGGGCGGCAGTTCGATTCCCACACTGGTGGTATATTTGTGTGACAGGCAGTTAATTGATCCCGATCTGAGCGATAGCTCAATGGCCGGGCGCTCGCGTTTAGTTCAATGTACCCGAGCGACCTGACTTCGATCCTCGGTACCGGCACCGATGAAATCGTTAATTTTAAGTGCTCATTTATCACGTGCTCAGCGGTGAAGGAAGACATCGTGAGTCAACCTGAAAATTTTCGAAATAAAAACAAAAAAGAATATTTCTAAGGTGTGTGAACTCCGCCAATACGCAGTGTGGTCGCGTGGTGGACTGTGCCCTAATACCCTATGTATAGGCTTTTGCCCAGCAGTGGGGTGGTGTTACATTAAGTTTGTCATATTTGCGTTTCAGAAATCAGTTAGCGCTCGATTAGGCAATTAAACCGTCATCAACTAATTGGAGTGTCATCGTTATGTAAAGTGGGTTGAACTTCGAAAAAGAAAAATAATATAAAGAAAAAGAAATCAGATAAGTACTGAATGTCTCGTGTAGAATCCTCCGCTCAACAGAACTTAAGACGTTAAGTTTTCAAATCGCTATATCAAGCGGCCGAAGTAGCTAGTCAAATGAGTCAGATATATAAGAGTCTGTAATATTTGTTGTCCGTGTCTGCACCTTGGAGGCTGTCCATTAATCACGTGAGGCTTGAAGGGGGGGGGGGGGGGGGCTTTAGGCAAAAATCACTCAAATATCACAAGGGGGGAGGTGGGGCGTGGGGCTCAGTAAGATATCACGAGTATTTATTTTTTCGTCAAACGCTCTAAACCGACTCTAAACTGACTCGCCGTTACATTTTTATCATGGTCCGTAATTTCAGAATAAAATAAGATCACACTCTAAACCTATATTTAAAGATAATATTCTGAAAATTTTAAGATTCTTCGTAGCTACTAAGAAATATACGTGATTTTTGGGGTTAGTCTTAAATATCAAAACGTATCACGAAGGGGGAGGAGGGGGTTTAAAAAATGTTGAGGATTAATGCACGGCCCCTTACATTAGTCTCTAGATGCGGTTGGTCTATCCTTACCGTTGGGGAATCCCGCGCAGAACTTGCCGTCTTCAGACGCACGTGTAGTGCAGTCGCCCTTCGACACGAACGGGAGGTCCAGGGTTCGGAGCCTGGTCGCGTTGGAGACCTCGTTGACCGCCGCCCAGCTGGCGGTCTAGAGAATGTGGCAAAATGGCCGTTTATACATAGTGAACATCCTGTATATAACTACACTCCAAAGCGGTGTTACCATCAGCTTCATAATTTAATTCACACCATTAATTGACCATTTATATCCCTTTAGAACATCCTGTATAGTATGTATATATTCCAAAATCGTGTTACCATCAGCTACATAATTTAATTCACACGATTGATTGGCCGCTTATATCGATATATTGTGAACGGGTATGCTCCCGTCACCCGCAGTCGCGCTATCCCACGCCCACGAATACCGCCCACATTTCCCAGGCTCCTCGCAAGCGTCCACCATAGCCATCCACCATCAAAATCATCCACGCCCGAAGTTCCACATCCACACATTGTACGCTCCCGTATCCACGCCACACCACTCCTACACAATCACCACAATCACCCGCGGTCTACTATCCAACGCCCATCGCCACTTCGTCCACGCTCCCTGCGAGCCTCTACCACAGTCATCGTCTTCACTGACGCCCACGCCCACATCTTTCCCACGCTCCTCGCAAGCCTCTACCACAGTCATATCCGTCTTCACAATCACACACGCCCGCAGTCCCACACCTTGTCACTCCCGTCTACCACAATCACCCGCGGTCTACTATCCCACGCCCACCGCCACTTCGTCCACGCCCCCTGCGAGCCTCTACCACAGTCGTCCGTCCTCACCCACGCCCATTCCCACGCCCACGCCCACACCTTGCCCACGCTGCCGCCGCTCAAGTGCTGCTCGAGCATCTCCCGCTTGAAGTCGAGGCAGGCGGGGCGCACTCGCAGCGCGTAATCGAACGCGCGCGAGACCACCACCACGGCCAGGTCACCTTCGCCGTCGGGGCCGCTGTACCCAGAGGGGACGGCGATCTTCTTCACCTTCGGCCAAAGACGAGTGAAAGTACAGTAAAGTAACGGCCTATATCTCTGTCATATATATGTCTAATAGTACTAATAATTTATATCTATATGTTTCTTTTTATTTATAATATTTATGTTATATATGTATATATCTATATCTTTATTTTTTATTTATAAACCCAACCAGACGAGAAAACAAATGAATATCCCATAATAATAATAAAATATCTTTATTCACATAGACGCTTGCGCGTTCTTATGAAACGTCAAAATTTTACAAAGAAATTAACACGTTCGTAAGTTACCACCGGTTCGGAAAGCAGTTTCTGTTGAGAAGAAACCGGCAAGAAACTGAACAGTTGCTCTTTTTCAAAAATATCATGGTACAATATAATGTACAGGTATAATATTCTTATTCTAGCCTACGTGAGTATCAACAGTATTAACTCCACACATTGTCGTCGTCGAGATATCCCGTGTAAAATCAGTTTACAATATAATAGTGATTTTTCTTTGTTTTATATTATGTAGTGATAATAGTAATTTACAATGTATCACTACATAGTATAAAGCAAAGTCGTCACGTGTGTCTGTCCCTATATATGCTTATATCTTAAAAGTACACTAAGGATCTTGATGCGGTTTTATTTTACTAGATAGAGCGATTCAAAATGAAGGTTTATATGTATAATACATTGCACCCGTGCGAAGCCAGGGCAGGTCGCTAGTTATACATATAAACCTTGCTCTTGAATAATTCTATCTAGTAAAAAAAACCGCATTAGAACCGTTGCCTAATTTTAAAGATCTAAGCATACATAGGGACAGACAGACAGCAAAGACTTTGTTATATACTATATAGTGATTTGTATGCTGGAAGAGATATAGCAATGGATGCGCCAAGCATTGCTTCACATGTTAAAACACAATGTAGACTATAAAAGACGTTGAGAATTTCGCCGGTGTTGCAATCAGCTGTTTAGCTTGGCGGCTGAAGCGTCAGAGCGCGAATCCCGATGATATGGGTTCGATTCCCACAGCGGCGACAATCTTTTCGTTCCTTTTCTCTACAAACTTTAAGGGCTATATTTGCCCACAGCTGGGGATTTTTTTTAACGAGAAGAGTGGAGGTGCTATATCGGCAAGTGACGCGGTGGCCGAGCGTGTTCGCACGGAACGAGTGTTTGTATGACTTTTTTTAATGCGGAGTATGAATTCCATATGGACCACCAGATTGGTTGAGCGACACGTATGACGTAAGAAAGCCAACGGATGGTTCACGAGATGTTAAGTGATCCGCCGTCGATAGACTTCTAAAACACTAGTTCGTTTGAAGATTGTTATGACTACGTGGTGCAGCCAAGGTCTTGGCTTAGGCGCCTGGGGTAGCGGGTTCGATTCCCGCACGGAATAACTATTCGCGTGTCTTACAGATAATTGTTTCGGATCCTTCTGTTTGTCAATTCAATCACGTATTCAAATCGCGGCGCTCATAAAATTGTCATTTGCAATTTTGAATGCTTACCAGCATTTTTTCGAAATAATAACTAAAACAATATTTTCGAAAGTTTGTCTGCCGATCCGCAGTAAGGTCGCGCGGTGCACTATGTCCTAATATCCTCCGTAATGAGGCCTTTGCCCAGTATCGGTCCGTACGAGTACATAGGCTGTTACTTTACTTCTTTTTAGAGTCCCGTACTCAAAGCTTTAAACGGGAAACTATTACTAAGACTCCGCTGTCTGTAAACCACGATAGTTGGACAGTTGACATTTTCAGCCGACAGACGGACATGTCTGTCCGTCTGTCACCAGGCTGTATCTCAAGAACTGTCAAAGACAGTTCAAATTTACACAGATGATGTATTTCTGTTGACACTATAACAATAAATACTATAAAACAGAAAGAAAAAATATTTCTGTGAGGCTCACATACAACACACATGATTTTGGCGTTTTCATACATAATGGTACGGAACACTTCGTGCGCGAGTTCGGCTAGCATTTAGCCTGCTTTCACTAGCTCCTTACTAGCTCCCCACTAGCTTCCCAACTTACGTCCGATTTCTGCGCGTGCACCTCATCGTCGGGGTGCTCCCATTCGCTGTTCAGCTTGCCCACGGCGACCGCGTAATATGACTCATCCTTTATCTCCTTCAGACCCTCGTCCCAGAAGCAGCGGGCGGCTGCGGACAAAACACTGTATTATTTATCGTCCGTATTAACGGTAGATGGTTTAGCCATCTCATTCGTACACACGCATTTTTATTATTAAATGAATAAATAAATATTTTAGGACACATTTTTACACAACGTTTTGTAGTCCCAAACTAAGCGACGCTTGTACTTGAAGTTACTAGATAACTGATAAACATACATAAACATACTTTTGTAAATAAATACATACTATGCATATATAAACACCCAGACACTAGAAAAACACTATGTTAACACACAATATTTTTCCAGTAGTGGGGATTGAACCCACACCCTCTGGCGCAGGACGCGGGTACACTACCCACAACGCCATTCGAGTCGTTGAATCGTCGTCAAAAATTATTACATTCACTAATCGCGCATTCATTCACACACTGGTCCTTAAAAAGTAAAGTAACAGCCTATACATATCTCACTGCTGGGCAAAGGCCTCCTCTGTACCTAAAACTTCAAATTAACAATTTCAAGTTTTTATGAAGTTTTTAACTTTAAGTGCTGACTTATCACGTGCTCCGCGGTGAAGGAAAACATCGTGAGGAAACCTGCATATTTTCGAAATAATAACAAAAAAAAATATTTCGAAGATATGTGAAGTGCGCCAATCCGCAGTGGGGCCGCGTGGTGCACTATGCCCTGATACCCTCTGTACAGACGTGGCGTTGCCCAGCAGTGGGGTACGTATGGGCTGTTACATTTAACTCACCAGTCAGCACGACAGAGTTGCTTATGAGCGTTCCGCTGCAGACGTGTTCGTGGCTCGCTGCGACCTTGTCCTTGTAGTAGATAGCCGCCTGCCATGGCACCACACCGGTCTCTACATCCTCGATGAAGATCCCGCACTCTGTGTTGTGTTAAATATGTCATTGATTAGGAGTAACGTTTTTTAGGGTTTTTAATTTTTTTTAAAAAGTCTTAGCAATAGGGACCCTATTACTGAGACCTCGCTGTCTGTCCGTCTGTCAGGCTGTATCTCATGAACCGTGATAGTTAGACGGTTGTCATTTTCACAGATGATGTATTCTTGTTGCGGCTGTAATAACAAATTAAATCATGTAGAAAAAGTACGAAAAGATTGTCGCCGCTGTGGGAATCGAACCCACGTCTTCGGCATTCGCGGCCTGACGCTTTAGCCACTGAGCTAAACGGCTGATAGCCACAGCGACGAAAATCTTAACGCCTTCCTTCTAAGTGTTTTAATGTTCAATCTTAAGTGCAGAGATTAGCACTATAAAAAACTTTAAAATTTATAACAACAAATAAGTACTAAAAAAATAGAAAAAATATTTAAGTGGGGCTCCCATATAATAGACATGATTTTTTTGCCGTTTTTACTAATAATCAATGTACGGAACCCTTCGTGCGCGAGTCCGACTCGCACTTAGCCAGTTTTTTTATTGTGGGAAGGCGGTAAGAACTGGCGGTTCATCTGATGGACTGATGGACGGAATTAGAGCCAACCTGGGCTCCAGTATGAATTTAAATCGATCGCCCAGACACTGTACTATCACATTTTAGGGAGTTAATTACAGGTTTAGTAGATCATCATCGTTATATTATATTCAACTCTGTCCGCTCTAGTCTACTGCTGAACTTAGGCCGCAACCACAGGCTGCCATAAAGCACGATCCTGGGCCACTTAATACTTTCATGTACGGCATTCGTATACTTAACAGAGTAGACGCGGAAGGCGGGTTTCTGAACTTTTTTTAAATGTGAAAAGTGGGCAAGCGTTTTCACTTATGTTAAGTGAAAACCTCCGCCCATGGTCATGCAACACCCGTAGGGTTGCAGATGCGTTGCGACCCTCTTAGCAAAGCGGACCGCATCACATCACGACTGCAGAATAGCACCAAAAATAAACAGTAGACGCCGTTCACCCAAAGGGGAAGTGATTCCCGGACCTGGTATGCACGTGGACCAGGCGTTCCACTGGCCCCGCTTGCAGACCATGTAGGGCAGCTCGAGGGGCGTGTAGTAGTAGGGCTTGTTGCACGTCGGCTGTATCACGGTGCCCTCCACCTCCACGTCCTTGCAGGCCCTGGTGTTGTCGGTGCCGCTGATGATGCAGTTGTACTGCACGCTTCGATGCTTCACCAGCTTGCACGCCTCTAAACGTGAACGGCCAAATGGTGAGTTTAAAAGTTCGGAACATTTTTGAACCGACTTTAAAAACGGAGGATCGTCTCAATTCGACTGTATTTTTTTTTATGTTTGTTACCTCAGAACTTTCGACTGAGTGACGATTTTGATGATTTGGTTGATAGAAACACTGCCTTGTTTTATTAACGAAAAACAAAACCGACTTTAAATATCTCATTCTGTAATCTATTCTCATTTTATAATTGATTTACAGTATTTCCCTAAGTATCTCCGGAGCCCAAGATCCAATGACAATGAAATTAATATGGTGGTCCCATTTTAATTTCGTTGGTTCATGCGAAGCTCGAGTTTTCAAATAAAAAAAAAAAACATCAAAATCGGTACACAGTAAAACGTTCTGAGTTAACAAACATAAAAAAAAATATTTTAAGTGTTATCACGTGCTCAGCGGTAGAGGAGAACATTTTCGAATGATAAAACAAAAAATATTTCGAAGACATGTGAAGTCCGCCAATCCGCAGTGGGGCCGCGTGGTGGACTATGCCCTGATACCATATGCACAGAGGAGGCCTTTGCCTCTTGCCTTCGTGGGATATTTGTATAGGCTGTTACTTTACTTTTAATAAGAATATTTGATTGATTGATTTTAACTGTTTTGACGGTGGTAGGACCACGCAACAGTTTTCACTGTTGCACGAATTGGCAGATCCGTCCGGTTAACTACCACGACCTCACAGAAGACCGGCGTAAACTGGAAGTAATCTGTGATTCTGGCGAGTGAGGTAGCCGGGGCCAACTTTATAATAAGGTGGTAACGCATCTGAAACGTTGCGGGTTTTGCATATAACCATGGGCGGCGGTTGTCACTTACCATCAGGAGAACCGCCAGTTCGCTTGCAACGTACTCACACAAAAAGGAATATCCAGTTGATAATGTCTAACGAGAGCTTTGACACTACCACCGCCGTGAGGTCTACTCACGGACGCATTTTGGCAGCTCCAGCGCGTTCCAGATGCCGCCCCAGCAGAAGACCGCCGGCTCGCCGACCATCTCGTAGCTCTGGTCGCAGCTGTACAAGAGGTTTATCACGGAGGCCTTGCCCCCGACGATGGTGCCCCCGGTGATGTTGTAGCTCCCGTGCTCCGGCTGGGGGGGCAGCGTGCACCTGATAGGCAGAATGGTGACACGAAAGATGAACTAATCTAAAGAATTTTAAAGTTTTTTTTATAGTGCTAATCTCTGCACTTAAGATTGAACATTAAAACATGTAGATAAAGTACGAAAAGATTGTCGCCGCTGTGGGAATCGAACCCACGTCTTCGGCATTCGTGTGGCTATCAGCCGTTTAGCTCAGTGGCTAGAACGTCAAATGCCGAAGACGTGGGTTCGATTCCCACAGCGGCGACAATCTTTTCGTACTTTATCTACATGTATTAATAATCTAAACAATCTCATAACTGAACTAATCGTGCATTTGTCACTAGTTGTGATAAAAATACATTACAGAATTCAAATACAACTGTGGTAGGGCCACGCAATAGCATACGCTCTTGCTCAAAGGGGCAGGCCCATCCGGGTAAGTACCACGGTCTCGCAGAAGACCGGCGTGGATTGGATGTGTTGTACTTGCGTTTCGTTCGGTGAGTGAGGAGCCGCCCAACTTTATTAAGAGGTGGTACCGCATCGGCAACCCTACGCGTGTTGCAAATTTCCATGGGCGGCGGTTATCAGTTAACATCAGGTGAACCGCCAGATCGTTTGCCACTTTTTCACATAAAAAAAGACAAACGATCACGTGCCCGATCAACAGCACAGTGGATTGACCAGCTCAAAGACACATCCGTCTCGGAAATTCTACGGTGTCCTTCGGTCGGTGGGGACCGCGATGGAACGGAATCGTAGGAGGTATCTCGATCGAAAAACGACCACCAAACCACTAAAATTTTCATATAGGTTAAAGTGTAACGAACTTTACACTCCCCCCGCACACTGCCAGGCAGCACGATCCTGAGCTAGCTGCATCCATTGGCTTCCTACGCATTTGCACAGGTCGTCACTCCGTCTAATCTTACACTACGAAGACCAGTTCCATTGCCACTACTATGGCTGCCACTCGAGAACTCTACCCCATCGGTTATCGGTTCTACGAGCTATATGGTCGGCCCATCGCCACTTCAGCTTACCAATCTTTCTGACCTATATCGGCTGTTTTTGTTAAAGTAAAAAAAGTGAAGTAAAATCTCAGCCTGTGCATGTCCCACGGCTGGGTAAAGACCTCTGTACAGAGGGTATCAGGGCATAGTCCACCACTCGGCACCACTGCTGATTGGCGGACTTCATATACCTTCGAAATATTTTTTTTTTTATTTTTTCTAAAATATGCAGGTTTCCTCACAATTTTTTCCTTCACCGCAGTGCACGTAAAACAGCACTTAAAATTAACAATTGCATCGTTGCCGGCACCGGGGATCGAGCTCAGTTTGCTCGAGTATTTTGAATTAATATCACGCAGAATGTAAAATAATTAAATATGTAATCTGTCGGTGTGTCTTAAATTTAAAACAATAAAACAAAAAAAGGTACTCACTTGCGTCCTGCACCCCGACGCCATCTAGTCCTGGCTGAACCCAATGCATTCTGAAGAGATCTGAAAAAAAAAAACATATAGCTCTGTATTAAAATTTGTAGAAAAAAGGAATGAAAAGTTTTTCGCCACTGTGGCAATCGAACCCACATCTTCGCGATTCGCGCCTTGACGCTTTAGCCACTAAGCTAAACGGCCGATTGCCACACCGACGAAATTCTCAATGTCCTGTATCTACATTGCTTTTTAGCATTTGAAGCAATTCTTTGCGCATCCATTGCTACATCCTTTACAGCATACAAAAACGTATCTATCACGCAGACGGGACTTACCTGTCAGGTACAGTGAGTGCTGTAGCCAACTCCAACATCAACCAGGCTGAAACAGAAGGTAGGACAATATAATATATCGATTTTTGTTAGACAGCGGTTTAGAGACAGCCATGTACTTATGGTTTTTTTTAAAGTGAGAAGGTGGCAAGCGAACTGGCGGTTCACCTGATGTTAAGTGTTAACCGCCAATGGACATTTCCCACACGTAGCGTTACAGACGCGTTGCCACCTTTTAAATGACGTGGAGCCCACGTCATTATTACTAAGACTCCGCTGTCTGTCTGTCCGTCTGCCACCAGGCTGTATCTCATGAACCGTGATAGTTAGATATCATTTCTTACAAACTTATTGCATTACTTACAAACCCTATCATTTCATACACCCAATTTGTTATTCAAAACCAGCGCACTACAACCACTTGATAAAATGGTAAACGTTGGTAAACGCCCACTCTCGAAGTACGCCTGCTCACCCGTATATAGATTCGACATTATTCCATTCTTTGCAAAAGAACAGGCTGGGCTATGCCGTTCAAGGCATGCCGTCAATTAAGAATTAATGACCGTTTTATTGTACGATGATTGAGGTGGGAGACAGGTATTGAATGTATGTGCATGAGCCGTGATAGCTTTAAGCCGCTTTAAGCCGTTTAAGACGGAGCAATCCGAGTTCAAACCCGTTGCCGGCAGCAACAAAATTGTTAATGAAATTTTATCTCACGATCAGCGCCGAAGTATATGACGTGTGAAGTGTAAATAGACCTGCATATTTTCGAAATGTTAAGAAAAAAATATAAATCTTTTGAATTGGAGTTGCGTGGTGAACTCCTCGAAATCCTGCTCGAGAATATTGGATTAAAAGCGAAAAGCTTATCGTTCGTTTTTGAATTAAAATGATTTTAATTCATGCTGTTCGCGGGGATTTGAATCTGCTACCTTACATCGCGGGGATTTGAATCTGCTACCTTACATCGCGGGGTCATTGGTCAAACTCGACCATTGTCAATCAAACCAGCGCGTAGACTGAATTGTAGGGATGCCGAAAAAATCGATACATCGATATTTTTTTTTTAATTTATCAAGCCGATATATCGATATAAAATATTCAATATCGAAATAATATCAAAAACTATATTTTTTCAATTTCGAAACCGGCACAGAGTCCGTATATGTCACATATTTAATATACCATACCTTTTCTTTTTGGACAACGGGTCTTAAACACGATAATACGATATTTTTTCTTCGATATATCGAGGCCAATAATGAGATTTTTATAAATATCGATATATTTCTTAACTTTCGGCATCCCTACTGAAATGAATATTGTTTGCGACGCACTCAAAACGCCATTAATATAACCGGTATCTAATACTAAAGGATAAAGGTTATCCAAGAAGTCTATCTTATTTACATTTAAAAGGTAAACAATCTGTCTTAATGTCTATGTATAAAGAACTTAAATCTAAGTTTATATAATGATTTTAAAGGCACCGCCCGCTTGTTAGATTTAGAATCCTTTTTTTTAATCCTGCTATTTTCTAAATTGTAATATTAATGGAATACGTGTTTTGAAATCTACAATCAATCATATATCTGAGAAATTATCTACAATGTTTATTTTTAAATAAAAGAGAAGCCTATAATTCATTGTACGAATGTACTTAAAAATAATCTTCTTTAATATGAACAACAACTTAATAATATTAAAGAAGTTTGTTACTTGAAAAATACTTCAAAAATATGTTCTGTATTGAATATAAATAATGTTATGTTGTGAAGAAAAAACGCAACAATGAACGGGCACGGGATTTTATGCAATTTTCAATTTATTTTGGCCGATGACCGTATCGTTACACCACAAGAAATTAAAAAGAAAAAAACAATTTCAGTATTGTTGATTTGTACTTAGAACGAACAGTTGTCTTACCAAACAACACCAGAATGTGATTCTTCGACAACATCATCGCTGAAAACTAAAAAAAAACAGCACTAAGAAATTTACATCACATAACCATTGACATTATCTATATACAATATACTATGAACGAAATAACAACAATTTTATAAATTAAACACTTAAAAATCCATAAACATCATTGGAGCGTGTTTTGTCCCGTTTTATTTTGCTTTTTGCTATCGAGAGTTGTTAATCGATAGTGGGGATACGACGCTAGCCAATTGCAGCTCTGGTTTTTACCGACGACTGGATGACCTCAAGGTCACTTATAATTATTCTCAAGTTCCCAACGATATTCATAACGATATTCATAACGATATTCATAACGATATTCATAACGATATTCATATCATAATATAATATCAAATTGTAATGCATCCTTCGATATTGAATTCCTCGGATAAAGTTTATCTGGTCACTACTACGTCACTGAAACGGTTGTTACCTCGCCATGTCTTATATTCGGTAATTATTAAAGTAGATAGTGGTAAAAAATATGTTTATTTTTTTGTGTTACTTCGAAAAATCCTCTGAGCCAAGAGGATCGTTTTGCTTGTGCTATTTCAGACAGCTGACTATGGTGACAGGTGACAATGCTGTTCAGTTTATTTTGTAGTTCTATATAAACTGGTTGGAACTCTGCTTAAGTCAAACAAGTCAAGCCATTCGATAAGAAAAGAAAAAAGGATTAGGAATTAAGTTGTATAAAGTTTGTCACCAACTAAATATCAACAGTAACGGGCACAGTAAGTCACTAAATCTTGACTACCATTAGACTGGCTGTCTATTAAAAAAAGAGTATTTCAAAAGATTTTTACTTGCAACTCAATGAACTTGTTAATCTCGTCTATAAATGAACTAAAGCACCGCCCCGTTTCCAGAGTTTTTTGAGTCAGTACAGGAGATAACCGATAATAAAACAGTATTATTAAAAATGTTTACCAATAAGTCCATAGCCAAAAGGCAAAATTTTCGAATAAACTTGAAGGTTAAATTTAAAATGTGAATATCTTTAAAACAACATCACATTAACTTTCATATTGAGTGTTGAGACTCGCACTGTATTTGATCTCATGAATTTCAACCTAGCACTAAAAATATAATTTTCGAGAGGGATTAACAAAAATAAAAGAAATGAAACTCTTCTAAATAGCTTTTAGATACGGTTTAAATTTTGCTAGATGTCGTTTTGCAAATCTGCTTATTTTATACTTTAATAATCTTGTAAACTTGTGTAATTAAAAAAAGTATAACATACTAGGACAGGTAGTACTAGTATATTGAACCGTTGGTAGGTTTTTGACGTTCAATATAGCTCAAAATAAGCCTTTATTGAATAAAGAAATGTTCCAAATAATTTTCACTAATAATAACTAGTGGTCGCTCAGCGGTCAAATTTCGACCATAATACACCATGATACAATTCTACCAATGTCAAGTTTTACATAAACTCTCAATTTTATCTTGATTTCACAATTGAAATAAACTCGAAATAAACTGTCAAATTAAAAAGGAAAAGGAAAAATAAAACAAAATAAAAAAAAACAAACATGAGAGCTTTAATATTATTATGTCGTTCACTGCCCGCAGCGGAACGGGGCTCCCCCGGATCACGGGTACCAGCGCGATTTCACGAAGCGCTCGAAGCGGCCGACCGCCGTGAAGCTGGTAAGCGAGCGCGTGTTGCACTGCGTCGCGTCGTTCGACGGCGGGCTGGTGGAGGCGACGCCGCGCAGGTACCAGCGGCGGCGGCCCGAGCGAGCGGAGGGGAACGCGAGCCCGCCGCCGCTGTCGCCGCGGCAGAGCGCCTCGCCTGTCCGCGAGTAGAGTTCATACTAGGCCCGCTCCAGTGTGACGTTTGTACTTGGGGCCAGCCGAGGTGCGGGTCCCCAAGGGCGTAGCGGGTGGACAGTGCAACGTTTATACTTATACAGCAGAAGTGCGGGTGTCCCTCGTGGCCAATTGCCAATGGCATAGCGGGTGGACAGTGCGACGTTTTAGGAGGGATGAGTGCGCGACGGCGCAGTGTTTAGGGACGCCCGGGTGGACGAGCGATTGCCCGGTGCCGGGACCAACGAAATTGTTCATTTTAAGTGCTGACTTATCACGTGCACAGCGGTGATGGTGAACATTGAAGATGCATGCATACTTTCGAAATAATAATAAAAAAAAAACTATTTCGAATATATACGAAGTCCGCCAATCTGCAGTGGGGCCGCGTGGTGTACTATGCCCTGATATGCTCTTTACAGAGGTGGCCTTCGCCTAGCAGCGGAAAATGTATAGCCTAATACTTTATGCACCTAAGTGTATGTTAGTGTTACAATGGATTTAAACATACACAACACTAAGACTAAAACAAAAACAAGCACCAGTTCCGCCTACCGTGCCAGTTGATCGAAAGAAATTCGAATGTTACGTAAATACAGTATACCATACTCGGTCAATTACATGTTTATTTTTTTTTAAAACATTGCCCTTACTTTAGTATAGCATTATCCTGTTTTGTAAGGACGTTTTACAAACATAAATTTCACGCGGACAAACACCCAGATGCGAAACCACTATCTGTGGGTCACACAAATAGTTGTCCCGTGTGGGAATCGAACCCACGACCCACGACGCCGATGCCAATAGCTCGACAACTACGCCACGCAGTCATCCTGCTGTTGAACATAAACAATCCAAAACTGACAAGGCCTTAGGCTACACTAATTCAGTCTAGCCTGACCTTCCAAAACTGTGGTAGGACCACGCAACAGTGTTTGCTGTTGCACGAATGGGCAGGTCCGTTCGGGTTAGTACCACGACCTCACAGTAGACCAGCGTGAAGTGGAAGTGTTACACTTCTGCGTTTCATCTGGTCAGTGAGGTAGCCGGGGTCCACTTTATTAAAAGCTGACAAAGCTTCTGCAACCCTATGGATGTTGTAAATGTCCATGGGCGGCGGTTATCATTTAACATGAAATAACCTGGACACCGTCAATGAAGAGGAATATTGCTAAACAGGCCTCAACTATCATCCTCCCTTTCTAACATCACCACCAACCCACCGTCCAAAGAGCCCGCGCAGATCTTGTCATCGTAAGTGATGTAACGCGCCAGAGCCGGCGTGGTGAGGTTCAGGCAGCTCTCGTAGTTCTCGAACGGGAGGTCTATCACCTTGAGTACAGGCGACTCGGAACCGACCAAACCTGTCGTAAGGCCCCAGCCCGCCGCCTGGACAGAAATCTATTGGTGTATTTTTTATTCCAAATGGCATAATGATAGTCATCGGACTCCTTTAATCTATTTCTATGTATATATAAGAGATTTCCACCGATAATTGACTCATCACGATATCTCTGGAACCATAAGGTGTAGAGACTTGAAATTTGGTAGGAATATTCCTTTCGCCGAGGAGAGGTCAGCTAAGAACGGATTTTACGAAATTCCACAAAACAAGGTTTGCCGGATCGGCTACTATATACATAAGCTCTTAAATGGGTCGTTATCCTTATTTGATACAATGCTATGAACAGTTTATGGAATAAGGATCACGATTAACATCACTGTCGCACATGCACACATAAAGTATCCACACTAGATGGCTACAAACATTGCTAATTCGCCTTTTTTCCGAATTCGCTACAACTGCGTCGACATACATTTACAATTTCGATGCATTATATTATGTCTCGTAATTCGGCGTGCCTCCTGGCATAGGCCTCCTCCAGCTCTCTCAACTGACATATATATCCAGTATGGCTCCAGGGTTAGGCAGATATCGTCTTTCCATCTTGTTTTCGGACGCCGTCGTCTCCTAGTTTCCTCTCTTGGGTACCATAAAGTCACTTTAAAGTTAAATTAGTAAGCTCGTACCAACCTTCCCACGCAAGCCATTCCGTAGCTGCTCGTTGCTGAACTCCTCGTCGAAGTCCAGACACACGGGCACCACGTAGGTCTTGTACTCGAAGGGCGTGGCGGCCACCACGATGGCGATGTCGTTCTTGTAGTACAGCTCCAGGCCGCGGTACGAATTGGGCACGATGATTTCGGATACCTGCCGTCGAGTGGTGTTATTTGCTCGATGGGGAGTGGCAATTAGTGGTATTCTAGGTTAGTAAGTAATAGTTTAAAACGTTACAATAATATATCGGTTTTTGATCTGCAAAGAAGAATATATTCTTCTTATTATTCTTCACTTCACTTAAGAAGCTCACGCTTCTTCTCCTGCAGTCCCTGTGAGGACGTAGTACCGGACGAGTTCATTCGCTTTGAAGTTTAAAATTTTGCTTGTTATCCGGTTACAAGGACCACTATTTCGTCCAGCTAAGCATATGCCGATTTTAAGGGTATCATGTGGTGGTGGTCACTTACCATCGGTTAGGACCCTTGCCGTCAACTTAAAAACATATCAGTACGTGTAACCTTTACACGCGTTTGAAGTAAAACTAAAAAAAATCTAAAAACAATTATTGATAATAATTTCATTTATTGATTTAATTTATTAAAAAGCTATTAAGTTTCTAAATGTTTAGTTCATTTGTATATGGACTTACAGCGTAAACATTTAAAGTCGGGTGCTGACGCGTTTCCGTTGCATTCAGTTACTCCTTAGTCGCGCATAAAGATGTTTTACTTCAAAAAACAACTAGTGTGCTTTGGATCACACGACTCAAGTTAAAATTCTAAAATTTATCTCTATCTGTATGAATTTACAATTTTTGTTAAAAACATCAAAATATTAATTCCACACGGGACAACTATTTGTGTGACCCACAGATAGTTGTTTCGCATCTGGGTGTTTGTCCGGTGAAATTTATTCTTGTAAAACGTCCCTACAACACAGGATAATGTTATCCTAAAGTAAGGGCAATATTTTTTTAGAATAACGAGAAGAAAGAAACTACTTCAAAACTCACATTGGACTTCTGCACGAACGGCTCGTCTTTGGGGTGGTCCCAGCTGCGGTATAGCTTCCCGGCGGCTAGGGCGTACTGGCCCGCCTCGTTCAGCTCGCGGTAGTTCTCGTTCCAAAAGCAATGCGCCGCTGTCGAGAGTGTTGGTGGGAATGGACGATGTTTAGTACTGGTGAGGCGTGGACTATGGGATTGTGGGCTTAGACTATTGTCGTATTGTATTTTGTTTGAAAGTAGTGATTCCCAAAGACCACTGCGATCTAGATCTATTGTAGTCTTAGTGAGAATGGACGATGTTTAGTGCTCCTGGGGCATGAACTGTGGGATTTTGGGCTTAGACTATTGTTGTATTGTTTTTTTATTTTGAAAGTAATGCTTCCTAATGACCACTGCGATCTAAAAGATCTATCGGCGTGTTAGTGATATTGACGATGTTTAGTATTCGTGGGGCTTGAACTATGATATAGTGGGATTGTGGGCGTGGACTTGTATTGTATTTTGTTTGAAAGTAGTAATTCCTAACGACTACTTCCACCTTTTTTTTTGGTATCGGGGGGAAATCTTCAAAAGATACCCTGTCATGATATGACAGGGTTATGTGGGGTTCGTACCCACTAAAACCCCCTCGGTGGCCACCTTCTGTACCTTTGGAGGGACTCCGGGATCTCCTATGGAACGCACCGGTGTCCCTCGGTACTGGGCGTGAGCACGCCTCGGAGAAGGGTAAACCTTCCCCGATTCCCTCGCCGTCTTCCAGCAGCCCGAGACCACTTCGTGCTGCTGCCAATCCGTGTCCCCTTTTAGTCGCCTTTTACGACAGGCAGGGGATACCTTAGCTCTATTCTACGAGCCCGAGACTACAGGGCTGAACGACTACTTCCACCTAGAAGATCTATTATTGTCTTCGGATATATTGCCCCTTACTATAGGATAACATAGGTAAGGGCGTTTTACATACATAAATTTCACGTGGACAGTTATCACCCAGATCCGAAACAATTATCTGGGGGTCACACAAATAGCTGTCTCGTGCGGTAATCGAACCCATGACCTAGGGCACCGAAGCCAATACCTTGACAACTGCGCCATGGAATTACAAGTCACTAATCACTAATGCTATAATAGCCTGTAGCACACAACGTTTTGATTAAGTTCGAACGATTTCTGTGATTTTTTTTGTAAAACCGTATACGCTGTCCGATAAAAGATTTACTTATTCCACGCAATCTAGATCAGGGTAGAATTAATTTCTTCCTAGTATTTATATCATGTGCATTATTTATTTATTTATCCTTTATGCACTAAAAGTACAAAGGCGGACTTAATGCCGAAGGCATTATCTCCCAGTCAACCTTAGGGTGGTACAGAAAAGGTTAGGTAGGTGCACAGAAAGACAAAAAAAGAAAATCTACAACTGAAACTTACAAGGTACATATCTGATATTATATTGTATATGTTGAGATAAGTAATAGCATTACTAGATTTTAAAAATTCATTCATATTTTTACGGACACACATAACCTCCAATCCGCAGTGGAACGTGTGGCGGACTGTGCCCTCTGTACAGAGGAGGCCTTTGCCCAGCAGCGGGACATTTACAGGCTGTTACTTTACTTTTTTTTTACACAACATTTGCAAGTATGTATTGAGAAGCAACAGTGAACCTAAAAACCCAAAAAAAGGGCAGGTCCTCACCGGACAACACCAGCGTGTTGCTGATGAGTGAGCCGCCGCATATCTGGACAACGTGACCGGGCTTCGTGTATCTGTCGTAGATGCCGACGTGCCAGGGCACTTCACCGGCGCGGGCGTAGCCGCCGAGCAGCACTAGTGGTGTGCTGCCCAAAGACTGGGTGCCGCAATCTGGGGGACGACCGCACGAGATGCATGACCAAATGAAACATCGTTATATGGGGATCATAATAAACGGGGTTCACTCTAAAAAGACAATCTGGGGGCCAAGAAATGCATGACCAAATGAAACATCGCTATATGGGGATCATAATAAACAGGGTTCACACAAGAAATGTGGTAGCAAAATGGGTTCCATCAAAGGGAAATGTCATTAAACGGAACGACAGTTAATAGTCGAATATACACATTAGGAGGCAAAATTAAAGTCCCTATAAATCCTTGATTTGTATTTAACATCCCATATAAGGTGAAACGGAAACATGTGGGCCACATGACATGTACTACACATGAAGCCGTGATAGCTCATTGTATGGGCGCTTGCTTTCAATTCCATATACTCGAGCAACCTGAGTTCGATCTCCGGTGACGGCACCAATGAAATTGTTAATTTTAAGTGCTGGATAATGTGCTGACTCAGCGGTGAAGGACGTCGAGAGGAAACCTGCACATTTTGGAAATAATAAAAAAAATAATGTTTCAAACCGCGTGCTGGAGCCCTCTGTATTGAGGAGGCATTTGCCCAGCAGTGGGATATACTGTTACTTTAAGTTACGACCTACTCTATATCCTTTCCAGGTGCACTGCAGAAGAATTGTGTTAGGCATCTGGATTCGATTAGAAACAAAATAAACCGGCCGATTTAAGAAGACGAGCGCTCACCGGCCGTGCAGACCGGCGCGGCGCTCCACACGCCCTGGCGGCAGTGCATGTAGGGCAGCTCCACCGGCGAGTAGTAGACGGGCCTCCGGCAGGAAGTCCTGACGACAGCGCCCTCTATCTCTTCGGGGTCGCAATCGCGCGGCTTGCCGGTTGCATCGTCCGTACACTCGTATTCAATGCTGACGTGTTTGATCAACTGGCACGTCTCTAGAGGACAGGCAAGTTAGATTTTTATATCACGCGTCCGACTGCCATTTTAATATCACGCGAACACTCAAAATTACTCGATAAAACAATCTTTAAAGAATAAAGAACCGTATTTTTTAAAATACCCTCTGCACAGAGGAGGCCTTTGCCCAGCAATGGGACATTTATAGGCTGTTATTTTATTTTTTTAAGTATTAAAATTAAATCACTAAAAATATAAAAAGTATTTTAACAAAAAAAAAAGGACCGACTTCAAAAAACTCTATTAGCCCTAAAAAGTTTAGTTATGTTATATAGGTTAGATTTTCAAAATTTGATCACATTTAAATTTCTAGTCCTACCAGATTTTTTGAAGTCGGTTTATTTATTCGTTTATTTTTTTTGCACAATTAGGCAGTTTCGTCCGAGTAAGCACCACGACGTCACAGAACACCGGCGAGACGTGGAGTTGCCACACTTCCGCGTCTCTGGTGAGTGAGGTAATCGAAGCGTATTTTATTAAAAGGTTACAACCCATCTGCCACCGCACGCGTGCTGCGACTGCCAATGGGCGAGATATCACTTGACATCGGGTGAGCGGCCAGCTCGTTTGCCACCTTCTGCAACCCTACGGGTGTTGCAACTGTCAATGGGCGAGCTATCACTTGACGCGACCCGCCAGCTCGCTGCCACCTTCCCACATAAAACTACGTACGGACACAGCGGGGCAGCCTGGGCCAGGTGCCGTTGAGGCAGGCCACCTTCGCCTCGCCGACCAGACGGAAGCCCAGGTCGCAGGCGAACTCCAGGTACAGGTAGTCCACGTCGGGGGAGTCCGCCTGCCCGATGACAGTGTACGTTCCGTTCTGCGGCGGCTCAGGGGAGAGACATCTGCGTAGTGGATAAATGTTTTACGCATCCACAGGGCTCCGTACCCGAAGGCTAAAACGGGACCCTATCACTAAGACTCCGCTGTCTGTCTGTCTGTCCGTATGTCACTAGGTTGTATCTCATGGACCGTGATAATAAAACAGTTGATACAGAAATAAATAAATCTGTAAGTACCCGGAGGGCCGAGCTTTGCTCGGTTTGTTTTTTTTTTGGTAAATCGTGTGTTTTGGAAATTACATTTAGATACAAATTACTGAGTAATATTTTTCGATCTTACCGACGTAATAATAAGAAAATATGAACTGATGTTTTTCACAAAAGAAAGAACTTTAAAAAAAAAGGGAAAAAAATAACAAATCGACAAAAAATTAAAAACAAAGAAAGCAATGATCTGGAATCGAAAAAAAGTAAAAAAATAAATGTGTAAATGATCGTGACGCGAACCACGGCCGGCTGTATTGGGGCCGCCAGATTACCGACCGAGCTATTTTGACATTTTCTCTTGCGGCGAAATTTACCGTCATATTCGAATTATATTTTTCATTCCCTGAAAACAGGGATATTAGGACATTTTCTAAAAATGAAACCTAGTCAGATTGATTTTTCACCCCCGAATCTACGCACATACTAAATTTCATGAAAATCGCTGGAGCCGTTTCCGAGATTCCAATTATATATATATATATATATATACAAGAATTACTCGTTAATTTTCGATAAGAATATGTTAATACGCGAAGCAAAAACTTTGTACCCCTTTTTTACGAAAACTGCGCGGACGGAGGAGTGTGAAATTTCCCACACTTATAGTTTATACCGAGAAGGAGTGCAGAATGTTATTTTTTTTTTAAATTATTCATAAAAAATACGTCAATTCAATAAAAAATCATTACACACACACACACTATCACGTAAAATTATATACCCCACCACCACTCGTAAATATAAACATATGACAAGTCCATTTTTTTTATTAAAGAAAAACCCGACTTGAAATGTCTCCCTCTGTATTAATTTTATAATTGATATTCAGGAGTTCCCTAGCGCCCGGTTTCTGAAACACTGATCAACCTAGATGTCAACTAATCAGCTGTCAAATGAATTTCAAATTTCATTTTAGTTGCCAAAAGGATGTTTAAACTCTCTGAATTGACCAGAATGATCTTCTTTATGATCAGAATTATCAATTCAAAGAGTTTAAATTTAAACATACTTTTGGCAACTAAAATGAAATTTGAAATCCATTTGACAGCTGATTAGTTGACATCTACGATGATCAGTGTTTCAGAAACCGGGCGTAAGTATCTCCCCAATCCAAGACCCAATACCAATGAAATTAATGTGGGACAAATAAAAAAAGAAACATCAAAGTCGGTTCACGCAATTGAAAGTTCTGAGGTAACAAACATAGTAAAAAAATACAGTCGAATTGAGAACTTCCTCCTTTTTTGAAGTCGGTTGAGAAAAGTGATCGTATGAACAAAGAAGTTTTGCTTCAATCCAGGATGCTTTTAGTTTGTTGGGTTCGTTTACCGCAGCGGTTTAAAACTTTTAGTTGATTTTCTCACAATTCTAATAGAGGTTGTAGTTTAGACGGTGGTAGGGCCACGCAGCAGCCTCGGCTGTTGCACGAATGGGCAGGCCCGTCCGGGTAAGTACCACGACCTCGGCGTAAAGTGGAAGTATGACGAATACTTTCGCGTTTCGTCTGGTGAGTGAGGTAGCCGGAGCCCAATTTGCAAAAAGGTTGCAGATGTCCATGGGCGGCGGTATTCACCTAACATCAGGTGAACCGTCTGCTCGTTTGGCAACTTTTCACATTAAAAAAAAAGAAGGAGTAACTCACTTGGGCGCCTCAGTGACCGGCGCTGGCGTTGTTGGCCTGACGAGGGTCTGAACCCCGCACAGCTCGATCTTCTCGTCCGATCCGTCGGCGCACTCGATTGTCTGGAATTGTGTTCAGGGGCCACTCTGGTGCGAGGGCAGTTGTCCATCGAACGTGACCTGTGATATTCCACTTGGGGCCCACGACCTTGGCGTGTACACGTTGCCAGTTGAGAGCGTCGCTAAATACCCTTATGCTTTTTTTTAAGTCCCGAAGTGGCAAACGAGCTGGCGGTTCACCTGATGTTAAGTGATAACCGCCGCCCATGGACATTTGCAACACCTTTTAATAAAGTGGGCGCCGGCTACCTCACTCATCAGACGAAACGCGGAAGTGTAACAATTTCCACTTCACGCCGATCTTCTGTGAGGTCGTGGTAATAACCCGGACGGGCCTGCCCATTCGTACAACAGCAAACAGTTTCACGGTCCTACCACTACACAGACCCCCACTACGATGCCACTCCCACCTAGTTCCCACCCAGATTGCGTCCAACAATTTTCGAGAACTCCCACCAATTGATCTCGATTATGTGGCAAATCGTCTGCAATCCTACACGGTCGGCGGCGCTGCCCCTCCCCCTTTGTTATACATCCGCCCCCCATATATTCAGGCGGTTACTCGCAACATTATCGAAATGCCAGCTCACTCACCACTTTCTAACATAAAAACCCCTAAAGTTGTGCCCCTCTCAATGAGAGGCCTCTCCTCTGGCATTTAAACCCCCCGCCCCTTTTATAGGTCGCTCTCCATACATCCATGCCGTTATCCAAAGCGCCAGCTCGCTCGCCACCTTCTAACATACTTAAGCGCTAAAGGCGATCCCCTCCCTTCTGCATATAAAGCGTCCCCTCCCCTTCTACGATCCCCTCCGTTCTGCATATAAAGCGTCCCCTCCCCTTCTACGACCCCCTCCGTTCTGCATATAAAGCGTCCCCTCCCCTTCTACGACCCCCTCCGTTCTGCATATAAAGCGTCCCCTCCCCTTCTACGACCCCCTCCGTTCTGCATATAAAGCGTCCCCTCCCCTTCTACGACCCCCTCCGTTCTGCATATAAAGCGTCCCCTCCCCTTCTACTACCCCCTCCCTTCTGCATATAAAGCGTCCCCTCCCCTTCTACGACCCCCTCCCTTCTGCATATAAAGCGTCCCCTCCCCTTCCACAACCCCCTCCCCTCTGCACATGAAGCGTCCCCTCGCCGTCCACTCACGCGGTTGCACTGCGCCCCCCTGTCCACGCAGCCGCCGTACTCGCACTGGAACCGGCCCGGCGGGCAGGCCAGCTCGGCGCACGCGCCCACCGTCTCGTCCGAGCCGTCGGCGCAGTCCGCGGCGCCGTCGCACCGCCTCTCGACGGGCACGAGGGCCCCGTCGCGGCACTTGAACTTGCCGCTGCGGGGCAGGGTTCGCAAGGGCACCTCTCACTGCCGCCATAGCTCAGTGGCCGGTCGCTCGCGCTTAATTCAATTTACTCGAGCGAGCCTAGTTCGATCGCCGCCGCCGGCACCGATGAATTTGTTAATTTTCGGTGCTGACTTATCACGCGCTCGGTGGGTGAAGGAAAACATCGCGGGGGAACCTTACTGTTGAAAATGTTTCGAAGACATGTGAAGCCCGTCAACACGCGATGGGGCTGCGTTGTGGACTTCTCTAATACACAGGGGTGGGCAGAGGAGGTCTTTGCCCAGCAGTGGGACACGTATAGGCTATTACTTTACTTTAATTTTGTCTTTTCCATCCGCAACTCTCTTTTTTATCATTACTTGACAAAAAATAAAATGTTTACAAAAGTGTTGAAGTCTACGTGATCAATTAATTTCCAGGGTGTGTTATCATTAAAATAATCACTACATATACTTTATTTGCATTCCACAATGTAGGTTAGGTGGTAAAAATTTAAATTAAGAATCATCATGCGACGCAAGTAGGGCATAGCAATAGTAAAATTGTTATATTGTTAGAAATAGAATAAATCGAAATATCGAATTGCAACACTGCAACGGGCTATAAAACGAGCAGCGCTCATCGTGTTCGTTCAGTATTTCCAAACAAAAAACGAACGTAGTGATTACATTCTCTTTGAGTTTTTCGTCGGTCGTTCTAGCGTGCTGAAGCTCTACCCGAATTAATAACGATTGTGCCGTTTACTTAGAATTATATTGGCCAATAAGTTTTTTTTAAAAATCAGTTTATACTGGCCACTTATTGGCTTTCTTTTTAAAAAATCAGTTATCGTTTCTATTTCTAATAATATTATAACACCTCAAAACACCAGGGATTTCCCCCCCCCCCCCCCACTCACCCTTCCACCGGATTCTCGTCCTTGCACCGGGGAAGCAGCTCGTCGGACTCGTCGGGGCATTCCTGCCGGTTGTTGCAGGGGGCGGTCTCGTCCACGCAGCCGCCGTAGTTACACCGGAAGGTATACGGCCCGCACCTGAAGGCAAGCCTTGCAAATTCGATATACGTCTATTAAGATAGACGCTTGCGCGTTCATATGAAGCGAGTCGAATTTTACATTAATAATTCATACATCCTTATTAATATTATACAGGCGAAAGTTTGTATGTATGGATGGATATTTGTTACTCTTCCATGCAAATACGACTGAATGGATTTTAATGAAACTTTACAATAATATAGCTTATACATCAGAATAAGACATGGGTTATGATTTGTATACATATTTTATGTATATCTGTCTGAATGTTACGCTTTCAGCTTTTGCTACGCAGACGTAATCGCGGGCAGCAGCTAGTAAATTCATAAGTAAATTACCACAATATTCGGACTCATTTTTTTTACACAGCCTTCTCTAGTCCCAAACTAAGCATCGCTTGTATGGGTACTAGAAAACTGATAAACATACTTAAACATACTTTCCTTTTGTAAATAAATACATATATACTATGGAAAAACATATGTTTGCGGTAGTGGGGATCGAACCCACACCCATGAGGCACGGTCAATACTCCCCACGCCTATCGGGTCGTCACAATGCTCAAGAACGACGGTTTTCACTTAACATCAGGTGTTAGGGTTTTCGGCTGTCGGTGTGCGCGCGAATCCTAAATATTTTACTCGCATAACTTTTTCGTAACGCCTCGAAAGAAGTAAAAAGTCAAGAATGTTCTTCAGCCGGCTCGGGTTCTGTGGGGCGTTAAGGGATGGAGACCTGGGGTCTGAAGGGCTAGAGGCTTAAGGGTTCACCGGCACAACACGATGTAGTAGAGCAGGCCTAAAAGGCCATGGTCGCACCGGGCTCGCGGAAGATTGCGTCCACGTGTTCCCGTGTCCCCGGCCGATGCGACAGAGACAGGTGCAGCGTGGGTTTTTTGTTGATTCCCCTGTCCACATTCCCCTGTCACTTCACCGATCCAGTGGCAGGGGATCCATAAAGGATTTTTCCCACGGAAACAAAAATGGGGGTCTGTAGGGCCTTAAGGGATGGAGACTTGGGGTCTGCAGGGCTGGGGCCTTAAGACTTGGACACCTACTCGCGGTTCCTGCAGAGTTCGAAGGTCTCGTCGCTGCCGTCCGGGCAGTCGATCCGGCCGTTGCAGTCGCTGTTGACGCGCACGCAGGTGCCCTCGTTGCAACGCCATTCGTTGTAGCTGCAACAGAACGGTCTAAGCTGGTCCGAACCCAGGGCCGGATTTAGGGGAGGGCAACGGGGGCTAAAGCGCCGGGGCCCCCACAAAAGAGGAGCCCCCACAATAGAGACGACGGAAAAGAAAACCAAATTCAGACTAGTAAACAGTTGTAAACAACTTTTCCTTTCATATATTTTTTCGCGATTTACCTTTACCTATTATTTTCCATTGATTTCTGTTAATATTTAATGCAATCATGTTTGTCCAAAGTACTGTAGGTGGCAGATTTTTTACAATTATTTACTCCTCCATCCCCCTTGTCAGCAAAAGCAAGCAAAGCAATTACCTCCTCCCCCGATGCTTACGTAAACATTTTTCAATTAAAAATGTATTTTTTTATATTAAAATTATAATGTTATATTTATGTAAGTATAAAAATAAGAAAATATATTTAGGATAGACATTAGATATTACCGATACAGTATTCAACATAGAGTAAGGGACAAAAATATTATAATCTTACGAACATAACAAATTTATTTTAAATTTTTGGTACACACATTAAATTCAAATATTTCTAGTACTCATAGGTACCTAAAATGATTTCGTCACTCACTTTGGAAAAAAAAACGTAGTAGATAGGATTTATTCCTAGTCGCCGCTTGCAATTCTTCTTCAATTCTCTTAAACACAATAATATATAGTTCCTTGTCGGACTTTGCTTGTAATTTATAATTTCGCCACACTTCGTTAACTAACTTTTGTACATTTTGAACTTTCGTACTTGTATGAGATTTTTTAAAACTTAAAAAATTTTTGCTATAATTTGGATTTGTCTATTTGAAACATCTTATTAAAACGTTAAACTTTGGAATCTACGGGAACACAAATGTTAACTTGCTTTGTTATGCTTACAGACAATGTGAGGGTTGCCATTCGTGTAAAAAAGTAAATAACTACCTGTAGTGATCGCAAGTTAACAAAAGGAACTAACTATGAATATCTGTGTTTCACTGGCTCACTACTACACACAGCTCCGAGCGTAGGCGCACGTCTTTACCGTACCGCGTCTAATGCTAGACTGACAGATTTTCGGTACCCCCTCTACTGGTGTACATGAGACAATGTGTTATATCTATTAAATAGATACAAACACTACACTACCGATGACGTAATCATCATCTAGAGTCCCCTACCCCCATGTCATCCAAAATAAGCAAAACAAAGACCCCTCCCCCCCCCCCATAGTGCTTACGTAATACTTGAACGGCCCCTATGGGTGAGTTCAAGTGTTTGTGACCGGACTGTTCTGGATGTGGGCGTGTTCACCTGGAGGGCTGACGTCACATAAAGAACCTTGCCATACCACTTAACAACACGTTGTGCTGGGATAATGTCGGGAGGATGGATCTTCAGAAATCAAAGGTGTATCAAAAGCAAAAAAACCACAAACATTTTACTCCTAAAACCCACCTGCAATCTGCCTCTTCCTGCCGCTTATGGCGGGTTCGTGATGCGTTTGTATACAAGTGACTGGGTAATCTGCAACACGCAATATATCTAGAAGATGAAGATTTCAATTAATGGTAGAGCCATGCAACGGTCTTCGCTGTTGCACGAATGGGCAGGTCCGTCCGGGTGAGTACCACGGTCCGACCGTGAAGTGGGAGTGTTTTACTTCTGCGTGTCGTCTGGCGTTAGTGCCCTAGGGTAGTGGGGTAGCCGGGGCACACTTTACGATAAAGTGGCAATGCATCTGCAACCCTACGTGGGGGGTTGTCGGTTCGATCCCCACGCGGGACAACTATTTGTGTGACCCACAGATAGTTGTTTCGCATCTGGGTGTTTGTCCGCGTGTAATAATGTTATCCTAAAGTGAGGGCATAAAAAAATATCGGGTGAAAAGCCAGCCCGCTTGCCACCATCTCATATAAAAATAATAAGATCGCTCATACGCTGCCTACCTGCGATCGTGCCAGAAAGACGCCGAAGCCTCTAGAATGAACAGTGCTGAAACAGAGATAAGCTGCTCGTTAAATTATTAGATATTTAAAATTGAAAAATGTCTGTAAAATATTCATCAAAATCTGGGCTAAAAGTACTTTAGAAGACGCCATATCATATTAAGTTTGCCCGTAATAGGCTCCGAAGTGGTTTTCTTTACGTAGCTCACCGTTTGGCTGGCTGCATATAGCTCGTACAACTAACAATCGATGGCACAGAAAGATTCGATTTAAACAATGACGTCGTATACATATACGAGGCAGATATGACACTGGCACAAGGAAACTGAGGCACTCAAATTACGCCAATTTGTGTAATAAGATTGCAATTCTGTAGACTGCTATCTCCGCGTATCATAGGTTCTATATCATCTGTTACATTCGCCCGTTTGTCATTTCTAATGTAAAGCGGAAAAATTTTGAAAACGCCACATGGTATGGACTTGCGTCATTACTACATAGTATAAAACCAAGTCGTCCCGTTGTCTCTGTCCCTATGTTTACTTAGATCTTTAAAACTACGCAACGGATCTTGACTTTTTTTTTACTAGATAGAGTGATTCAAGAGGAGGGTTCATATGTATAGGTAATACAATGCACCCGTGCGAAGCCTGGGCGAGTCGCTAGTCTATAATATAGTCGCTAGTCTATATGTAATATTAATAAACATCATTGTATTTAAGCCTTCGTCATGTATCACTTCGTCCATTGGTGAAGTATGGAAATCCGTTCTGTTTTTGACATTTTCGTTTTCGCGTACAGACTGACACACAGAAACGGCGGGCGACAAACGGATTAGAGTAATAATTTTTCTTAATTAAAAAGTATATAATTTTTTCTTTGGTTAGTTACTAAATAATAATCGTATTTAATAAAAGCATTCAAAGTTTTTATTACATTGAAAACTAAATGAACACATATCTAACATAATAAATCTTTTATAAATCAATCTAAAATCAACAAAAACTTCTATTGAGTTTGACATTCTGTTGCCTAAATCTTATTTTAGTTGGAACCAAACGTTTATCTTTTGATTTTTATACATAAATAGATTATAGGTACTTGTCAAGGACCTACGTAAACTTATTTAGATATTTTAATAGTGGCACAGGGGAATGGACACACAATATTTTGTTTATAATGTGGAATCACTGGATTAATTATTGTAACTAATACTAAAAGGTACCTACCATAAAAAGTCAGCTCAAACCCTATATGTAAACAAACATTACTTAAGTAGGTAAGCCTATCGAATAATTGTCACTGATAAATAATTCTAACTAATTACTTACTTAAAAGTATTTCACAACACAAAGTTACACTCATTTCAAATATCACTTTAGAGTATTGAAGAAAAAAGCCTTAAATATTAAATAACCTCTAATTGCAAAAATATTGAGGAAATATGTACCATTAATTCCAATCACAGCCACAGATTATAAATAATCATCGCTCGATTTGCTTTATCAAACACGCGTGACCTCATCTTGACCTATAAGTAAACCGGTAAATTATTATACTAAATTGAACAAGGATAAACGACGATCGTCTTTGTTACGTTTAACTTCGGCGATATAATATAACTATTGAAACGACGGTGACCATTCCTGCTATAAAATGACCATAATTTTCAAGAAGCCCGTATTTGAAAATTAATTTTTTTATTATCGTTTAAACTTAGTTAACGCCGCACTTATTAAAAGAAGAATAAATATTTTATTTTAATATGATTAAGTTTATGTAACCATATGTGCCACTATTTCTTCAATATAAATAAATAAAATGAAAATAAAAAAGGCTCCAATTATTGCATCAATTGCATTTTTTGTTTTTTATTTTCTTCTATCCTTCGTCTACAAGAACCCCTGATTGGGTGAAAGCCTCCTCCTAAGATTCCCATTTGGGTGGATTTTGTGCTATTTGGCTCCAGTTTGAGCCGGCGGTCTTAATAATTTCGTCTTCCCAACGTGTGTGGTCTTCCGCTATTTCGTTTTCTTCGTGTTCCACCACTCCACAGGGTAGTTTTCACGGTCCATCTCTGGTCTGTAAGCCTCGCTACATAGGCCCATTTCCACTTTAGTTTTTTGGCATTAGCTCAAGGCATTAGCGGCTTTTGTTAATGAGCTTATTTTCGAGTGTCGTATTTTCTCAACTTTTTTTATCTTGAGCATACATTCTCTCGAGTCCTCGCTGGCAGGTCGTGATTTTGCGCTTAGAAACCACGTCTTCAATATAGTATTCCGTGTATGTATTTCTTCAATTTAGTTCCTATTAATTCAGAACTGCATCCATGCGCCTGACGAAATAATTTGCGTCTTTTTTTATTTTTTTTTTAAATCAAAATCAAAAATATATTTATTCAAACAGACGCTTGCGCGCTCTTATGAATCGTCAAATTTTACATCAAAGATTATGTGTATATAGGTTCGTAAGGTACCACCGGTTCGGAAAGCAGTTTCTGTTGAGAAGAGACCGGCAAGAAACTCAACAGTTGCTCTTTTTCAAAAGTATCAATTTACAATATAATAAACAGGTATAACAGTCTTATTCTAGCCTACGTGAGTATCAACAGTATTAACTCCACACATTGGCGTCGTCGAGATATTCTGAAATGGTATAATATGCTTTAATCATTAGTTGATTTTTAATTTTACATTTAAATTGGTCAAGCGGCAGACTTAATATCGACTGTGGGATTTTATTATACATGCGCACACTTTGCCCCATGAACGACTTATTTACTTTTTGTAGACGAAACAATGGCGTAGTAAGTTTGTCCTTATTTCTAGTGTTTATTTTATGTCTGTCACTATTCTTTAGGTAATAATTAAGGTTATGACGTATATACAAAACATTACAATAAATTAAATTTCAGCGTAAAAATATGTCAAACGCATATTGTATTTTTATTTATTATTATATTTATTTATTTATTTTTAATCTTTACATACTGTGCATCATTAGTTACGTCGGCATTTTCTTCACACGCATGTTGAAAATAGTCATTGGCAGAAAAATAGGATAACAATATTTTGGTGGTGAAGTGAATAGGCAACATGTGGCAGCTTAATATTAAAAATAAAATTCTAGCTTGTGGAACCGATAACCGTTGGGGAAGAAAGGTTCTCGAGTGGCAGCCTCGTACTGGCCATCGCAGTGTAGGACGATCCCCCACTAGATGGAGTGACGATGGGAAGTCGATGGATGCAGGTGGCTCAGGATCGTACTTCATGGCAGTCTATGGGGGAGGCCTATGTTCAGCAGTGGACTCAAACAGGCTGAAATGATGATGATGATGATGTTTCTGGGGAAGTGTACACTTCATACCAGAGATAGGGCTTTCCGTAAAGTTAACCTCTTTTCTTTCGCTGAGGCCGAAATGAAGAAATACAGTTTTATAATTTTTTTTCCTATACACCTTGATAATTGACAAATTTCATAATCAATTAAATAATTTGGTAGCAATTAGTCTAAAATGAAGTAAAATATATGGTGATACATCTACAATAATTTGTATCATACTAATCGTTTAGGTTAATAATATTTAATGGATAAAAGAAAGATGTCAAACCAGGCGATTTAGAATAGGTATTTCATAAGAAAATATTTTGGGATTCACAATAACTATTCGTTTTTCATAATAAACTAAAAAGAATTTAGATAGAAAGCATGGAATCGACATATTTTAATATATTTTCAATAGATGGCGCTGTTCTACTAAAAAGCGCGTGAATTATAATTCTTAAAAATTTTAAAGTAAATTAAAATGTTAGTTTGTTTTTCATAAAATGATATGAATAACTCATAAAACTGAAATAATTAATAATCTAAATGGAAAGCCATCTTAAGGACCATTCTTTGTGCCTGATTTTCCGTCAACTGCATTAGATTTGTATTGGATTTGTAGTGGTTTTTGTGGTGGTTCGAGCAATGGATGTGTTATACTTGTATCCGCCGATATAATCAGGCAAGAAATAAAATAGTAGTAAAGAGGTTGTCCTTGTTTATAATGATAATATTGCTATAAAACAAAGTAATTTAAATAATACGTATTATATTGTATTTGTTAGTGTGATTAACATTCTATTCCCATCCGTCCTTATACATAGATATAATCACGATGCTCAGGACCTCTGAAGGTCTAAAAAAAGTTAATAACATTGTAACTTAGAAGTCGGTTAAATAATTAACTTTTTTTTTATTATTTTTAATCACGTTACAAACGCCTCTATACGAGTCTACTCGATTGTCCTGTTTTAATTCTTATAAAAGATCTGTTGAACTTTAAGTTCATTACAATAAATTTAAACAGTGATAATATTTTTTCAATCGGACATATTGTTTCGTTGTTTACATCTAAGAAACGGATTTGGGTACGGGTAGGGATAGTGAAACAACCATAAACAATTTAAGGTAAAAGTTTATTAAATCGAAATTGTTCATCTTTTTCAAAGTTGGTATAATTGATCTAATTAATTCGGATATGTTTGTATTATACGCTTTATTGGAATGTCAATAATTATAATCTACATATAAAATATGGCCGCTATATTTGTTCGTATTTGAAGGAAGTCCATATCGATATGACTCAATTGATTTATTTTTTGTCGATAAGTTCAACAAACGATTTTTAAATGAATACATTACTTATATTATAGAAAAAAGTCTCAACACAATACTATACAATATGTGGAAAACATCAATTCTGTCCGTAAGCTTGAGAAAATTAGAGTCATGTAAAAAAAGCAAAAGCGCGTGGATACGTCGATTATTAAAAATAAATTTCAGCCGTATTTATTTATATTTCACTATACTACGAGTCCATCGAAAATAAAAAATAAAAATGACAGAAAATGTCATGTTGGTAGAGAGCGGGAAATATCACAAGTCGCATCAATTTAACAACAAAGTATTATATAAAATATTCAGTAAAAAAAGATATTACAATTATTACAAATGATTACAATTTTTACAAAACCTTTACAGTTTTTTAACAATTCAATAAACATTTCACGAAAATAAGGACGGAAGCACTCAAACTGCAACTCCGGAGTTACCGAATCATTTCTTTCATCGAACGTGTGATATATAAACAACAAAGTTACGACATATCGACAGGTAAACAACGAAGTATTATCAAATAAAACAGCATTTCAAAAATTTTTACACAATAAGATATTATCACATATTTATCTCTAAAATATTTATCTTGATTCTCATGGCAACATTGAATCAATTAAATATTAATAATTACCCATAAATATCGATGTTCCGAGATCTAAGTATTGTAAAAACGGATTAATCGCCATGGGTTCAAGTAACAACGTGAGTTCAAAATCCAATATTTTGTATAGCGTTTTCTATACAAAATATTGCATGTCATCAATAAACCAGCTGCGTAAGTGAATCTAACGTGAACTTCATTTTAAGTCTCGGTTGGGAAATGTAAAAATACATTTTACTATGGTAATACGCGAAAGCAATGTGCTCATTACGTATTAATTCGTAATTTATACTTATTGAAACTGATTAAGAACTATTTGAGAATGTTGGCTTACAGCGAACAGTCGATTCTCCTTAAAAAGTGTTAACCCCGGCTACCTCACAAGACGACACGGAATAGTAAAAAACTACTTACAAAAAGGAAAAGTAAACTAATACTTTTTCTACATGTTTAAAAACTACTACGTTCTGAATTTTTACATGAAAATTTTTGAATTTTTCAGCTGGGAAGACTATCTTAAAAGGTTACACCGGTTACTTCACTCACAACAGGAAACGGAGAAGTAAACAAGTACATTTCCATTAACAACAAATAAAACCGACTTAAAAACTTCAAATATCCCACTCACTATACATTTTCTATTTGATTTTTAGGAATTTGAATTTTTTACATTGCTAATCTCTGCAATTAAGATAGAAAATATACGAAGTTTGTCGCCGCTGTGGGAATCGCACCCACGTCTTCGGCATCCGCGGCTTGACGCTTTAGCCACTAAGCTAAACGGCTTTTTGGAGTGTCAAGCATTGCTTCAAATGCTAAAAAACATTGTAGCTAAAACAAGTTAAGATTTTCGTCGGTGTGGCAATCTTTTCGTACTTTTCCTACAAAATTTAATGGTTTTTAGGAGATATCCTGGAGTCCTAGGTCGAATACCCTCTATAATATTAATATAAGTATAGATATAGAAATAGATAAATATTTAATATAATATTTCAGGACACATTTTTACACAACGCCATCTAGTGGCAAACTAAACAAAGCTGTGGATACTACCTAACTGATAAACATACTTAAACATACTTTTCATTTGTAAATAAATACATATTCTGAAAACGAATACGTATCATAGACATACAATAAATCAGACACTGGAAAGACTACGATCACCACAGTATTTTTCCAGTTGCCGAGTAGGACCGTGTGGAGGCGGGTCTGCTATCCTTGTCACACACGGCACAAAGCGCCTCCTACTCGATATGCTACTATCCTTGTCACACTGGAACAAAGCGCCATCTACTCGATGAACAGCGCCTCCTTGATGAAGTGCTCGTGCTTCGTCACCTGGGTGAAGCTGGTGAGCGTGTGCGCGTTGCAGAGGTTCTCATTCCTGGGGGCCGTGGAGACGATGCCGCGCAGGTAGTAGCGCTGCGTGCCGCGGTCTGACTCGGGGAAGGCGAGCCCGCCGCCGCTGTCGCCCTTGCACAGCGCCGTGCCTGAGCGAGGGTCCGATATGAGGGCGGTGAGCGGGTCGCTAGGTGTTAGGTGATAACCGCCCCATGCGGTGGGCAGGGCCGGATTTAGGGGAGGGCAACCGAGGCTACAACCCCGGGGCCCCCACAATAGACTTCGGAAAAAAAATCAAATTGAGACTAGTAAACACTAGAGCCGTGATAGCTCAGTGTCCGGGCGCTCGCCTTTAATTCAATATACTCGAGCAACCTGAGTTCGATTCCCGGTGCCGGCACCAATGAAGTTTTTAACTTTAAGTGCTGACTTATCACGTGCTCCGCGGTGAAGGAAAACATCGTGAGGAAACCTGCATATTTTCGAAATAATAACAAAAAAATATATTTCGAAAATATGTGAAGTCCGCCAATCCGCAGTGGGGCCGCGTGGTGGACTATGCCCTGATACTCTCTTTATAGAGGAGGCCTTAGCCCAGCAGTGGGACATGTATAGGCTGTTACTTTACTTTAAACACTAGTAAACAACTTATCCTTTCATATTGTTTTTCCCGTTTTACCTTTACCTACTATTCTTGATTTCGCAATAAATTATTTATAGGAAACTCGACTGAAACAATTGTTCATTTAATTTGGAAAATATTTGGGGCCGAGGGGTCTCGACGCCTTCGTTGCCCCGAGGCCTCCAGACCACGAATGACTTTTTGTCTATTTTATGTGAGGTGGTAAGCGAGCTGTGCGGTTCGTCCGATGCCAAGTAATATTCCCATACATCGACATACACGGCACCTGTAGGGTTGTCACCTTTAAATAATACGGGTTAGCTCGCTCACAAAACGAACCATTCATTCAATCAGTCTTCCGAATGAACGACCATTCACTCGGGTCGTAAGTGATTGACATTCGCGACACCCGTATGGTTGTCACCTTTAACTAAACCGGGACGGCTCGCTCACAAAACGAACCATTCACTCAATCACTCTGCCGAATGAACGACTTGCTTGGCTTACCATTCGAAGAACAGGGGACCTACCGTGGGCACAGCACCATGTAGTAGAGGAGGCCTAAAAGGCCATAGTCGCCCCGGGGTCGCGGAAGATTGCGTCCACGTGTCCCCGGCCGATGCGACAGAGACAGGTGCAGCGTGGGTTTTTAGTGGGTACCCGTTTCTCACCGGGACTCCCACATACCCCTGCCACTCTCCCGTTCTAGTGGCAGGGGATCCATAGAGGATTTATCCCACGGAAAAAAACCCACCGTTCCCGTAGCCAGCGCAGATCTTGTCGCTGGTGATGTACTCTCTGAAGCCGGGCGGCGACTGGGCGATGCAGGTCTCGATCTTCACGTACGGGAGGTCGACCACCTTGAGCACCTGCGAGGCCTCGCCGTTCTCCGCGGTCAGGCCCCAGCCGGCGACCTGAGGCCGGACACAGTGCCGGATCACACTTGGCAGGGGTCTACAGTGGCGTGATCCTGCACGCGTTCCGATACTTGGCGCAGGTACGGAGCCCTGGGCCCCCCTGTGATCAGTGATCACCGGAGTGGTGGCCACTCAAGTGTCCGCCGTTGCACGAATGGGCGGCTCCGTCCGGGTAAGTACCACGAGCCCACAGAAGGCCGGCGTAAAGTGGAAGTGAACGCTTCCGCGTTTCGTCTGGTGAGCAAGTAGCCGGGGCCTAATTAATTTAAAGGTGGCAACGCATTTGCAACCCTACGGTCGTTGCAAATGTCCATGGGCGGCGGTTACCACTTAACATCAGGTGAACCGCCGGATCGGTTGCCCTTTTCTCAGATAAAAAAACAACGGACTCGTGGCCCTAATAACCTCTATACAGAGGAGGCCTTTGCCCAGCTGTGGGCCGTTACTTTCCGTCTGAAGAGCGTGTAAGAAGCCTCAACTGAAACACTTTCGCGTTAACTCTCATCTATGTGTATGGCTTGAACGCGATATCACCTGACATTAAATAAAAATTTCTTTCTTTCTTTCTTTCGTGTTGGCAACACTAAAAGAAGTGTCATTCTATTAGGTATACACGAAGCATTTCATTGTCTGTTTTGGCTGTCAACAAGAAGTAGGTATACGCTCTGGTGCTGTCCAATCGGTATCCCAAATTAAATCGATAGAGCGGTATTTCTTTAGTCTAAAAGTGAAAACAAGTAAAATATACCAGTGTTATTGTTGCACAAAGTATAACTACCGTGATTTGATTGTAAATTTATATTTAACAGCTTCTAAGCTCGATAAAATAAAGTGAAGTTAATATTCGTTCTTTCTTTCTTTCTTTCGTTCTTTCTTTCTTTCTTTCTTTCTCTCACCTTGCCAATGTTCCCCTCGCGCAGTTGTCGCCTATCGAAGTTCACGTCGAAGTCGAGGCAGACCGGCCTCACGTAGGTCCTGTACTCTATCGTGGTCGTTAGCACTACCAGAGCGATGTCCTCTTGGAAGTTGGAGTCGGAGCCCTGGTACCGGGCCGGTATCTTGATCTCGCTCACCTGCAGACAGGCAGGCGGAACGATTTACGGCACATAGTGTTTTTTTAATGTGAAAAGTTGCCAAGCGAGCAGACGGTTCACCTAATGTTAAGTGAATACCGCCGCACTAGGAACACTAGGAACAAACACAAGCTTGTAACGCCAGTTACTAGACTCCATAGAGTAAGTAACTCGTTCATGGGGCGTTGTATACGCTTTTACAACAAAAATCCCAATAAATGCGCATAACCTGCCTATTAACAGGTTTAAGAAATGTATTAAAGAAAATTTTTATAAAAAGGGTTATTATAATACAAATGAATACATTAATGACAATCGATCGATGAAATAATCGCACCTAAGCTATTTCTAAAAAAAATATGACTGTATTATTATTATATCGATAGATGAAATGTAAGTTTCTTATGACGATGAATAAATGATTTTGATTTTTTATTTTTGCCGCCCATAGACATCTGCTACACCCGAGGGTTGCAGATGCGTTGACCTTTTGAAAATTGGGCTCCGGCCACCTCACTCACCAGACGAAACGCGAAAGTATTATACTTCCACTTTACGCCGGTCCTCTGTGGTTGTTACCCGGACGAGCCATTCCATTCGTGCAACAGAAACCACCATCAAAATCACAGCATATACTGTTGAAAAATCAGTGTTGATAAAAAACGCTGTTCTTACTTTAAGATAACATTATCCTGCGTTGTAAGGACCTTTTTTACATACATAAATTTCACGCAGACAATCAGACGCGCTCTAATATTATGAATGCTAAGTGAATGAAATAGTTTAAACTGATGGCATGATAGAGGTGAGGAGCTGGCGGTTCACCTGATGTCAAGCTATAACCGCCGCCTATGGACATTTGAAACACCCGCAGCTTTGCAGGTGCGTTGACAAATTTCAATAAAGTGGGCCCCGGCTACCTCACTCACAGGACGAAACGCAGAAGTATAACACCCGGACGGCCCTGCCCATTCGTGCAACAGGGCCACGCTGTCACTGTTGCATGAATGGGCAGGTCGGTCTCGGTTAGTACCACGACCACACAGAAGACCGACGTCAAGTAGAAGTAGGTAGGAAAAGAAGGTAACCGGGGCCAATTTAATTAAAAGGTGGCAGCGGATCTGCAACCCTGCGGGTGTAGACGACCCGAATGGCGTGCTGGGTAGTGTACCTGCCTCGTGCGCCAGAGAGCGTGGGTTCGTTCCCTACTTCCTTCCCTACTGCAAAAGTATTGTGTGTTTATATATGTCTTACATATCCGTTCCCATAGGAAAGTGCAACTAAGCAGCGTCTTCGCAACATCGCGACACAATCCCACGATCAAGTTTCGCTGAAACCATGTAAACGGATTACACATCTAGGCCGCGCTCACGTTCATGGAAACGTCGCCAGTCGACACCGATGCTTACCGTATTCAAGAACTTTGGTTAACGATTTATTTTAGTAAGACAGTCATTCTGTATCTAGCATCGATCGGGATCAGGCTTAGGTTATGCTAACTATAGTTTAAATTGTAACTTTTTAATAGATAAGTTTAAAGCAAATTGTTTTTTTTGAGTCTTCCGACAGCGACTTCTTTAATTTATGTATAATATGTATTTATATACAAAAGAAAAGTATGTTTAACTATCTCTATCAGTTTTCTAGTATCCATAGTACAATCGTTGCTTAGTTCGGGACTAGTGAAGGTTGTGTAAAAATGTGTCCTAAAAAATATATATATATTACTTGCTCTTCGCCCGCGGCTTCGCTCGCATTTAGGCCTTTAAATAAATATCTACCCACTTTAAGAACCCTTTACAACCCTTTTTCCAATTAAAAAGTAGCCTATGTCCTTTCTCAGGCTCTAGACTATCTTTGTACCAAATTTCATTTAAATCGGTTCAGTAGTTTTGGCGTGAAAGCGAGACAGACGGACAGGGTTACTTTCGCATTATAATATTAGTATGGATTGCAAGTGTCCATGGGCGGCAGTTACCACTTAAGATCAGGTGAACCGCCAACTCGATTGCCACCTTCTGCCGTAAGGAGGACGTATAAGAAAAAGTCTCACGTCACTCTTCTGGGCGTCGGTGTCTCGCGGGTTGTTCCAAGGCCGGTACAGTTTGCCGACGGCGACCGCGTAGTTAGACGCCGGCTGTCTAAGCTGGCCTTGCCAGAAGCAATGGGCGGCTGTTTTGGCAAGTTTCACAAGAGAACATTAACTTTAAAGTTTTTTACAGTGCTAATCTCTGCACTGGAGATTGAACATTAGAAAGTGTAGAAAAAGAACGAAAAGATTGTCGCCGCTGTGGGAATCGAGCCCACGTCTTCGGCATCCGCGGCCTGACGCTCTAACCACTGAGCTGAACGGCTGATAGCCACAGCGACGAAAATCTAACCCCTTCTTTCTACATTGTTATTTAGCATTTGAAGCAATGCTTGCTTTAGGCAATGCTTTAAGAGAACATTAACTTTATTCCATTCTATATTTCGGTAGTGGGGCCACGCAACAGTGTTTGCCGTTGCACGAATGGGCAGGTCCGTCCGGGTTAGTACCACAGAAGACCGGCGTGAAGTAGAAGTGTTACACTTCTGCGTTGCGTCTGTTGAGTGAGGTAGCCGGGGCCCACTTCATTAAGAGGTGGCAACGCATCTGCAACCCTACGGGTGTGTGGGAATCGAACCCACAACCCAATACCTTTGCAATGCGTCACAAAGTCACCCTAATAAGCTTTAATAAAAATTCGAACAGTAAAGAAATAAATTATTTCTGAAACAAGAAGTGAAATCGCTTTCTCATCAAAAAAAGAATGACATTCTTTCTGGGATGGGATTCCCCCTTTATTAAACTACTAGCTGCTGCCCGCGACTCTGGCGAATAGGCTGAAGGCGTAACATTCCGACAGAAAGACATCTATGCATAAAAATATGTATATAAATTATAGCCTTTGTCTATTCTGATGTATAAGCTATATTATTGTAAAGTTTCATCAGAATCCATTCAGCAGTATTTGCGTGAAAGAGTAACAAACATCCATCCATACATACAAACTTTCACGTTTATAATATTAAGTAAGGATTAGTAAGGATGTCTTATTCTGATGTATGGTAAATGTAAATAACTTTAACTCCGGCGTAATTCAATTTAAATAAATTTTAAACGATAGAGAAAAATCACTAATGAATTTATCAACAAGCAGAATTCGGCGGTCGCTTAGTTTCCGAAAAAATAAATAATGAAATAGTGTGATTTTTAGTATAGAAATCCGCCATTTTTTGTTGTCAATATGTCAATTCTGCTCGTATTTCTTGGTGGTCATAAAAAAAAACCTAACCTCGAAGGTTAAGGCGGGAGCACTGCTCCCGCCTAAATCCTCTAACCTAATCTATCCGAGTCGGATTCGCTCTGTGTCGGTTCTGTGACTCATTAAATAAAAAAAAATCGGACTATCGATACGAGTATGATGTCGCCCGCTTCCTATATTTATCATGTTGGCAGAACTGTGTATCGAGTTTTTGAAGTCAAATAAATAAAATGGTGGATTTCTTAGTAAAAATAACAAGTTTTAAATATTTCTTTCTCGAAAACAAGTTTTAAATATTTCTTTCTCGACTTTTCTTATTTTAATTGAATTACCCAAGAGTTGAAGTTATTTACATTTGCCATCCATCCATACATACAAACTTTCGCATTCATAATATCAGTAAGGATCACCTGATATAACGACGTTGGTGCTGACCAGAGAGCCGCCGCATATCTGCATATACGGCGTGGTCACTTTGGAGTAGATCCCGGTGTGCCAGGGCAACTCCCCCCTCTGGGCGTTGCGGCCCTCGATGATGAGGAACTCCCCTTCAGGAGTTATTCGACCGCATTCTGCGGATGTGAAACGTCTCTTAGCGTTCGTAACAATTTGTTTTTCTTTAAAAACATTGCCTGTACTTTAGGATGACGTTATCGTGTGTTGTAAGGACGTTTTACATACATAAATTTCACGAGGACAAACACGTAGATGCGAAACAACTATCTGTGGGTCACACTAATAGTTGTCCCGTGTGGGGATCGAACCCACGACCAGACGCCGAAGCCAATACCTCGGCGACTGCGCCACGGAGTCATCAAACACATTATTTGATTCCTTTGTTTTACATTATAATGATTATTGGTAGGTCTGCGACAACGACGTCACAGAAGACCAGCGTGCAGCGATGCGTTGCAGAAGGGTTGCCACCTTTAAATAAAGTGGGCCTGGATAACAGACGAAACGCAGAAGTGTAACACTTCCACTTCTGTGAGGTCTGGACAGCCCTGCCCATTCGTCCAACAGCGAACACTGTTGCATGCAGGGGCAGTTAGTAGTTATGAAGTTAACCGTGGTAGGGACCACGGTTAACTTCATAACTACTTACAAGAAATAATAAAAAAAAGTAGTAGAAATTGATCTGTTTGAACAATTGCTTAAAAATATGTTAATCTTAAGCCCTGAAAAGGTCATTCCATTATGAAACTCATGAAATTATTTTGGATAACTTTCAATAGCCTTCAACTCCTCGTTTTCCTGAAGTCATGCAGCATTCATTTCTATTTTTAGCCACGGCAACAGATGAAAATTAGTTTTTCGTAATTAAAAATGATTAAAAATTATCTTAAGATTTCTATGGGACAGGAACGTATATCAGATAAATCACTAATTTATACAGCGCCGTGTATCATTCCAAGCGCAATTATTGTTTCTTTGGTGAAAAATCTTTACTTTGAGCCAATACATTTGGTTTTCAGCTGCTAATCTTTATAATGTCTATATAGTTTTATTTCCAGAAACTTACAAGGAAATAAAAACTACCAATAAAAGCCTGCATATCGATTCGTTGTTTATTTTCCTCATCCATCTCTGTATTCTGTGTATATTTTTATTTAAGTCCAATTTAAATTTCACTGACAGGATTTTAACTAAATAAACATAAGCACTTATACATACAAATGTGAATTGAATAAAAAGCTTGTTTAATTCCTTAAACTAGGGCTCATTCAGCTCTACCGCCCCGGACCTCTGCAGGTCTTGTCCGCCATTGGTGATAGGTATAGTTTTTATATTAGTATTTATTGGAGAATAACTTAAAAATGACTACAAACAGCCGCTAAATAACGAATGTAACTTTTTAATAAACTGATAACAAGTGATTTAACGATGCGAATCGACTCATGTCCAACAGAATATAATTAGTTAATGGCATAAATGGACGAAAATGTTTTCGAAGCTGGCGGAAACCTGCGTTCTCCGCGATACGCGCCCGTCGCTTTAGCCACTGAGCTAAGCGGCTTATCTTCACCCAAACGAAAATCTGAACTAATTTTATATAGGTATAAAATTACTTTTCTAAGTGTATCCATTTCTTTTTATTAAATTCTAGACATAAACAATGTTATATAAAAAATCATAAATGTTTAAAATCACTCGTAAGTAATTAATTACATTCATCTCAACTTATCTCAAAAAGTGCGTGATTTATACGCAACTCATTTATTTTACGCGCGATCATTCATAACTAACACGGACACAAGTTCGTGCACAGTAAAATTTTAGGTATTTATGAATGACTACCGCATTGTCAACACGTTCTGTTTTTAGGGAATTTATTATTTTTGGAAAAAAAAAAAACTTTGTTTGTTATTTCAATAAACGATTATATTACCGAGTCTGAACCTCCTGTGTAAATTTGGGCACTTCTAGAAAAATCTCCCTGTATACTGTGTTTTTATTAAAATTTAAGTTAGTTTTTCCAAGATATTCAAAGAGTAGCATTATAAAACTTATTATCCTTTAAAAAAAACAGATATCAAATTTAATTTATGAAACTTTAGTATTGTTGAGTGTGGGTTCCGTACCCAAAGGTTACATCATAGCTAACTTGGCCGTTCCCGTTTTACGGGACCCTATTGCTAAAACTCCGCTGTCAGTCTGTATGTCCGTCTGTCACCAGGCTGTATCTCATGAACCGTGATAGTTAGACAGTTGAAATTTTCACAGATGATGCATTTCTCTTGCTGCTATAAAAACAAACACTAAAAACAGAATAAAAAAAATATTTAACTTGGGCTCTTTTGATGATTTTTTTCCGCTTTTATAAATAATAGTATGGAAACCTTCGTACGCGAGTCCGACACTTTGCCGGTTTTTTTTATTTAACCACCTTTTTGATTCGAGAATTAGGTAAGCGAGAACACGGTTCACCCGATGTTAAGTCGTTACCGCCGCCTATGGTCTTCATAGTATATATACTTTCCTTTATGGTGGCAGACTTAGCAACTTGCACATAATTGGGCACCTGTTACCTCACTCGTTCGACGAAACGATAAAATACAACTCTCCAGTTCACTCCGGTCTTCTGTCAGGCCGTGGTACCTGCCCAACCGAGGCTGCTCATTGTTTTTTTATGTTTAAAGTTGCCAAGCGGGCAGGCGGTTCACCTGATGTTAAGTGAATACCACACCGGTCTTTTCGTGGTACTCACCCGGACGAGCCTGCCCATTCGTGCAACAGTCAAGGCTGCTGCGTGGCTAGAAGGTATTTACCTGGCTCTAACTTAGATTGGCCAGTGACCATAGAAAGGCCACTCTTGCATGTGTGCGCACTATGCAAATTTAAAACTGATTTAAACTAACTTCCGTAAAATAGGTATATTTAACAATATTTAATATTTACTCGAGTGTGTGATATTATAATTATTATTGTATATTTTTTTCAAACTAATGTCAATACTTTTCAAATTCAATTACATATAACTGTTTCACTAGTAATATAATAGAAATTTCGAATTTTCATTTAGAAATTATTAGTTTTGCAACTTGTAATAAGAGGGCTGTTTGATTTCTCGCTAAAATAGTCAGTATTCGAAAATTTAATTAACTTTCTTGGAACCTTGCCAAAATGTAGATTTCTTGCATAGTAATATATATATAGTAATATATATATAAATATGCATAGTAAAAAATGTTTTGATTTAATGAAAATTTATATAATTTTTAATTTATCAAAATAAGTGTAATCGGGATGTCATAATTAATTTACAAAATTCTCAAAACGTTATTGCGATATGACGCATAAATATTTCTACAGCGGACTATGGTTTAGGTTATTATCACAATCAGTAAATTTGTGGCCAGTCTCACTTGTATAACTTTAACTTAGGCGTATTTGTTAACAGGACGGATGGATTGGATAAGGGAATCGAACTAAAAGACTCTTTTTATTCAAAAACAACATGTATTTAATGCTTACAAAATATTCCATCCTATTAACAATGCACTAACCTAATGTATACATGAAGTCTTATATCTATGAAATTTTTCTGGAATCGAATGTAAGTTCCTTCACTCACGGTGTCTCATTGTCGACAGAAAATCGTGTTCCGTCTAAAAATCTATCAAGTCGCAGTCGCATTGTGTAAGATTATAAGCCATAAAATAAAAATTAAATAATACATTACAGTACTGAACGATAAAAATTGCATATCGACCCTTGGAAAGAGTCGGGTAATTTCCCTTACGTAGTGTTATCTCTGTCGCACACTTGCACAGCGAGTGAAAAACGTCACACAGTGTGTGACAGAGATGCCGAAACAGACTATCTATTTCCATTCTATTTAGTCTAAAAATGAGTTTGAGTTGATTTTTTAGGTTGATTCGTAGGATCGTTAAAAATACACTTTCGGCATTAAGGCCCTTTCTAGTTGTGAACCATTTATTAGATGCGTCACAAACTACTACTCAAAATATTGATTTTATTAATTTATTTGCAATTGTTTTAAAAAATGGTAAGATACCTTAATCACGAGTATTAAATCTTCGTATGTAGGGAACAACATATAATATTTCTAGTTAAAACTATTTAACTTAGACTCTATTAGCGAACTGAGCCGATAAAGAATTTAACATTTTATTTATAAATTTATTGCCTTTTCATGAAGTCTTATCTTAGCTTGTACTGTTGTAGATAAATTCAATGACATAATAAAAATTCAACAACACAATTCAAATCGATAATTAACAATGACCCTGTAATAATATACATATAGGCTAGGCTGTATGAAATAATCCGAAGCCTTTAACCTTTAATAACTTTAAAAAAATCGAATATTACAGTGGTAAAAACCAATATTACAGTGGTGAAAAGATATTAATGAATTCAATATGAAACCACCATTGGAACACATTATTTATTATTTTATTCAACAAATAATAATAAATTAATGTCGGCTATTCTATAAAATCAATTTTCAAAAAATTTTATAGTTCGTTATCTGTGTACAGTTTAATTGGTCCAATAGTTAATTAACTATACAATTAAAAAAAAACTCTTGTCCATCTTTTGAATTGACAACTTAAATCAAATTTTTTATAAGGTGCCTATCTAATTCACCCGCCCGTGTCCGTTTTGTATCCGGGTAGTGACGTCATTAATATCAACACAAGGTCAGCGTAAATTGGTATAAACTGATGATATGCGATTTCCATATTTATTACACGTTTTTTAATAGACATTATTGTTACCTCTTAATGTTCGTATCAATAATCGTGCACCGTTCCTTGAACTTAAAATAGTTGAACTTAATTGTATAAAAGGAACTGTTGTTTTTATCTTAGAACTAAATCAGTTAGTGTCGAACATAACCGACAAGAAAGATTTCACAATTAAGCTATAATCACTGTTATCTAAAGGAACTTTTCCGAAACACTACTTACGTCTTTGAACTAAAAGGCAACTCTACGTTCTGTTTTAATCGAGGAACATTTTTTTTCTTTTTATCAAATTATTTTCGGCCTTTGATACAATTTATATTAATTTTGAGATAAAGCGAAGACACACTATCCAAAGAAAGTTAAGTAAATTATGTACGTAACACAAGATTGTTATTTTTAACATTAAAATTTACATTTTTAACATTAACATTAAAAGGAGTTTCTCAATTTAATTGTATTTTTTCTTTATGTTTGTCACCTAAGAACAGAAGGACCGATTTTAATAATTCTTTTTTTCTTTGGATTAATTACACGTGTGAGCTAAACCCGAATATTAATTTAATTGGTGATGGACCTTGTATTTCGGAGATAAGGAAAGTTCTCGAAATCCAATAAAAGTCCAAAAAAAATGTTTCTTGTCGATCATCATCATGATCATGCCCTTATACCTCATAGGCGGGAGTCGGTTGTCAGCGGTTTTGGCTTTTTTACGACCAGCCCTCTGTCTGGCGTCAACCCTCCTTGGGAAACAAACACCCAGATGCGAAACAACTATCCGTGGGTGACACTAATAGTCGTCCCGTGTGGGAATCGAACCCACGACCCCCGACGCCGAAGACAATGGCTTAGCATCGGCGCCACCGGGTCCTGTTTTGTTTTTTTCTCATAAAAATGTTATTCATCACCCGAAGGTGTACTCAATGAAATAAAAAAAAAAGGTTGACGTTAACTTTTTTTGCGTCGGAATAAATTGGTCATTCATCATGTTAGTTATTTTGATAAGTGTTGTATCCGTTCAGCAATTTTAAGTGTCTTTTTATAAAACTACCGTTACACAAGTAACATTTTATGCGGAATAGTGAATTTAGCTTATACGTAATAATTATTAGAGCTTATATAATTATCTAAAAGTAAGTAAAATTTAGACCTTCATCGCTGAGCACGTGATAAGTCAGTACTTAAAATTAACAATTTCATTGGTGCCGGCACTGGGGATCGAACTCAGGTTGCTAGAGTATATTAAATTAAAGGCGAGCGCCCAGTCTATCACGGCACTTAAATAAAAATATTTTAATAACATTAATTATCTAATATTTAAAAAAAATAACAATATTGTCACTTGTAACACAAATAGTAATAACTGTGTATTTACATATATTACACCATTTTTGATTGCAAAAATTTATGATTTTTGGTTAGGTGAAATAAAAATTGACTTAGATTAAAAATTTATTTTCTTTTTGGTGAATGATGTAAAAGCTCATCGCTGGTTTCCCTATTCTTGCAATTACAATATTTGGAAAATATAAATATACGCGGTAAATACACATCGGTCTTTAGAGAGAGACATTCGGCTTAATTCGGCTCCGTAGAACGCTATCTCTTTCACGCACTTGTACGACTGAAAACATTCTCAAAAAGTTAGTACTGAAATCGAAGCGTGATAAGTTTTATGCAAACATTTCTTTATAATGCTGTTTGAATTAAATTGCTAATGCATTCGACATTATTTGCCGTTTAACAGTATCTATAACACTTGAAATGAAGTAAAAATATTATTAACTAGTAGGAATTTTAACAAGAGTATAGTTATACAGTTTTTTTGGTATGGTTTTCTGGTTCACATGTCTAGACCATTTTATGCTATGGTAAAATGGTTTGCTGGTATGGTAAAATGCATTTCGGCTTTATATGAATTTACTAGCTGTACCCGCGACTTCGTCTGCGTGGAATTAAAAAAAAATTAAAGTAGCCTAAGTACTCCTTATTACACCAGCTATCTGTCAGTGAAAGTCCCGCCCAAATCGGTCCAGCCGTTTCAGATATTAGACGGAACAAACAGACAGACAGACAGACAAAAATTGTAAAAAATGTTATTTTGGTAATGGTACCGTGTATACATCCGTATGCATTTAGTAAAAAGCAGTTATTTTAATATTACAAACAGACACTCTAATTTTATTTATCTGTATAGATGGAGTCTAATGAAAAGAATACACGAGATGGCGTTACTATACCTTACGTAATAAAAATTTGAGTGAAGAGCATAGTGATTTCCCAGCGTCTGGTTGTGTACATATTTATAATAATTATGTGTTATTATAAATATGTATTCATTAACAAAAGAAAAAATAATGTTTAATTATGTTTATCTGTTGCATAGTACCCATAGTACAAGCGTTACGGATTTTTACGTACAAGTGTTTGGTACTAGAGAACGTTGTGTAAAAATGTTTCTTGATTATTATTATTTTTTATATATATTTAGGAATATTTGGCTTTTGTGCTGATGCGTATTATATCTCTTCTTACTTGCGATGTAAATTAATGTTATGGCACCTTAAAATAAAATTTCAAAGCTACAGTATATACGGAGAGCCTCTAGCAATGCCCCAATCGAATATTAGAAATCTAATTTCATTTCAGACAGTTTATGGCGTTTTTGTTTTGTCACTATCATGATTACATGTCTACATATCTAAGCTTACATATACATTTATGTAAGCGTTAATATATTAATATATCTTGTACATCAAAGCTTGTATATCAAAGTATTAATAGTTTATGTTTAAATAATTGACATTGTTAATATTTAATAAAAACTCAATCAGGTTATTGCACACACTATAATATATATTCACGCCCGGTTTGACTGGTAGAGAATGGCTTAGACATTAAGGTCACCTTATTAAAAAAGTAAATATTTATAAACAAAAAAAATAGGATATCCGACTCAAGCTATGAGTATTGTGTCCGCCATCTTGTATATACCTAATTGACAAAATGGCGGAGAAGTACGTGAATATTTAACTGTTATGGTATGTGTGGTACATTTATCATAGTAGATAAGAAAAGGTGAGCGTACGTTAGGTATTCCTTGATATTATTATTTATGGACAGGGAAAAGCGTTGTTTCATCGACTTAGCAAAGAACGATTAGATCCAATTACGGCGTGGCTTCCGATAACTATACCAGGCAAGTGTGAAATGCAAAACTTGTACAAACTGCTATAGACTACAGCCATCATCATATCACAGCTAATCACCAGAAGAGATGGATGAAGCAATATGTAGAACATATCAAAGAGACTGTTAAGTCGGTAAAAAGTATACAACTGACATACGCGAATTAAGTCAGTCCCTGAAATTTATTACGCCGTCGTCCGTTTTAACGTTGACGGTGCCGTTTTTAAATAGGATCTCGATATTAGACGCGTTGAGGTTAGAAGCGACGCCAATGCGCCAGTCGGCTTGGTCTATCTCGTAATCTGACGACTCGGTGGAAGGCTGGAGTGTCTGAACCGGCTGAGGCGGCTTGACCGGCCGGACAGGCTGGGCCTGCGTCATATGCGCAGCGGGCTCTACCGTGCTGGTGGGCATTATAGGCCGAACGGGAGTAGGCCGGACGGGGCCGGCGTCGACCTGGTTAAACCGGGTCGAACCGGTCTCGACCGGCGCCGCGTACCGGAACACGCCCACGTGCACCTCCACGCGGCCCCTCACCAGTATCGTGATGTTGGTGCCGTCCCTGAGCAAACCTGGCGTGCAGACGGCCACGTAGTCCCAGCTGTCGCCCGCGCAGTGCATGAAGCCGAGCACGCCGGCCGAGTAGTAGTTCGGCTTGCGGCACTCGGGCCGGACGACGGTGCCCCTCGGCTCGTAGTCGCGGCACGGCCGGGAGCCCTCGACGCCGTCGCCGCCGCGCAGCAGGCAGCGGTACTCGACGGACGGGTGCGCCGGCAGCCTGCAGTAGCCTGCGGGCGGGCGGGCCGTGTGTACCCGTTCACGCTGCGGCCGCACTCGCGGCGTGAACATGTGCGATCGCACTCGCAGCGTGAACGAGTGCGATCGCACTCGCAGCGAGAACACGTGCGATTGCAATCGTAGCTTGAACTCTTGCGATTGCACTCGCAGCGTGAACGAGTGCGATTGCACTCAGCGAGAACTATTACGATTGCACTTGCATTGAGAAGTCACCGTGTGTGACAGGGTCGCTGGGTAGTCAATCAGCTCAGCGCGCCGCGTAACGGATAGAAGACATATTAGATTATTTAGACACGGACTGTCCCAATTCACATATATGGCGAACTACTACTCGCTTCTAATATATTCACAAGCCGCGGTAAGGTTTGAACACGTTAAATTTGAGTCTTTAAACTTCAGAACTTCGACGGTCCGTTGGTGACACGAATAAAAATTCGCCATCAATTATTTATGCGTCGCGTTGAGCGGAACGGCTACTTGCAGCGGTGCCCTGCCAAACGCTGCTTGAGCGGCCCTTGAATCGATTCGAAACGAAGATGTTTTCTTATTTCATTCGCAGGCTTGGGTGCTAGGGATAACTTACTATTTTACTAACTAATACCACTTCTTCAGCCAAGAAGAAAATGCGTCACAAAAGTAATCTTCGGTATTTTAGGACGTCGGACGTCGGTCTTAATAATCAGGTCCATTCTATTCGTCTCTTAATCAAACACTCGACGGCTTTACGCTCCTCACTCTAATAAGAAACTATCTTTCGAACATTTTCTACCCAAAGAAAGAAGGATCGCCCGACTCACGTATACACTTCGGCATCTCGGAGACCCAGAAGCCGTCGAAGCAGAGCAGCTGGGATTCCCCTTCCACCCCGTATCCCGGGTGGCAGGTGACGTTCAGCGAGAGGCTGGGGAACGCCTGGCCAGGGGAAGCGTTCAGTGCGCCCTGCACCACGTACCCACCGTGGTCAGGGTAGGGAGGTAGTATGCATTTGCCAGTTTGGACCGGCCTGCGGATGCAAAAAAAACGTAAAATTTTTCGGTATAAAAAATATTTAAAAAGTGTTTCACTGGCAAGAGTACGAGACAGTTTTACCATAACGGATATTGTTTAAGTCAAATCGGACGAATGTTTCTAAAGGTACTTTATGGTTAGTTTAACCATCATCATTATTATCATACTTTCAGCCTGTTACAGCCCACTTCTCACCATAGGCCATAGTGGCAGTCTATGAAGCCGCCTGCATCAATCGACTTTCCGCACACTTGCACAGGTCGTCACTCCATCTAGTGGGTGGTCGTCCCTACTGTGAATATCTTCATTGCGAACCCTATCCCTCCGAAAAATACCAAGCAAAGCCCACTGAGACTGACCACATACGGCCAGGAGTGGAACCTCAAGTCTCAGTTCCGTAAATCATCATTGACAAAACACATATTTTAAACTGTGGTAGGGCCACGCAGCAGCCACGGCTGTTGCACGAATGGGCAGACTCGTCCGGGTAAGTACCACGACCTCACAGAAGACCGGCGTAAAGTGAAAGTATGACAAATACTTCCGCGTTTCGTCTGGTAAGTGAGGTGGCCGGAGCCCAATTTTCCAAAGGATGTCAACGCATCTGTAACCGTTGGGTGTAGCAGATGTCCATGGGCGGCGGTATTCACTTAACATCAGGTGAAACGCCTGCTCGCTTGTCAACTTTTCGCATAAAAAAAAATATTGAACACTTTAGTCTTCAAACGCTCGGGTTTTGTACACGAATAAAGAAACCCTGAAGAATGGGGGTACAGAAGTTGTGGAGTAAAAAAGTAAATGGCGGGTAAAAATATACGTCATCTCATGAGTAGAACTCACCGCTGGGTGGTCGTTGTGGTTGGCGCCGAAATCCTGTTGCACAGCTCGTCAGACTCGTCGGAGTTGTCAGCGCACTCTTGAACCTTGAGGGAGCCGAGATGAGTTGACTACCACACTGACTGATAGACTGAACGACTAACGAAGCATTCAGTCACTCATTCAGAAGACCGACCGAATGAATGACTGCCTCGTTAGTTATTCAGTCAGTATTCTGGGTAGTGACGGTCTTCGGCCGTGTATCAATTGACTACCACACTGACAGAAAATAGAAGTTTAAAACTTCTACTTTACTTCGTGGTATTCACCCGGACGAATTGAGTCACTCAAATTACACCAATTAGATTAGATTGCAATTCTATAGAACTGCTATGTCTTTCCGTATCATACTTTCTAACGCATCTGTCACATTCACTTATATATTAATAGCGACCCGCCCCGGCTTCGCACGGGTGCAATGTATTATACATATAAACCTTCCTCTTGAATCATCTTTTTGGAAAAAAAAAACCGCAACAAGATCCGTTGCGTCGTTTTAAAGATCTAAGCATGCATACACAGACAGACAGCGGGACGACTTTGTTTTATACTATGTAGTGATGTCATATCCATACAATGTGAAGCGGAACAATTTCCAAAGGCCGCGCAGTACGGACATGCGTCACCTTTTTTTTAATGTGAAAAGTTGCCAAGCGAGCGGACAGTTCACCCGATGTTATGTGAGTACTGCCGCCCAGGGAAATCTGCGAAACCCGAGGGTTCAAGATGCGTTGAAAACCTTTTGAAAATTGGGCTCCGGCCGCTTCACACCAGACGAAACGCGAAAGTATTATACTTCCACTTTACGCCGGTCATCTGTGAGGTCGTGGTAGTTACCCGGACGAGCCTGCCCATTCGTGCAACAGCCGAGGCTGCTGCGTGGCCCTACCACCTACAAAATCTATACGTGGTGGGTCCGAACCCTGGACTCGGGCACTCACCCCGTTGCAGTCGGCGCCGCTGTCCACGCAGGCGCCGTAAGCGCACTGGAATAGGTACGAGGGGCAGGTTTTGGCTGCGCACGCGCGCACCGTCTCGTCCGAGCGGTCGGCGCAGTCCGCCACGCCGTCGCAGTGGCTCGCGGCCGGTATTATGTCCCCGTTGAGGCAGCGAAACTGGCCCCTGGGAAGCGAAACCTCGTGAGGACCCCGGAGTCGGAGTAACGGAAATGGTTTCTGACCCCTGGGACTTCCAAAGATCGTGAGGATCGAAGTCGAAGTAACGGAAAATGTTTCTGACCCCTGTGACTTCCAAAGATGGTAAGGATCGAAGTCGAAGTAACGGAATGGTTCCTGACCCCTGGGATTTCCAAAGATCTTAAGGATCCAAGTCGAAGTAACGGAAAATGTTTCTGACCCCTGGGACATCCAAAGATCGTAAGGATCGAAGTCGAAGAAACGGAAAATGTTTCTGACTCCTGGGACTTCCAAGGATCGTGAGGATCAAAGTCGAAGTAACGGAATGGTTTCTGACCCCTGGGATATCCAAAGATCGTAAGGATCGAAGTAATGGACTGTCAAAGTCTCTGGATCCTGGGACAAAACCAAGAGGCACAATCGAATTAACGGAAACACACGAGTGGCGATTGAGGTATGCGGGGCCCACTTTATTAAAAGGTGGCCACGCATCTGCAACCCTACGGGTCTTGCAAATATCAATTGGCGGCGGTCATGAGCTCGCTCAAAAATGAGCGCGTGTAATCTTTACACGCGGTTGAAGTAAATCTAAAAAAATCTTATAAATCATAAATCTTTCGAATAATAAAATTTTAAATTATTATTAATGTATTAATTAATGATAAATAATTAACTTTTTTTTACTTCAAATTTAATATAAATAAAACTAATTTTTACGGATTTATCGCGTTTATTTTTAATTTTAATTCCCGCCGCTAGCCGGCCGGTAGCCCGGGTTAACTTTGACAATCAGACGTCCAACGCCTCAGTCTGTCCCGTGACCATGAACGCTGTAAATGGTTCGAAACGTCGTTAATTAAAATTAAAAATATACGTGATAAATTCGTAAAAAAATAGTTTAATTTATAATGTGTAATCGCGTAAATACAAGAAATTATCAAATGTAATAGTTCCGCTACATATATCCATACATTTTACGGTGGTAGGGCCACGCAGCAGCCTCGGCTGTTGCACGAATGGGCAAGCTCGTCCGGGTAAGTACCACGACCTCATAGAAGACCAGCGTAAAGTGGAAGTATGACAAATACTTTCGCATTTCGTCTGGTAAGTGAGGTAGCCGGAGCCCAATTTTCAAAAGGTTGTCGACGCATCTGTAACCCTCGATGTAGCAGATGTCCATGGGCGGCGGTATTCACTCAACATCAGGTGAACCGTCCGCTCGTTTGACAAGTTTACCATAAAAAAAATACAGCGTAAATATTTAAAAATCTCCATATAAACGCGTCATCGTCGTAACGCGTTTCCGTTGCATTGTCTTTTTTTTTTTTATTTAGAACTGGCCAGCACTTGACTGCCATCCCACCCGTCGTCCAAAGCGTCCGGCTACCGCTGACTCGCTGAAGAAGTTCCCTTAAAAAGGGCCCTGGCACTTACCTTATCTCGTCTGTCTCGTTCCTGCAGCGGGGCAGCAGCTCGTCCGAGCTGTCCGCGCACTCCTGGAGGCCGTTGCAGGGGGCGGTGCCGTCCACGCACGCGCCGTAGGTGCACCTGAACCAGTTCGGCTGGCACCTGGAAGGCCGAAGTGGTGGGCAAGGGCCGGAGCTCGGGCTCCGATCCGTTGGGGTTCACATGACCCTACGTGATCGAAAAACCGCCAATTCCCTAAACTTATTCTTTTTTTTTTTATGCGAAAAGTTGCCAAACGAGCAGACTTATTCAATGATTTTATCTAAATATTAAATTTAAAACCCTCAGCGCGTTTCTAGTTTCTAATGTAACTTTTTAGGTACAATTTAATTTAATGTTTCAAACACCATTTCAAAGCTTACGCTTTTTAAAAACAGACGAGTAGTTTAAAAGTGTTTTCATTAAAAAAAAATCTTATAAAGAATGAACTAAAATGACATTTCTTGACAATTCAATTAAATTGCTTCAATTAAAGATAATTTCATTGACAAAATATTGAATGTTCAATTTTCACTGGTTTTATTAACGCTTCGGGAAACTTTTTTAGAATCCTTCAAAGCTATCTCGCCACAGACATTTATTTTATTTTTTATTTTTATTTCATTTATTTAATTCACCAACAAGGTACACATCAAAGATGCTTAGAACATAAATAAGTACATAGTATCTCAAACTAAATGGTATCTCAATTACGGGTGAAACGACATTGACAAAAGCTAAAAAGAAATATTAAATTATATTAAATGCTATCAAAAGGTTTTAGTACAGGTTAATAATAAAAAAAAATCATCAGCAATAAAGTAAAGTAAAAGTAAAGTAAAATATACTTTATTGTACACCAGTAGAAATAAAGGATTTATAACTAAAGACACATGGGTACAACAGGCGGCCTTATCGCTAAAACAGCGATCTCTTCCAGGCAACCTTAGGGCAGAGGATTCATTAAAAGAAGAAAGCGGTAGGGTGTACTAAACAAATAATAAGAATAGTAAATACAAAAAAAAATACACAAAAAAAATATATATACATATAGACAGAAAAAAAAGATATATGATGGACGACAGATAGTATATTAAGAGGATAGGTAATGACATTTTAATTTAGTTTTAAAAATGTGAAGAGATTTAGATAGTTTAATATCTAAAGGAATAGAATTCCAAAGACGTATAGCAGAAACCGCAAAAGAATTAGCATAGAAGGAAGAGGAGTGACTAGGAGTACTTAGTAGAAAATTATTTTGAGAACGTAGAGAAAAAGAGTGTAAATCATTTAGATATATAAATTGATCTTTTAAATAATGAGGAGTGATGGGATTGAACAGAATGCAGTAAAGAAGATGAAGAATATGAGTATTTTTGCGAAGACGAATCGGGAGCCACTTGAGCTTATGGCGGAATTCGGAGATATGGTCATACTTTCGCAACCCAAATATGAACCTTATGCAGTAATTTTGAAGCCTTTCAAGTTTATTAAGTTGCTGCTCAGATATATATGGAGATAACAAGTGTCCGCGTAGTCAAGGATCGGTAGAAAAAGAGACTGAGACAGAGCAACTTTACTAGAGATGGGGAAGACATTGCGCAATCTTCGGAGTGAGCCAACTGCAGCAAACATCTTTCTGCTTAGTTCACTAATTTGCGGCGTCCAGGATAACGTTTGATCAAATATGATGCCCAAATTTTTAACTTTATCACTGTATGGAATAACTGTTCCTTCGAATGTGATTGGCGGTAAATGTTATAATGTTAAACGAGAAATTAATTTCGTACTCCCAACAATAATAGCTTGGGTCTTCGATGGATTAACTTTAAGCACAAACGAGTTACACCAATGAGAAATGCGGGTAAGATTCTCATTAATTAAGCCAATTGTATTGGGTAATTCCGCAATCTTACATCGAGAGTAGATTTGTAAATCGTCTGCATATAGGTGATAGAGAGAAGTAATGCGGGAACAGATCGAATTGATGAAAGTAGAGAATAATAGAGGAGACAACACGCCACCTTGCGGGACGCCAGCCTTGACTGCAGACCAGTCAGAAAATGTATCTTGAATTTTTACACGCTGCCGGCGTCCATGCAAGTAACTACGAAACCAACCAATTACCGCAGGAGATATGTTAAAAGAACTGAGGACAGCGAGCAGAACATCAAAGTCTACAGTATTGAAGGCATTACTGAAGTCCAGCAATGTCAAGACTGTAACTTGTTGATTATCCATACCCAGCCGAATGTCATCAGTGATTCTAACTAAAGCAGTTGTCGTACTATGACCGGGACGGAAGCCAGACTTGAATAAATTTAATAGGTTGTTATTATATGTAAATTCATTCTCATCGAAACTACTCTATTTGTCTACCTGCTGTTCCACCCGTCTCAGTCTCTACCTCTTCGCCTTCTCTCTCTTACCTCTCCGACCTGCAGAGCGGGTGGGTCTCATCGCTGCCGTCCGGACAGTCGACCACTCCGTCGCACTTGCCGTCGAAGCTGATGCAGCTCTTGTCGCGGCACTGCCACTGACTCTTTCTGTACGGAAACGAGAAGTGGAAAGAAATGACTCTTTCTGTACGGAAACGAGAAGTGGAAAGAACTGACTCTTTCTGTACGGAAACGAGAAGTGGAAAGAACTGACTCTTTCTGTACAAAAGCGAGAAGTCCGTACGATAGAAAGAACGTATCCTCCGTGGTAGTTCGTATTGCATGGATGGCAGGCTCGTCCGGGTATGTACCACGACCTCGTAGAAGACCGGCGTAAAGTGGAAATATAATTGTGCTTCCGCGTTTCGTCTGTTGAGTGAGGTAGCCGGAGCCCAATGTCCAATAGGCTGTCGACGCATCTGCAACCCTCGGGTGTAGCAATGTCCATGGGCGGCGGTATTCACTTAACATCGGGTGAACCGGCTGCTCACTTGACAACTTTTCACATAAGAATAAACGTTCAAAGAGCTTGTTTGTCACCACGTACTAGGTGCTAGAAGTTGGTAAGCCGGTTTGATGATTTTGTGATGGGACCATGCAGTAGTCTTGTTGCTGTTACAGGTCCGTCAAGTACCTCGACCTCACAGAAGGCCGGCGTGAATTGAGTGTTATACTTATGAATTTCTACCGGTGGGTGACATAAACGGGGTCCGTTTTATCGAAAGGTGCCAACACATTTGGGTGTAGCAAACGGCCGTGGGCGGCGGCGCCAAAAATGGTATTATTGCTCTTGATAAGTGTGAAAAATTTCAAATTAATCTGAGTTGACTCTTGTTTGATGCTAATAAAAGCGAAAATATTTAAACGAAAACAATATTTATCAAATCGGTATAATGTTATAAATAAAATAGACTTTGGCTTTCATTCGCACTTACCGGCAAGAAGATGTCTGCCTCTTTGACCTATTCAGATCTGGATACCACAGCGAGGTCAATCTGGAAAGATAATTCAATAATTACTTCACGAGACATTCCTACACGGCGTTATCTATTATATTATTATAATTACACAAGCGACCCGCCCCGGCTTCGCACGGGTGAAATGTATTATACATATGAACCTTCTTCTTGAATCACTCTATCTAGTAAAAAAAAAAACCGCATCAAGATCCATTGCGTAGTTTTAAATATCTAAGCATACATAGGGACAGACAGACAGCGGGACGACTTTGTTCTAGACTAATAACTAAGACATATAATAATCATAATTTACTTAATTTTTGCATAATTATGTATATTTTTATTTAAAAAACCCAAATAAACGAGAAAACAAATATATATCCCACCATAATCATATAATGGGCGGCAATAAAATGGCGGCATAACTAATTTGGAATAGTCTGTACAGAGAAATCCCAAGACGTTAAACTACAATAATAATAATCAATATAATTAGTAACTGATGCCTAAACATACGATACATATAATAGATTTAAGACCATCATATATTACCTTATTCTGGCATGTAAATAAATAAATAGGCCGAGAAAAATGGCGGCACAACTGATGTGGAATAGTCTGCATAGAGAAATCCCCAAGACATAACCAGGCAGGCGACTTACGTGTCGACTCCAGCGCAGCGAGCCTCGTCGCTGCGGTCAGAGCAGTCCGCCGCGCCGTCGCAGAGCCTGCTCGCGTCCACGCACGATCCGTCGTCGCACGGCACCTCGCCTCGGCTGCAAGGTTCCAAATTCAAATTCAAACATCCCTGTTCAATACTCGCGATGTATTATACATATGAACCTTCCTCTTGAATCACTCTATCTAGTAAAAAAAAAAAACCGCATCAAGATCCGTTGCGTAGTTTTAGAGATCTAAGCGCACATCGGTACAGACAGACAGCGGGACGACTTTGTTTTACACTATGTAGTGATGCACAGCAGAGACATTTACATTTCAAGTGACATTTTACCACAGCCACTCACTTGTTTTTCCTTACTTGCAGATGCGTTGCTTATCATTAAAAAAGTGGGGTCCAGTTACCTCACTCACCGGTGAACTTCCACTTATTTAATGCAAAAACTCGCCAAGCGAGCGGGCGGTTCACCTGATGTTAAGTGAACACCGCCGCCCATGGACATCTGCCACACCCGAGGGTTGCAGATGCGTTGACCTTTTGAAAATGGGGCTCCGGCTACCTCACTCACCAGACGAAACGCGACAGTATTATACTTCCACTTAACGCCGGTCTTCTGTGAGGGAACCGTCGAGGGCATACGACAGTAGTCTTCGAACCTTCGTCAGACCTACCTGCATAATCCTCCATTTTCCTTCACAACAGCTGGCAGCACCGGAGCCGTGGCTGGAAGCAAAAGATTTTCTATTTGAGCGCGAAAGTTTTTTTTTTTAATTCTCACAATCAACAAACAATAGTGCCAGGAAGCATCTTCTACTACCGTTTACTGTTTCACTCTCTTAATAAATCTATGAATTTGTAAAAAAAAATAAAGAACATTAAGATTAATAAGAACATAAAGAACTATTAGCGTCTTCCAGAATTGCATGCAGACACTTTAACCACTAAGATTGGAACGCCGAAGACAGTTTCATACTTTGTTTTTTCGCGTTTTAAGCAATTCTTGGTGTTATCTATCTTTCTATGACTCCGTGGCGCAGTTGCCAAGGTATTGGCTTCGGCGCCGGGGGTCGTGGGTTCGATTCACACACGGGACAACTATTTGTGTGACCCACAGATAGTTGTTTCCCATCTGGGTGTTCGTCCACGTGAAATGTATGTTTGTAAAACGTCCTTACAACACAGGATAATGTTATCCTAAAGTAAGGGCAAAGTTTTCCAAAATTCATAAAAAATTAAAAAAAAAATCTATGTCCTAAGCACACAAAGAATTACAAAACACGAAGGATAATTTGAAACTTTAATTTTTACATCAATATAATTATAATGAATCATTAAAATTAGACGAAAAACAAAACTAGCGGGTTCGATTCCCACGTCAGCGACACACGAATACAAATACAAAAATATTAATAAAAAAGGTTTTTATCATTTTTATCAAAATTTTACAAATGAAAATAGTTAGTTAGCTGCATCACCCTAGTACTGTAGTAAAACCGTTTATCAAGTCTTCTTAAGAAAAGTTGCCATTTTATGTGAGAAAGACAACCAGGCTGGCGGTTCACCTGATAACTGCCGTCTATTGACATTTGCAACAATCGTTGAGTCGCAGATGCGTTACCACCTTTTAATCAAGTGGGCCCCGGCTACCTCACTCACCGTACGAAACGCGGAAGTACACTTCCACTTAACGCCGGTCTTCTCTGTGGTCGTGGTACTTCCCCGGACTGACCTGCCCAATCGTGAAACAGCAAAAATGCTGCGTGGCCTCCACCACTTTACAAAACTTTTCTACTTAATTTACGTAACGTGTTTTAGATTTATCACGCGATTGCATATAATTTTTAACAAAAAAAAACCGACTTCAAACTGGAGACTAAAAAACGTTGTTAAAACCTATATTTGAGGATCGCCCTCGATTTCTCTGGGATTCTTCATTATCATGGTACCACCCTTTCCAACAAAAAAATAATCGTCAAAATCGGTTCATAAACGACGAAGTTATAAGCGAACACATATAAAAAAAAATTTAAAATATATACGGTCGAATTGAGAACTACCTCCTTCTTTTTGAAGTCGGTTAAAAATAAAATCCGAAACGTCTATCTTATTAATCCATTTAAAAGATTTTTTTAAACGACGCCCGATATCATTTTTCACACAATTCACAAGAGTAAATTCCGCGACTAGTTTTCAAAAATTATTATCTAACTATCGATGCAGACCAAATTCATTTCTATTGCAATGAAGATTAGGTTAGTTATGCCGTGTGATTAAGCTGTTGCTTAGTCTTTGCTTATTATATACGGTAAGTACAGAATTTTCAACCTTACCCGTAAGTCATAAGGTATCATATCACGTCAGCATGTCACTAATGCAAATACCGGTGTCATTTGTTTGCATTCAATATTTATTATCTGTATTTGAACTTAATTTAAATTTTCAATATTATTCACAGTTCATTGTTCTCCATTAACAGATTTACATCGATTTTGTTTTCTTAGCAGGATACAGATTTTGCAGGGACCGACAGGATTTATATAGATAAATAAAATTGGAGTGTCTGTATGTAATATTAAAATATTCGCTTTTTACTACAATGCTTATAGATGTATACATGGGCACATATACCAAAATAACATTTTTTACAAGTTTTGTATGTTTGTCTGCTTGTTGTTGTTGTTTGTCTGTTTGATAAATAACGGCACTTTCATTGGCAGATATTAATAAGGATTAACTTAGGCTACTTTTATTTTAGAAATTTTATTTATTTTAAATTCTACGCGGACGAAATCGCGGGCCCAGCTAGTTATTTATTTAAAGCTCCAGGCTCTTTTAATCAGAGTACTTATATGAATATGTACAATCTTTATTGATCTAATATTTACAAGATTAAATCTATCTAAAATACATTTATTTCAATACAATGATACGATTACGGAAATACTACTGGATAGAATTCAATTACCTAAATCCTCTAAGTTTTATTTCTTAGACACTTACCTGTCCCTTATCTAAAATAAATATATCTATTGTGATACCTTCTTTTAGTATAAAGTCTTTAAAGTTTTAAGAACTGCTTTTACAAGCATTAAAAATGTTCTGTGATGTTTTCTTCCCCTGCTTTCTTGCTCTTATATGTATAATAACACTATGTACATATATGCAATTATGTTTAGAATTGTTCCGCTTTAAATTATATGACATACATAAGTGAATGTATCAGATGATATAGAACGTTTGATACGGAAAAAGATATCAGTCTATAGAATTGCAATCTGATTACACCAATTGGCGTAATTTGAATGCCCCAGTTTCGGTGCGCCAGCTATCCACCTCGTAGCCCTGTAGTCCCGGGCTGATAGAATAGGACTAAGGTATCTCCTGCCTGTCGCGAAAGGCGACTAAACGGGGACACGGATTGGCAGCAGCTCGAAGTGGCCTCTCCCGGTACGGAGGGAGTTCCATAGGAGATCCCGATGTCCCTACAAACGTACAGAAGGTTTCCACCGAGGGGGTTTCAGTGGGTAAGAACCCCCCATAACCCTGTCACGTAAGATGTCTTTTGACGTCTTTTGAAGATCTCCCCCCCGATACCAAAAAAAAACGCTATCTACCTCGCACTTGTTTATAATATCATTGCATATGTATTTTGTTTTTTATTTATTTTATTTTATTTATATATCAAAATAGATATAGAGCATATCAAAATATCCCATACAACAGTCATACAGAGTTTTTTGTCGTTTTTATAGATAATGTTACGGAAACATTTGTGCGCGAGTCCGACTCGCACTTGGCCGGTATTATAAAGAAATCTCATCTTACTTATTCTTACATATTTAACACCAGATATTATACTCAGACAGAATAGCAAAACTGTTGTTTCGTTAGCTTTTTTGTAAAAAAAAACAGTCGGATATCTTTTTGTGTTTATTCGAATGAAACTTAGTCGAATATGTTTTTGTGTTTTTTCTTAGCATTCGTCAACATTTTTTGTTTAATTTTATACGTTCGTTCATAATCAAAGATTCGTTCATTATAGGTCATGACCACAGATTAGTTAAACCCCGTGGTAGTGTCTATTATAATAACTGTTATGGATACCGGCGATTGTTCACGTGAAATTTGTGCATGTGAAACATGTTTGCAACACTGGACAGCTGTTAATCTAAAAGAAGGGTTTGTTTTCAAAAAGCTAGAAAAAATTGAAGAAAAATGGTACTTAACTGTTTTCGAATTCAACTATTCACATATTTAATGATAAAATAATAAAATCGAGAAAACAGAAATCGTTCGAGAAACTTTAGTACTACAAACAACTAAGATCTTCGGTCTTCAAGTCCGTGCTTTTCGCAAACCATCGAGATGACGGCGATTTTTTTTTTATCAATATGTCAATGTACTTGTTATTAACAAACAATTTGTATTAAAACTTTCTAACAGTTGTATTGCCTTCGAAGGAAAACGAAGCATTTATTTCGAGTGAAAAAAAAACCCTTATCATGACGGTTAGTCATTGGTGACGTACCTGACGCTTGCGTTGATTAACGGCCGCTTTTAATATATTTATTTTAAAATAGAATATTGGCGTAAGTATTATAGGGCTAATGTCAAATACCTATCGATAGTAACGAAATGTATCCGTAGATAGAATATTGAAACCGGCCGTTAGTCAAGGTACTTTTGGCGCGTTTGGAGAAAAATTTTAAATAAAAATGATATTATATACAAATACGTGGTAGATATGACACAAGCGCACCGAAACCGAGGCACACAAATTACTTTAATTGGTGTAATTAGATTGCAATAATATAGACTGCTATCTCTCTACGTATCATACGTTCTATATCATCTGTCACATTCGCTTATGTATTAATAACTAGCGACCCGCCCCGGCTTCGCACGGTCGCAATGTATTATACATATAAACCATCCTCTTGAATCACTCTATCTAGTAAAAAAAACCGCATCAAGATCCGTTGCGTAATTTTAAAGATCTAAGCATACATATGGACAGACAGACAGCGGTACGACTTTGTTTCATACCATGTAGTGAAGTCATGTTATGTCCGTCAAATAATTTATTTTAAACCAATCCGAACTAAAGTAGCACTGAGTCGCACCACTGGACGGGGAAAAACCTAAGTGACGTAAACGAAAATGAACAGTAAATCGACGAAACAATTTTTCCCCGGATTATGTAAGTCCTCATTATTATATTAATCATGCAAATACATATATGAGTGCGGCAAAATGGCATTATGTTCTTCAAATGCTATGTTTAATGTAGACTTTTTTGTGACATCTGATTTTTGTACATCTGATGTTAAGTGGCGGTTATCACCTTTTAACATTTGCAACGCCTGTAGTGCGTTGTCACCTTTTATTAAAGTGGGCCCGGGCTACCTCACTCACCAGACGAAACGCAGAAGTATAACACTTCCACTTCACGCCGGTCTTCTGTGAGGGCGGGGTACTTACCCGGACGGATCTGCCCATTCGTGCAACAGAGAAGATTGTTGCGTGGCCCTACCACACATAAACACTGCAATGTGTATACAAACTGATTTAATGGTATATATTAATATATATTTAGTAATAGCAACCATGAGCGGAATTCAGTCCGACGTCTCTTAATCATAAGTAGTGGGTTCGAAGACAGAGTTACCGTTTATAGGATACTCTAGCTGTAATCCGCGGCTTCGCCCGCGTAGTCAAAGGTGAAGGGAAAAAATGGGTCGTTCATCATACACGACACATTCCTGGTGCAAGGATAAATAAGTAACAACTCCACAATTAACGGAATATACGAAGATAAACAAGGACCAACACATTTATACTTTTACTATGGAGTGATTCAAATACGCATCATATTGGATCATCTCATGAGAATAAGTTGTTTTACCGAGGTAAAAAGTAGCCCACGTCACTCTCCAGCCTCTTAAATATCTCCACACACAAAAATCATAACAAAACATAACATCGCTCCGTTGCGACGTGAAAGAAGGACAAACAAACACACTTTCGGGTTTATGAGGAAGTAAGTTTTTACATAACTCTTGTGAATTTTGAGATCAGTGTGTCCACTCCGTGGTATCTATCCGTGGTATGGTGTTTGTTGTTGTACGAATGGGCAGGTCCGTTCGGGCTAGTAACACGAACTCGCAGAAGACGGGCGTTAAGTAGAAGTGTTACACTTCTGCGTTTCGTCTGGTGAGTGAGATAGCCGGGGCCCAGTTTATTAAAGGGTGGCAAGGCATCTGCAACCCTACGGGTGTTGCAAATGTCCATGGGGGCGGTTTCGTTTAACGTCATGTAAACCGCCAGCTCGTTTGCCACTTTGTCACATAAACAAAAAAACTCCGGGGACATGTAAACATGAAGTGTTGTGTCGGCACGTTCGTTTGTGGCTAATGAAAATATTTGAAGGGCAGGGCCGGATTTAGAGGTCTGGAGGCCTCGCGGCAACAAAAAACTAATAAAACTAATAAATGTCACTTATAAAAATAAATAGCCACTCAAAATACCAAATTCTTATACAAGTACCTCATTAAATTACCTAAGTGATACATCTTGCCCTCTCCGAATTTATGATTTGTTTTGTACTATGCCCTATAAACAGGGTCCATAAAGAACTATTTTACTAATTACCCTAACACCTTTTGTCACTTAATGGATGTGCAATAAATAAATAAATAAACAAAGGATTTGGTTCAAATAAAATTATTTTCCCAAATAAAATTAAAATATTTTTTCAGTCAAGTTTTCCAACAAGAATTATGAAAAAATATGAAAGAAAAAGTTGTTTACTAGTGTTTACTAGTCTGAATTTGAATGTTTTTCCCGCAGTCTCAATTGTGCGGGAGGGGGGCTCTTTTGGGCCCCGTGGCTGTAGCCCCGGTTGCCCTCCCCTAAATCCGGCCCTGTTGAAGGGAGTTTTATCGCGTCAATTCACGTTTAAAAAACTCCGTATATTTAACCCTTTAAGGCCTGATGATTTTGAAAGCGTCGATGTTTCTACTACACCTCTCAAGAAGCAAATAAAAGAAAAAAACCGGCAAAAAACTCATATCCGTTGTATTGAAGCCCTACTTAAATATTTTTATTCATGTTTATAGTATTTGTTGTTATAGCGGATACAGAAATACATCATCTGTTACAAGTTCAACCGTCTAAGTGTCGCGGTTCATGAGATACAACTACGGAACCCTAAAAAAATTATAAAAATATGAAAAGTGAATGAGGAAGGGAACTATCAACGGTGCAATGCATCATAAGCATAAAATAGCGAAAAAAAGAGGGTATATATTAATTTAATTAAAAATTAATTATTAGGATATTTTAATACGGATCTAAATGGCTTTGCTTGCCGAAGCAAAAAGTCATTATAAGTGCGCATGTAAAACAAAATAGTAAAAAATTTATAAGAAATAAATATAGGCTATATTTTAATATAAATTTCCTATATTATAATCATATTATAATTTAGAAAAAATATTTTTTTTCTTTCTTCAGAAAAAGGTGGCAACCCTAGAATCAGGCTCAACGAGATCTTATTGTATGGATTTCTTCAAAATTTCAGAATAAACGCGATAAAATTAGCTACAGCCGCACATAAAGACGACAGTAAGCATTTAAAAACATTACGTTATTTTATTTAGTGTAACAATTATCAATTATAGTCTCCAATTGAAAAAGCGCTAAGGTCTGTAATTGATACTTACTCACGTCCTCATTACATGTACCTATACGTTTATAAGGGAACAAACTTTGGGAAACCAAATTATATTAAATAAAATTTCCGGCCAAATTTAAAATTATTTCATCGTATTAGTTTTATTATAGTTTTATTTTTCAAATTGTAAACGGTATTATTTACATGAAAATTTAATATCTTATAGCCAGTTATTTTTTTTTAGAATCATGAATATTAAGTCATTACTAATAGGAACGACAATTTTCGTTTTGAAACTTAAAAAATTCAAACGAACAACATGTATTTGAGGAAAACTTAAAATGAATCTTCATTAAATAACTGGTTTCGTGTCATAATTAAAAAATATAGGAATCTCTAATGTACGCAGAGAATATCCAGACATGATATTTATTATTTTCGTTTAAAATTCAGAATCAGTTCAGATATTCTATTTTATTATCTTTGAAACTAAAGTAGTAGTGTACAGAGTATAATAGCGTGACTTTACATGACCTTGTCTAAAATATCAAAAAAAAAAATATGAACAAAGGTTATAATTTAATAGATTATATAAAACGTTTATGGAATATATAATATATATAATATATAAAAGCCGAACTTCGAACGAAAAACTACTTTTTTAAAAAAGACGTTTTTTTTGCTAACATATTAGTATTTTTCTAAAGACAAGTTTAATGTCATATAATACATAGCTATATTTGTATGCAAATATTAAATCGAATATGATAAACCGATCACTCACCAAATATAAGGAAAAATATATTCCAAGAAACCTTCAAGTTAGCCATCTGTAATCACAGCACAGTGATATATTTTTTTTAATTTTAACTATTCTGGCAGCTTCGTAAACACATCGCCGTTAAAACAAATTAAACTAAATACAAAACACCTTTGACGTGTCAAGTACGTTTAACACATTATTGAATCGCGAACCACCGACATCTGTCTAGTTCTGATTAATTGGTGCGTAATACTTTTACTTATAATATGATTTATTTTACAATAAACACGGGAGACTAGCTGGGAAAATCCGAACGTACTAAATGTTACCAGTTCGGGTGCTGCCAAGAATTTTAAGCAAATTACCACATGATGTGGGATGATAAAAATCATCGATTGGTACTTGAGGATTAACGATTACTTCTAGAATAGATGAATATAATACTAGTTATTGGATGATTGAATGAATTAACATATTACAATGCACAAGATTAAACTTAGTTACAATTAAAGAGTACGTTGAGTGGCTTTATTACTAAAAATAGTTTCGTATAATCAATCTTTGGAAGGACAAAATTTATATTAATATAGTTAAAGAGGGATTAATTTAGATATTTAACGTAAAAACACGTAATCGGCATCTCTCATTAGAATAATTATTTGCATACATGCATACTAAATACATAACAATAAAAATGTAAATATATAAATATAATAAGAACCTTTGCTACTCAAAATTACTACATACTAAAAATAAATTTTCTCACTACTGGAGTAAAACAAATAACTATATAGAGATTTAACTAGTAACGGCATACTCAGACACTAAAATTAACATCCAAGTTAATTTATTTAGCAATATAAGACTTATTCCTAATTATTATTTACGCCACAAATCGCTAGTTGCTTGCTAATTAATTGTCATCTTTGAGTGCTGGCGTATGATGAAGCTATTGCTTTTTAGGGTTCCGTAACCAAAAGGTAAAACGGGGACCCTATTACGAAGATTACACTGTCTGTCTGTCTGTCTGTCCCAGTCTGTCACCAGGCTATATCTCATGAACCGTGATAGTAAGACAGTTGAAATTTTAACAGTTGAAGGTTTAACTTTAAATGTTGCCGCTACAAACGATACAAATACTATAAAACAGAATTAAAAAAATTAAATGATGCTCCTATGCAACAGACATGATTTTTGCTGATTTTATAGATAATGGTACGGAAGCCATTCGCTCACGAAGGCTCGCACTTGGCCGGGTTTTTCATGCAAACATCATTTGTTTCTGTTTTACATTAAAATTGACCTTTGTCAATTTTGCTTTTTCCTTACGTTATCTAACTCGGTGATAATAGAACACTCCTTAATGATTGTTTATTAACCGTCTGATTTCTTAATTTAATATTATTTTCCAAAATAATAGATTAAAATCTATACATAAGCTAAATCTATACAATTAAGCCTATACATGTCCCCCTGCTGGGCAAAGGCCTCCTCTGTACAAAAGGTATCAGGGCATAGTCCACCAAGCGGCCCCACTGCGGTTTGGCGGACCTAACATATGTTCGATTTTTTTTTTGTTATTCGAAAATATGCAGATTTCCTCACGATGTTTTCCTTCACCGCTGAGCACGTGATGATTCGGCACTTAAAATTAACTATTTCACTGCCGGCATCGGGGATTGAACTCAGGTTGCTCGAGTATATTGAATTAAAGGCGAGAGCCCGAACACTGAGCTATCACGACTATTGTACTAAGAAGAATGTACCCGAATTCATGACTCAATTTTTCTTCGGATTTCTGATTTACATATATTAGTTAGTGTACTGAGTTCGTGTGTTATAAAATGTTGTTTTAGACTATTTGGTCCTAGTACTAGGACATTTATACAGGTCGTTTTAACTACTACTTACTAATATTTACCCTTCCCAATCGATTCGCAATTTTCATCAAGTGGCAACACTGACTGACAGATCTTTTGAAACAGGTTATGTAAGGTCATCGGCGTTGATAATGACTCTTTAGATATGAGTTTTAAGATGAGCTAACCGCTCTGGAAACGGGTATTTTGCGTAAAATGGATTTATAGTTCGGTACGGGAAATCCATGCACAAATATAGAAAATAGACAATACGTTAGATTGATTATTAACAAGGCTACGTTTTTGTACGTTTTGTTTAATTTACTGATTTTTGGAAACGTTTCGAACAACATAATCTTTTGTATACTCTTTTCAACGAACTTCCAAACTACGAAATTCGGTTGCATTTTTTTATATTTATTACATGAATTCAGCCATTTATGAACAGATTTTAAAATTTTCATTTACATTTGGTTCGGTTTAGCTTCCATATGTTTCCGTATTAATTTATTGTTTGTGAAATGTGTGATGAAAAACATATAAACTAGTTTTACCGAAAACTTAAAGGGGGTTTCGTTTTTGAAATATATTAGAGTACTCCATTTTTCATTAGTGATATTCTATAACTTGCTGAATAGCGGGAGATGTATTAAAAACAAACAATGGACGGATTGAAAAAGAAAAGTGCGGCGGAGATTTGGAGGGAAATATATTAATGATTAAATGTATGTAATATATTATCTATAATATTTTAACGGTGGTAGGGCCACGCAGCAGCCTCGGCTGTTGCACGAATGGGCAGGCCCGTCCGGGTAAGTACCACGACCTCACAGAAGACCAGCGTAAAGTGGAAGTATGACAAATACTTTCGCGTTTCGTCTGGTGAGTGAGGTAGCCGGAGCCCAATTTTCAAAAGGTTGTCAACGCATCTGTAACCCTTGAGTGTGGCAGATGTCCATGGGTGGTGGTATTCACTTAACATCAGGTGAACCGTCTGCTCGTTTGACAACTTTTCGCATAAAAAAAAATATTATTTGGTGTTTTGTATTCTACAAATACTAATTCTTTTTAAATTAACAACGAACCATCGAACAACGAATTAAATTAACGAACGACAAAATACACCGCTGCACAGCCGGATCGCAAATTAACACCTTCATCATCAGCCGAAAGACGCCCACTGTTGAACTTAGGCCAACCCTTAGAACTTGTATCTTGTATTAACTGAAGTTTTTGTTTTCAGTCCCGAGACTATTAAAGCTTCATCTGACGCAGAATCTGTGGGCTAGCCAGAACCCACGGGTTTGGGCCCTCCGTTGTGGGTAGGGCCACGCATGTGCTCATGCGTGCGTTAAACTATGGTGTGTCATCTAAGGCCATCGAGGTCGCGGTTCGGACCGAAAGCTCGATGGCCGTCGACTGTGCAATCAGCTAATCGGTGGCTGGGAACGGTGAGAACCGCCCCGGAACGCGGGTGTACCTTGTGCACGCGTTGTGTTGGTCTCGCCGTGCTCGGAGGCGAGGGCGAACTGGTGTGGTTGTTGTTACACCTACTGTGGGTGTAGTTTTATCCGGCGGGATCCCCGACGGTGGGCCTAACGTGTCTAAGTCCCCTTCCTCGACCGGTTCGATGAGGACGTTTCGCTGGCGACGTTTGTTGACGTTAGCACCCTTAGAACGCCACAACGAATGACAGTTTGCCATTTGCAACCACCTATATGAGCACCTTCACTATTCATATATTATTTATTTATTATATTTGAACAGTGAAGTTCTTTTCTTTTGTTTTAGAGAAATATGATACCGTCAAGTCATCTCATCAATACACCAAATTATTTTTTACATACCCATATCCCTGAATTGTTTTGACATTGACTATTTTGCTACAATTATTTTCTTTCAATTCCGTTTCATATTATATTTTTTAAGTATATATTTTTAGGTTTTGACTAACATCCAAGTAAATATGTTCCGATGACCTTAAACGGCCGTACTCAGTTGATTAAACATATTAAAGGACTTAAGAGAATGGAGCATGATGCGGTAATCTTTATATATAATTTGGCTTCCATACTTTTTAGTCCAAAAAACTCGAAACTAGCCGACTTGATATTTTTTCACAACATAGCCGCCACACAAAAAGCTACGGCGAAGCGTAGCCATCACACGTATATCACCGTATACAGGTTTGATAAATTCGTAAAAGGCAATCGGGTTCTAGTCAAGATAGACCTGATACATGGCTTTATTTTCGAAAGCACAAAATGGAATCGTCCAGCGCCTCAGTCTGTCCCATATACAAAAGTACTCTGTGGCATTTCCCTATATACAAAAGTACTCTGTGGTCTGTCCCTTGTCCATGATCGCTGTAAACGAATCGCAACGTCGGAATTCGTGATAAATAAAATTAAAAATAAACGCGACAAATACGTAAAGAATAGTTTCATTTATAACGTGAAATCGCGTAAATACTAGAAATTATGATGCATTTTTTTTGATCCTTTTAAAAAAGTGTTCGTAAACTGCAATTATTTTTATACTATAGAGAAGTCTGAACGTTATTATACACATGAACTGATATTGACGTTCACTACTTGCCCCAGAAAATGATGTGTTATCCTCAGTGCTGCCATTGTCAATAATACACCAAGCAAAATAAAATTCTAACAAATCAATTAAGTAGTATAACTTCATCATCATCATTTCAGCCTGTTTGAGTCTACTGCTGAACATAGACCCCACAGACTGCCACGAAGTACGATCCTGAGCTCCCTATATCCATCGACTTCCCGCACATTTGCACAGGTCGTCACTCCATCTAGTGCGGGGTCGTCCCGCACTGCGATGGCCAGTACGAGGCTGGCACTCGATTCGCTTCTTCATTTATCATCCGTACAGCCAAGGAATGGAATAACCTGCCGGCGTCCGTCTTTCCGTCCGATTACAACGTAGGCGTCTTCAAAGCAAGTGTGAATAGGTTTTTACTGAGCTAGTGCGCTTACCATCAACGGCTGCATCGCCACTTACCATCAGGTGGGATGGCAGTCAAGTGCAGGCCAGTTTTGAATTACCTTTCTTCCCCAAGGGTTATCGGTCCTACGATCTATATGGCCGGCCCATCACCACTTCGGCTTACTAACCTGCTGAGCTATGTCGGTTACTTTTGTTCTACTGAGGATGTCTTCGTTGTTTTAAGTAGTATAAAATAGTGTTTTTTTATGTAAGAAGATTGCAAGCGAGCTGGTTGGTCACTCACAAAGGTTGGTCACTCACAAATGCTTTGCCACCTTTTAATATAGTGAGCTATAATGATAATATATGTGTTTGCTATAATTCATTTGAGCGATGTTTTTACATTCAAATTACTAGTCATAAGGCATAATATTTCAAATAAAAACTAATTAACCTCAAATAAAAATTTCTCTATGGACGTAATTATACTATGTACATTCGCATAACTTATGAAAACTCTGAATAGAAATGATTCTGGTGAAATACGAATTTCTAATGTTATAAAAAATGCACTACACACTCTCTCTACTAGGTCACAGGTGTCCTTTTACAGCACAGAATAGAGAAAGCACTATTCCGTGTTTTACACGGCCTTTAGTAGCCATATTAGTCTATGTTTAGTAGCAAGTTCAATTCGGTAGCTATAGGACGTGCTGGAACCGTTGGTGACGTGGGAGAACACAGTACGTTTTGCGCGGGAATTGCTCAACGTACATTATCTATGGCAGTAATAAACGCGGGATTTTAAATACTTAACCACTACAATAAAGAAAAGGTTAGATGTGCATATAACATCTTTTAATATTTAATAAGATTTGGTTGAAAACTTTTGATTATTGTGTGTGTAGTACTTGTTTATCTTTAAATTAATTTGTTTATGACTTACCATTTCCAACCCGTTTATTGTGTAAAATAATGTAATGGATCAAAAGATTTAGATCAAATGGCGTTTTTCACGCAATTTTTTTTAAGCTTAAAAATCCGCAAAAGTTAATTTCACGTTATGTACTTTAAAACTTATTTTTTTTTCTATTTCAAAAGTTGAATGACCGTCTAAATGGCAAAATTGCCCTTAAAATTACACAGGGCGACGGTAAATTGTACGGTAAGCGGTCTACGTAATTTGAATATTTAACACACTGGCTGTCTCTTTCCCATGGGACAGTACAACTGTTCTGCCCCATTTGTGTAATTCATGGTAATTTTTATACACGATTTCGCCCTACTTTGAACGATCAGATTTGAATCAAACTGCACACTCGTCAAAGACCCATGACGATGCAATAATTTAAGTAGATTTTCCCATTGTCCGGATAAGTACTGATTTTTCAAATCCGATACCCGGTAGAGTCCTTGTGCCAAGTACGCATTTAAATAAATATTTAAAAAGAAAAAAACACGCTCACACAGATGATGTATTTCACAGATGATGTATTTCACAGATGATGTTATTTCTGTATTTCTGTTGCCGCTATAACACTAAAACTGTTTTTATTACTAGTATATAAATAAATATTTAAGTGAGGCTCAAAACAAGACATGGTTTTTTTGTCGTTTTTATAGAATGGTACGAAACCCTTCGTGCGCAAGTCCAACTCGCACTTGGCTCGTTTTTTTTTTGTTGAATTAAATAATTTTTGCTCTTTTACTTTAAATATCGCCCGTTTTAGTTTCACCCGTTAATTTAAAAAAAAGAATTAAACTTTTTTTTTAAATCTCAGTGCACGCCACTGATTGTAATGCAATTTATTGCTGCAGTCGCCAATGGCGGAGGGGTCGAGATTTGCGTCGAGAATCGCCGCTTTCATCCTCATTGGGGCCAATTTGTTCTTTATGGTGAGCGTTTGTTGCATTCTTGTCTAAGGTTGCCTTATTGGCCGTTCGCCTTTCAAAGTCAAAGTCAAAATTTCTTTATTCAATATAGGCTTATTTTAAGCTCTTATTGGACGTTACTTCACTCGCCACTTACCATCAGGTGGGATGGCAGTCAAGTGCTGGCCAGTTCTAAATAAAAAAAATACTACCTCCGGTTCACTAAACTTGATCTACAAGAGAAGAACCGGCAAGAAACTCTGCGGTCACATTATTTTTTTTAATAAATCATTTAAGTATAAAAATACACATTTAAATACAAAAATATTTATTTATAAAATTAGCAGGAGTCAGGGGACTTGCAAGTGCAGAGCAAGAGTCATTCCGACACAATCTTGTCCTCAATGTATTCCTTGACATTATAATTGGCCCTTTCCATTGATGGCTTTTAAAAAATGTTTGAAATTATTAATACCTACTGAATTGTTTGTGGATGTCACCAATTCTATTATATAATTGGTTAACCGTGGTACGGCCACGCAGCAGCCTCGGCTGTTGCACGAATGGGCAAGCCCGTCCGGGTAAGTACCACGACCTCACAGAAGACCGGCTTGAAGTGGAAGTAATACGTTCGCGTTTCGTCTGGTGAGTGAGGTAGCCGGAGCCCAATTTTCAAAAGGTTGTCAACGCATCTGTAACCCTCGGGTGTGGCAGATGTCCATGGGCGGCGGTATTCACTTAACATCAGGTGAATCGTGTCCTCGTTTGACAACTTTTTGCATAAAAAAAAGGTCGCAAGGTTCGCATGGGAGGTGGTGGGTTGGTCTCCTGTGAAGTCGTACTTCCCCAGAGGCTTGTCCATTTGTTCAACAACAGAAGCGTGACCTCTACATTTTAAATTATAAATAAATGAACAAAAACTCTTGGCGCTGATGGATTTGTACCTTGGTTGTCTTTTGGTTTCAAACCCAGATGCTTTACCAACTAAGCTTAGCGGCTGATGTTCTTTTTTCTCTCCATTTTCAATTTTACAAATACCTTTTATTCCACTATCTTAATAGACCCTAACTAGTAGAGTCTCTGGTATTCAATCCATGATCGTGGCTTACAGACTCTCTGTGCTGGGACTTTCGCATTAGGCTTGTGGGCCATCGCGTCGCCGAGTTCATTGTCTCACGCGATTCAAACCTTCGGCGATGCCACAACAAAGGTAAGTACTTGACTTCATAGCTGTTATTTCACGGCAGGTTTTTTTGCAGTTTATCAGAGTTCTATCCTTACTTCCTTACTAATATTTTAAATTCGAAAGTTTGTATGTCTGGATAGATGTTTGTTACTCTTTCACGCAAATACAACTGAATGGTATAATTTTAATGAAATAATAATACTACTACTAATTTTAATGAAAGTTTACAATAACATAGCTTATACATCAGAATAAGATATAGGCTATAATGTATATACATATTTTATGTATATCTGTCTTTCTGTCTGAATGTTACGCCTTCAGCCTATTCTTCGCAGACGTAGTCGCGGGCAGCAGCTAGTATTTAATAAAGTGCTTCATCATCATCATTTTACCCTGTTTTAGTCCAATGCTGAACATAGGCCTCCCCGCCACGAAGCACGATCCTGAGCCTCCTGCATCGGGACCAGGGAAGTCGATGTCCCTCATATTCGGTTTGTTCCCAAGAGGGGTTGAAGTCAGGCGGTTGGTCGTAAAAGAACTTATCTATAACACAGATTGGTGGGATAAGAGCGGGAGAGAGAAGAAGAGATGGTCCATTGTATGCTGGTTATGAAATTAACTTAATAAATATTGATTCGTAACTACACCCATCTCTGTCTAACGCGTTCGGTTACGGCCTTGATTAGTCTGCTGTCGCATTCGACCGTTTGCAACTGGGTCACCCACATCTATTCACGCACGTGAATAGAAAAGTTTGTAGCGGTGCGACTCCCTGTGGCATTCCGTGCCTTGCACCGCCCTAGACTCCATCGATTGAATAGCGTCTTGCGAAATACGTCATGCAAGTTGAACCTTTCAAAACTGCTATAACTTAGCAACTTTTTGTTTAAAAGTTTTGATGCGAGAAAAGATTAGTCCACAACATTATTATTTAAAAAAAAAAAAAAACATTGCACACCTTACTTTAGGATAACATTATCCTGTGCTGTAAGGACGTTTTACAAACATGAATTTAACGTGGACAAACACCGAGATACGAAACAACTAAACAAATGGAAACATTGCAAATGTCAATAGGCGGCGGTTATCACTTAACACCAGGTGAACCCACTGCTCGTTTGACACCTTCTCAAATAAAAAAATTATTATAAGTACTAAGCGGTGTTAACACAAACGTTAAATCAAACAGTTTTCCTATCTTTACAAATTGGACAAGGGTTATAAAACTTACAAACAGCTGAAGTCAATATACAGACCCTTTTCAATGTAATATATATATAATATGACCTGAATACGTAATCGGTTACCTTTGTCCGTGGATATGAATGTGGAAATTGCTTTCACGATATCGTATTCAGGCCAATTGCCCATTACACGGCCGTGTGGTATCGTGTATTGTCGCGTGATGTATCAGTAGTTGCCCATATCATGGATTCAAATACAACAGAATTGTTCAATCAATGGGACGTAGAAATAATTGGTTTTATTTTAAGCGACAGCAAGCATTGTTACATGCCTCCGCAATTAAATTGACAACTATAGTAAAGTAAATGAAGCCTATAAATGTCACACTGTTGGGCAAAGACCACTAAGAGCAGTGACAACTATGTGGCATGAACATTATATAAGAATATTAGCGGACCCAACAGACGTTGTCCTTTACACGCGACTTAAATCCGACAACGACTTATAAATAAAAAAAAATCAATTGTGTATCTAAACCATTCTCGAATCGACCTGAAGACAGACAAAAAATTTCATTAAAATCGGTCCAGCCGTCGGAGTTTAGTGACATACACGCGTACAGAAGAATTATATATGTATATAAAGATAAGTTATAACATGTGAAACATTTGAAAATATATAAATACAGGATATACACTGCATGTTACAAGCATACATTGTTAAAAATGTATACTTATTAATTTTATATTTGTGTTCATAGCACAGAATTTTGAGAATAATAGCCCTTTATGTTAAAACATGTAGAAAAAGTACGAAAAGATTGTCGCCGCTGTGGGAATCGAACCCACGTCTTCGGCATTCGCGGCCTGACGCTCTAGCCACTGAGCTAAACGGCTGATTGCCACACCGACGAAAATCTTAACGTCTTTTATATACATTGATTTTTAGCATTTGAAGCAATGCTTGGCGCATCCATTGTTATATCCTTTCCAGCATACAAACAATTTCGAATATCGTTTTACAACGATAATTTGTTAAATAACGTTGGCTTTACCTTACACACGGGGGAGATGTTATTTTTTTTTCATTTTTTAATGTGAGAAAGTACACAAGAGCTGGTGATAACCGCCGCCCATTAACATTTGCAACACCCGTAGGGTTGCAGATGCGTCGCCACCTTCTAATAAAGTGGGCCCTGACTGCCCCGCTCACCAGACGAAAGGCAGAAGGACACTTCTACTTCACACTGGTCTTCTGTGAGGTCGTGGTACTTACCCGGACGGGCCTGCCCATTCGTGGAACAGCGAAAACTGTGGCGTGGCCCTTAAAGTTAACTTATCTTTCCCCGCTTCGCCTTCATCAGGTACTCTTAACACGGGAGTTTCTGGACGTGCAACTTGGGGTCGCGCTGGCGGCTCTCTCGATGTTTTTCTTCTTCATAGCTCTGATGGGTTTCTACGGGGCCGTCGATCGCTCCCAATTTCTTCTATTCATGGTGAGTAAGATCTTTGGGTTGGTTGAAGTCAATTATTGTATTAACTAGGCGACATGCGGCGCGCAGGTCGCTTCCAATATCTCATCCCAACGGATTATTCGAAACCTTTTCTTTATGGAAAAAAAAGGGGCGAACGAGCACGAGGCTTACCTGGTGGTAACTAATCACCGTCGCCAATGATAATACTGAAGGGCTCCCATACAATAGACTTGAATTTTTTGCCGTTTTTATAGAAAATGGTACGGAACTGTTCACGCGAGTCGATTATGGCTTGTCCGGTGAAGATGGTGTTTTATGTCCATTGACGGTGAACACTCAACAATCAGTTGCTCCGCTTCTTGTTACGACCTCTATGAAAAAACACTTCTCTCCTACTCTTTTAGTACTCCATACTGGTTGTTCTTCTCCTGCTGCTGGAGTGCGCTCTGTTGTTCTACTACACTTCGGACTTGACAGAGGTGGGATACAGTTGTCTAGTTTTTTGTTGAATGTTTAGAAAACATATTAACAAAACGTTCTCTAGTCCCAAACAACGCAACACTTGTACTATGGGTAGTAGATAACTGACATACATACTTACTTATTCACATTATTTACATACTTTTCTTTTGTAAATAAATACTTAATATAAAAAATACTTATTAGTACAGTATATAGTACTTATTAGTAGAGTATATACTAATATATATATACAGCGTGTCGTTACCATCGCGACAATAAATGAACACACGTCTAACGCTACTTGCCAATAATCATAAAAAAATATTAACGTTAAACAAAATCCATAATTAAAAAAATATATTTTCCAAACAAACTAATTAAGTAAAAAAGAAATAAAATTTGTAACATCCTATACAACTCGCGCCACAGCGTCGCATTACAAGCCTCTTCTTCTAACAGTATGTTTTGTCTCTTTTAAATTCATTCAACCCATTCATATGCTTTTTGACCTTTACAAATGAACTTTACGTTACGCTTTTATAGGTAAGGGTGTTCTAAAATTCTTTGTTTTGGAAAATGTAATAACTCTGTAAATATTGTTGTTTAAAGAATTTAAATGTTTAATACAACTTTAAAAAGTTATCCCCTATATGTGTGTTCATTCATTGTCGCGATGGTAACGACACGCTTTATATATATATATATATATATATATATCAATACCCGGGAAAAAATCCTGTTTATCACACAATATTTTTCCAGTAGTGGGCGTCGAACCCACATCGTCTGGCGCAAGAGGTTGGTTCACTACCTACTCAATCTGCGCCAATCGGTTCGTTAAATGTAATACGTCAATTCTAGAGCCATTTGTTCAGAACTCCTGCACTTCCCGTCAGTGGTGGCCCATAAGCACAACAAACACGCATATACACCGAGCTTTATATTATCTACGAGTTATTATACATTATCTACGTTTCGAAAGTTCAGTTAACAATACAACTTTTGAAGTGAAAACTTCTTTGGGCGCATTGAGCATTTTTGGGTGAACAAAAACCATGGAACTCGTGTCATCATCATACAAAATACGCTTACCATCACCGCCGTGCCGTAACGCGTTTCCGTTGCATTGGCATCAGCCAGTGTTAGGTTGCCTCTTACGCGACTAAACAAAAATAAAATAGAACATTACTTATATCCGTGTAGAGAAGCTAAAAAAAACATTTCTTTTGAACTAAAAAAGGTTTTGCCATTTGATTTTGACGACCGATTGGCGTAGTGGTTAGTGGACCCGTCTCCTGCCGCCAGAGGGTATGGGTTCGATCCACTACTTGGAAAATATTGTATGATGAACATAGTAGTATCTGGGTGTCTATATATCTATAACATGTATTTATTTACAAAAGAAAAGTATGTATAAGTATGTTTATTACTTACCTATTATACATAGTATAAGTTGCGATTAGTTTGGGACTAGATAACTTTGTGTCAAAATATGTCCCGAAATATTTATTTATTTATTGCGATATAGTTATACGACTATTCTAGACCATTACGGGCCAAGTTCATTAGACTGTGATATGTGCTATAGTAGACTTTGAATAGATCGAAGCACCGCAGATCCATCCGGTCTATTGCAGAAAGGCGTACGAGCAGGAGACGGACAGCTGACGCACGCCCTCAGGGTGACCTTCAAATGCTGCGAACACAATTACTCGTGAGCAATTGACACGGTCAAATATATCTTAGACAGAATAGATTTGGAAAGACAAGTGGTAGCGCCAAGCGATAGTCTTCGTTGTTGCACGAATGGGCAGGTCCGTCCGGAGATTTGCCACGACCTCGCAGAAGGAAGTGTTAGAGTTTTGGGTTTCGTCCGGTGAGTGAGGTGACAGAAACAAAAACACAAAAAAAAGTGTCTGCGTGTAACCTTTACGCGCGATTGAAGTAAAACCTCTTTGGTGTTGACGGCATATATCACTGAAATGATTAAATATTTAGTAACGTCATAAGAATATGTCATATTTTTAAAATTATTTTTTTTTAATATTTTTATTTCCGTCAGAAAAAGTGTTACTTCCGTCAGAAAAAATCTGAGTTACTCCCAGTCGCGCCTAAAGAAGTTTTACTTCAAAAACAATTCGCACCCTGCGTAGAACAACGTGACATCTGCAAAATTTTAATTGTTCAGGACGGACGATTCAAATAATATTTTTTTTATACTGGTTATAATTTTCTTATACATAACAGTTGCTATTACAATTTTGGAGGTTGGTTGTTTTTGTTATATGATTAGGTATATAAACAAACAGTATACTCTTTGAATAAATAATTATATAAATTTAGGAAATAAGAGGTTTCATGTGTAATAGTGACGTTTTCTTACGGAAAATGGCAAAAACTAATGGGTCACAAGATCACATATACACGTTTATATAACGTTGTTGAACGGAACATTCCAAAAAATAACAGGTCACACGTTCATTTATAACGTTGTTCTACTAAAAACTCAGAAAATATGTATGACATAAACGTATGTAGCACTGTTTCTAACGAAATATCCATAAAAAGTGGGTGACTGTGCAATAATTATCAATTGACTCTAATAGAATATAATAAACACTCGTCTATTACATTAGTAAGGTTAGTCTAGTCAGTGTATAAACATACGTATGTCCTTGTACTGGGGAGTACAAATCAGATAGAACGTTGTTCTATTCTGAATCTTAATATCTATAAGTCAGAAGAAAAAAATTTAAAAATATTATCTAAAAGCATAGACAGTAATTAAGGCTACCGGCGATAAAATCAAATTCGTTCTATGTGACCACAGATCATTATTCTACGCACGGTGTGAATTATAAGAGATAGAGGTCTGCCGTTGTGTGCACATAACGTAAAAACTACTGGATAGATTTCAAATAATTCTTCTAAGTTGTTGTTTAGACACTTGGCTCTTAATTAAAAAAATAACCAAAAATGTGAAATTTTATTCCCTGTGAGTAATCATTGCGAAAATACATTAAATGCCAGCAACAGTCTTAACTTCCAATAACTTATAAATAGGTCACAACGAACTGTACTAATAAATTATTTATAAATAATTAATTAGATTAAACATGTACAAGAATTATAACAATAATCCGAGTTATTTAATTAAACCGTTATCAATTGCATTTAATGTCTTTTTTTTTTCACAAAGGAAGTGTACTGGCACAGGGGATAATTTTTTTGTATTGCTACGCTAAGGAAGTATAACTATGCTACGCAGACACGTTTTTCTTGTCTCATTTGTTACTGGCGAAATGTACTTTATATTTCGCCAGTAACACGAGTCTTATAAAATTATGTTACGGTCGTAGGGCCACGCAGCAGCCTCGGCTGTTGCACGAATGGGTAGGCTCGTCCTGGTAAGTCCCACGACCTCACAGACGACCGGCGTAAAGTAGAAGTATAATACTTTCGCGTTTCGTCTGTTGAGTGAGGTAGCCGGAGCCCAATTTTCAAAAGGTTTTCAACGCATCTGTAACCCTCGGGTGTAGCAGATGTCCATGGGCGGCGGTATTTACTTAACATCGTTATACCGTTATCGTATCGAACCGTCTGCTCGTTTGGCAACTTTTCACATAAAAAATAAATAATAATAATGGACATCACTCAGCTAGGAAAACCTAGTTGAGTGACGCTAAAAATAATTTCAAACAACTTAAAGTACATTTCTTGGTTTCATTATAAACGACGAACGCCAGATCTGATGCGTCCGACATGATGCAGCCTCCGTGGTCCTGCTGTGGCGTGATGTGGTTCCCAGATAACTGCACCGCCGACCGAATCTTTGGACAGGTGATTTAATTCTAGCGAGGTAGAAATTCTCACAGATATTTAAGATAAGGTGTAAATGACGAAGAGAGTTGTCCAATCATGTCTAATTTCAAGGTGAAGGTTGCCTTCCACTGGTCGCTATTGCGACTGATAAACGTCAATGTAATCCTTTAAAACAAATCTTCACTGGCTTAGGTATTTAAGGTTAGGTAAGGGCGTCACGTAACAAATCATCCAATCCTCAAATGGTTTTTGGCCCTATCACAATGAATACTTATTTAGGCACATGATTAGATCTCACATTGTACAGTAAATTTCATTACACTTATAGTGAATAATAAATATATGATAACAATTTAAATATGAGAACCAATTATAAACACGCAACAAAGACTACAGAGTATTACACGGTTTTAAAAATATTACCAAAATATTTGAAACATAAGCTTGCACACATTGACAATTAAAGAAATATAAAGTACAATACTCTGTTTACGTATTTACGTAAACAAGGCACAAAATATGCGTATCTCTTATCCTTTAAACGAGCAATTCTTGTATATATACATATAATCGGAATCTAGGAAACAGCTCCAGCGATTTTCATGAAATTTAGTATGTGCGTAGATTCGAGGGTGAAAAATCGATCTAGCTAGGTTTCATTTTTAAAAAAATATCCTTTTATCCCTGTTTTCAGGGAATGATAAAATATCATTCGAATATGACGGTAAATTTCGCCGCAAACACAAATGTTATAATGGCTCGGTCGGTTATCGGCGGCCCCAAACGGCCGTGTTTGTATAACGATCATTTACACACTTATTTTTTCTATACCAGATCATTTTCTTTATTTTTTATTTACAAAATAAATGATTTACCAAAAAAAAAAAAACGAGCAAAGCTCGGTCCTCCAGGTACTGTTATTAATTGTCCTTAACTAACTACCACTTTACTTCTGATTCTAACACAAAAAACGCTCGATAACTTATTAGAGGATTTCCATGAAAAGTTATTATCAGTACACTTATGGCTAAAGCCTATTATACTATTGCCGAATATCTTGACGACGCCAATGTGTGGGGTTAATACTGTTGATACTCACGTAGGCTAAAACAAGACTATTGTACCTGTACTATTATATTGTAAACTGATTTTTTAAAAAAGAGCAACTGTTGAGTTTCTTGCCGGCTTCTTCTCAACAGAAACTGCTTTCCGAACCGGTGGTAACTTACGAACGTGTTAATTTCTTGTAAAATTTTGACGTTTCATAAGAACGCGCAAGCGTCTATGTGAATAAAGATATTTTATTATTATTATTATCAACGTAAACAAAATTCTATACAGAGGGCATTAGGGCATAGTCCACCACGCGACCCTCTGATGATTGGCGGACTTCACATGTCTTCGGAATATTTTATTCATCATTTCCAAAATATGTCACGATGCTTCCCTTCATCTTTAAGTACTTTATAAGCCAGCACTTAAAAATAACGGAATGGCGGACTTCACATATCTTCGAAATATTTTTTTTGTTATTACTTTGAAAATATGCAGGTTTTATAAATGAAACTAATTTTACGGATTTATCGCGTTTATTTTTAATTTTAATTCCCGACGTTTCGAACCCTTTACAGCGTTCATGGTCACGGGACAGACTGAGGTGTTAGACGTCTGATTGTTATAGTTAACCCGGGCTACCGTCAGTTTTTGAATTATTAATTTTGTGTCCGATCTATGCAGAGGGAGCTAATTGTATCTTGTCTTGCAGTAGTGGTTCGTTTGGGCTTAGATTTAATTTTATTGATGACAGGATCCCAAGCTGATGGTAGTACCCAACCTTCTTCTCTATTGAAATTAGGGTGTTTTTTAATTTCAATAGCCTCGCGAATCATCCTTGGGAGGAATCGGTGTTCTTTTGCAAGGATCTGTGGTTTGTCAAACCTGATGTAGTGGTTGGGCCTATTCAAAATGTGCTCACAAACTGCAGACTTGTTCGATCTATTGTGTTTTTATGTCAGCTATATGTTCTTTCACGCGGGTTTTTATTGCTCTTTTCGTTTGACCTATGTAAGAGAGCCCACATTCACAGTCAAGTTTGTACACTCCTGGATCTTGCAGAGGGATATTACACTTGACAGATGGTAAAAAACTGACTAATCTTCTTCAGCGGCTTGTAGAATGTATTAATTGAAGCCTGCTTTAAGATATAGCCAATCTTGTCGGTGACTCCTCTGACGTATGGTAGAACAGCAGGTACTCGCTCTACTGTGGCTGGTTTCACTCGGTCACTGTGACGTAGGCGCGGTGCTCGAAGCTTGTTGTCATGCAGAACTTGCTTGACATGTTGAAGCTCAGCGGCCAGGTGTTGTTTGTCACAGATCCCTTGTGCTCTCTGAAACAAAGATTTACCCACGGTAGCTAACTGGGATGGATGGTGGTGAGAATCACCGTTTAGGTATCTATTTGTATGGGTTGCCTTCCTATACACAGTGTGACTTACAGTGTTATTTGGATTGCGGATGACCAAAACATCTAAGAAAGCTAAAGAGTTATTATGCTCTAATTCCATAGTGAATTGTATTTTGGAATTTACTGAGTTAAGGTGATTTAGAAATGCATTAACTTTACTTGTTGGTAAAATGGTGAAGGTGTCATCTACATACCTCTTGTAAAACCTTGGATAAATGGGAGCTGTGCGAAGGGCCTTCTCCTCAAAGTCTTCCATAAATATGTCAGCGGCAATGGGAGATACTGGGCAGCCCATTGCTACACCATCTATCTGTATGTAAAATTCCTCCTTCCAAAGCAAATAGCCGGATGTTAGGCAATGTTTAAGTAGTAATGCATACTCTTCCGGCATGTTATTCTCTTTTAGCTTTCTTGTTACAATTGAGATGCAGTCTTCTAATGGTAGGCATGTAAATAAAGACTGTACATCAAAACTGACCATTGTTTTCATTGTCAGCAAGACATAGTTTGTTTTATCTCACTAACAAAATGGTAAGAATCCTTTGTGTATGCCCTTGTGTGTCCTCTCAGCGGTGAGAGAATTCGTACTAGATGTTGAGCCAGTCTGTAAGTTGGTGAGTCGATCTGGCTTACAATAGGGCGTAATGGTATGTCTGGTTTGTGTATTTTAGGCAACCCATACAGTTTAGGGGGTTTAGCACATGAAGGTGTCATCGATTTCACGTCTAGATTTAATTTTTCGGAGTATTTTTTAATGAGATCGCTAGTTAATTTAAGCGTTTTAGTGGTTGGGTCTGTTTTGACCTTTTTATACGTGCTTACATCCGACAACAGTTCTTGTATTTTCAAATTATAATCCGACGTTTTCATAACCACCGTAGCATTTCCTTTATCTGCGCGGAGAACAGTTAAATCTTTGTTGTTGCGTAAGCTCTTTAACGCGTTAAATTCATCTTTAGGGAGGTTAGACTTCGGTACCGAACTTCGACGTAATAAGGACGAAATATCTTGTCGTATACCTTCTAAATCTTCCTTACCGATGTTATTTTTATATAGACAGTCCTCGACACTACAGATTATTTCTTCGTACGGGATTTTTCGCGGCGTTATTGCGTAATTTAAACCTTTCGATAACACCTTCATAGTAGATTCATCCAGTGTGAATTAAAATTAAAAATAAACGCGATAAATCCGTAAAATTAGTTTCATTTATAATGTGTAATCGCGTAAATACAAGAAATTATTAAATATGCAGGTTTCCTCACGATGTTTTCGTTCACGTGATAATTCAGCACTTAAAATTAACAATTTCTTTGGTGGCCGGCACCGGGGATCGAACTCATGTTGCTCCAGTATATTGAGTTAAAAGCGAGCGCCCGGACAATGAACTAGCACTTATCATTTATTTATTTTATTTACGGTACTTGAGAAGGTGGCAAAAGAGCTGTTCGCCTGATGTTAACTGATAACCGTCGCCCACTGAGGGTTGCAGATGCGTTGCCACCTTATTATAAAAATGGCTCCGGCTACCTCACTCACCAGACGAAACACAAAAGTGTAAACTTTCAGTTCACGCCCGTCTTCTCTGAGGTCCTGGTACTTCCCCGGACGGACATGCCCATTGGTGCAACAGAGAAGACCTGGCCCTACCACAGTTAATTTAAATAAATGGAAGATTTTCTCGTCTGCCACCGTCCTTTTTCTTTAATGGTTGGAAATGTTGGCGTGAATCTTAACTTTAGCGTTTCGTCTAGTGAGAATAAAGTTCAAACTCTGCAGGATTGCAAACAGACAATATCCGCGTGGTGGACAAACTACCGGGCGGCCGTATATCTGTCTCTGTCGGCGCTGCACATCGTGTTGTTGTCCTGCTCGCTCGTACGCCGATCGGACAGTGCGTCCCGTTCGCGCAGCTAGCGACAGAGGCGGAGTGGTAAGTGAAATAGTTTCGTGTGATGACGACTTGACGAGTGCAATGATCGAGTTGTCGTTTTTTGAATTTAGAATTAAATGATGTTGCCATGATGTTGCCATATAGAATTTAATGATGTTGCCATGGCGACCGGTAACAACTTTTTGAGATTTACCTAAATTAAACAACATAAAATGTTTATAGTCATCTTTCTTTTATGACGCTAAAGAGATGCGTAAATAAGTGAGTACACACACAAGTTTTTTTTAGATTCGGAACTGCATTGCCCAATTCTTGGTCTGGTTTTTAACTTTACACGTACAATAATCAAATTTCAACATTATAAATATTGGAGGCTGATATTGATACATTTACATTTTTGAGGTTATACTTCTATTGACGCGTTTCATAGAAATGAGAGCGACTGATTTTTACGATACGCGCCGCAAAATGGCGTTACCACAGCACGTACATAACTTCTTGACGTCTTAAAACTCTTAGATGTTTATTCAAACCATTAACTAAGTACAGCATGTAACGTGTTTCTTTTCACAAAAAAAAAAGCTTTTATGCTTTTACACGTGATAAACGCTAAAGAAATATAACTTCTTACGAAAGAACATGAGTGTGTGCACTTACAGACCCACATTTTTTTCTCATATTGAGTGTTGTGTACATCGTTCTTGATGTCTCGAAATACACATCTTTCTACTAGATAGAAAATCTAGTCTCAAACAGCGCAAAGGTAACGCTTCCCTAATTTCGACGTCCGTTGTAGATGCTCCGCCACCTGTGGGAAGGTGCAACATGCGGGTGTCCCCTGCCTCTGACCCCGACGATGACCTCCTGATGATTGTTATGGGCAGGGGGCGAGTGGGGTGGACGGGGAAGGCACCCGCCGCGGAAGCAGGCACAGTGAGGTAGATAGGGAATAAAGGGACCCTTGTAAGGACCTATTCACGAAGAATGGGACCTATTTACACGACTGTGAACCTGAGAGATATTTTTATAACATTAAATAAATAGGAATAAATATTTCAGAACATTTGCACAACGTTATCTAGTCCAAAATAAAGCAATGATTGTACTAGGATACTAGGTTACTGATAAACATACAAACACTTGCACTTCTTTTGTAAATAAATACATATTAGTGATATGTAAATAAACGTCCAGTAAGTAATAAAACACTATGTTCATCACACAATATTTTTCCAATAGTGGGAATCGAAACCACGTGCCCTTTGCCGTATGAAATCCACTACGCCATACGGGTCGTCATATAGTAGTCATTATAGTTCGGAACACTGAAATCATCACCCTATAAATGCTAAGAAAAGCTTTCATTAAGTTTAAAATTTCCGCTATAAAATAAAAAGTAAAGTATCAGCCTAAACATGTCCCACTGCTGGGCAAAGGCCTCCTCTACAAAGGGTATCAGGGCATAGTCCACCACGCGGCCCCACCCCGGATTGGCGGACTTGACACATCTTCGAAATATTATTTTTTAATTTATTCGAAAAATATGCAGCTTTTTTTTTTTTTTATATATTTTAGGACACATTTTTACAAAAATTTCTCTAGTCCCAAACTAAGCAAAGCTTGTACTATGGGTACTAGAAAACTGATAAACATATATAAACATACTTTTCTTTTGTAAATAAATACATATTATACATATATTAACACCCAGACACTAGCAAAATACTATGTTCATCACACAAAATTTATCCAGTAGTGGGGATCGAACCCACACCCTCTGGCGCAGGAGGCAGGTACACTACCCACAACGCCATTCGGGTCGTCGTCGTTTTCCTCACGATGTTTTCCTCCACCGCCGAGCAAGTGATAATTCAGCACTTAAAATTAACAATTTCATTGGTGCCGGCACCGGGGATCGAACTGAGGTGGCTCGTGTATATTGAATTACAGGAGAGCGCCCGGACACTGAGCCATCCCGGCTCGGCTTCCATAAGTTAATTCGAACTATCTCCGATTAATTTTAAAACACTTCCCTATACGTACTTCCCTGGTGGGATAATCTTGTGACAGAGATTATTCCACCAGTGCAGTCAGTCAACCCAACTAGTGGTAGTGCCATGCTGCGCACCTTCGGGTAGCAGCCGAATTGGGCCGGCACGCCCGGGGAAGAACCACTCTCTCACTAGAAACCGACGTCAAGTGGCAGCTATGCTGTCGCGTTTCGTTTGGTCTGTGAGAGTCCCGGACGCCCTCTCCCCATTCCTCCCCCATAATGTCTGCGCGAAATTTAAATTTTCTACCCCAGGAGGGTACCACCAGCATACAGCGCGGTGGAGAATCCCTCTCTGGACGTCCACACGCAGGCCGTACAACGTCTGAGCGTGAATGCCCAGGCTGCCCTTCGTATTCTGGGGGGGGGGGGGCAATTTTGCGCTCTCTACACCTGTTCGGGGCAAACGGAGCAGGCAACATAAGGCCACCTCTTCCTCGCATGCTGTGGACTTTTGCAACATAAGGGGGCTAAATTCCAACTTAAACGCCGTCCACTTCCATCTTGAGACGGCGAAGCCGGCCTTGCTCTTCCTTACCGAGACGCAGATATCTTCTCCAGCTGACACCTCATTCCTCTCCTACCCGGGGTACAAACTGGAACATTCCTTTGTGCCGCGGGCTGGGGTGTGCGTGTACGTCAGAGAGGATATATGCTCTCGTCGCCTCGATGCTCTTGAAGGACGGGACCTATCCATACTCTGGCTACGCGTAGACTGCGACGACCATCCGCGAATCTACGCGTGTCTGTATAGGTCCCATAGCGGTAATGCCGAAACTGACCGACTCTTTGAGCACATACAAATGGCTACAGATTCCGTGTTGCAGCAGATCCCATCCGCGGAGATCGTAATTCTCGGTGACTTTAACGCTCATCACGCCGAGTGGCTTAGATCTCGTACCACCGACCACGCGGGGAGATCTGCTCACGATTTCGCATTGACATATGATCTGACACAACTGGTTACCTCGCCAACGCGAATCCCAGATGTGGAGGATCATACACCTTCCCTGTTGGACCTTCTGTTGACCTCTCATCCGGACGGATACTTGGTTTCCGTCGATCCTCCCCTCGGCTCGTCGGACCACTGTCTTGTCCGGAGCACAGTGCCAATAACGCGCTTAACGCGGCCTCACTTTGCGGGCTGCCGCCGCGTATGGCATTATAGGTCAGCAGATTGGGATGGGATGCGGTCATTCTTTGCGTCCTACCCATGGGGGCAGATTTGCTTCGCGCCGGATGATCCAGACGTCGTTGCTGACTCAGTGACTGATGTGGTGCTTCAAGGTATGGAACTCTTTATTCCGTTCTCTGCAGTGCCCATTGGTGGCAAGTCGCAGCCTTGGTTTGGTCGCTCCTGTAAGTTGGCATTACGCCGAAAGCGGGAATGCTACCAGGCTTGGGCTGACGCTTCGTCGTCTAGTGATGTAAAAACCAGCGCTTTAAAAAAGACGTATAACTCTGCCTCTAGGTCCTTCAAAAGTGTTATTGCTAAGGCGAAATCGGAACACATTGGCAGAATTGGCGAGAGATTGGCGCGTCTCCCAACGGGAACACGTGCGTTTTGGTCTCTCGCCAAAGCTGTCTTGGGAAATTTCTGTAAGCCTTCTTTTCCACCCCTGCACACGGAGGATGACTCGCTGGCCCATGCCGCGAAGGAGAAGGCCGATCTTCTGGGCTCTCTCTTCGCGTCCAACTCGACTTTGGATGACCGAGGAAAATTACCACCAACATTCCCGCGTTGCGATGCTACGATGCCGGAGGTTCAATTTCGGCAAAGTGCAGTTCGCAGAGCACTCTTTTCCTTGGACATTCATAAGTCGAGTGGGCCCGATGGCATCCCTCCGATCGTGTTGAAGACATGTGCTCCAGAGTTGGCACCGGTTTTGACGCGTCTTTTCCGGCTCTCCTATACTCTAGGCGTATTCCCGAAAACCTGGAAGGCCGCTTTAGTGCACCCGATCCCTAAGAAAGGCAACAGCTCGGATCCGTCCAACTACAGACCTATAGCCATCACCTCCTTGCTCTCCAAGATAATGGAGACCATCATTAACTGCCAGCTCCTGCGGTACCTAGAGGAGCACCAGCTGATTAGCGACCGCCAGTACGGCTTTCGTCGAGGTCGCTCAGCCGGTGATCTTCTGGTTTACCTGACACACAGATGGGCAGAAGCAGTTGAGAGCAAGGGGGAGGCGCTTGCAGCCAGTCTGGACGTAGCGAAAGCCTTTGATCGGGTGTGGCACAAAGCACTTCTTTCGAAGCTGCCTTCCTATGGGCTTCCCGGGAAGTTATGCAACTGGATCACTAGCTTTTTGGCAGATCGGAGCATCAAAGTCGTCGTCGACGGTGCATGCTCTGATCCTAAATTTGTCAATGCTAGTGTTCCACAAGGCTGCGTACTGTCCCCCACTTTGTTTCTTCTGCATATCAATGATATGTTGCAAATCAGCAGCGTTCATTGCTATGCGGATGATAGCACTGTGGATGTGTCGTACACAGGCCGTGCTAACATTTCTCGGGAAAACGTCTACGAGAGCCGGAACAAACTTGTGTCTGAAGTCGAAACTTTGTTAACAAAAGTCTCAGACTGGGGTCGACTAAATTTAGTCCAATTCAACCCCGATAAGACACAAGTTTGCGCGTTAACCGCTAAAAAGTCCCCATTTGTCGTGACTCCTCATTTTAGAACACTCCCCTGTCTGTCACAGCTAGTATCGGAATACTTGGCGTCGAAATCTCGAGCAATGTCCAGTTCCGCGGTCAATTGGAAAGTAAGGCCAAATTGGCCTCAAAGAAGCTCGGTGTGCTCAGCAAGGCGAGACAGTACTTCACGTCGGCTCAACGCCTAAACCTTTATAAGGCGCAAATTCGGCCACACATGGTGTACTGCTCTCACCTCTGGGCGGGAGCCCCCTATTACCAGCTTCTTCCATTTGACCGCATCCAACGTAGGGCAGCTAGGGTTATCGACGATCAAGGTCTTTCCGATCAGCTTGATCCTTTGGCTATGCGTAGAGATGTTGGGTCACTCTGCATCTTCTACCGCATCTATCACGGGGAGTGTTCCGAGGAATTGTTTGGATTGATCCCAGCGGCTGAATTTCACCATCGGACATCGCGCCAAAACCAAAAATTTCATCCACACCACCTCGATGTCCAGCGTTCCACAACAGCGCGATTTTCAAGACATTTCCTGCCTCGCACAACCACTCTGTGGAACCAGCTGCCGCCGGCGGTCTTTCCGAACCGTTACGACCTGGGAACCTTCAAGAAGAGAGCGTACTCATTCCTAAAAGGCCGGCAACGCATTTGTAAGCCCTCGGGTGTTGCAGATGTCCATGGGCGGCGGTGATCACTTACCATCAGGTGAGCCTCCTGCTCGTTTGCTGCTTTTTTCCCATAAAAAAAAAAAAAAAAAAAAACGTAAAAAGCCACGTCATTGAAGACATTTTTTTTTGTAAATAAATGTATTTTTCTTTGTTTCTTTCTTTTTTCAATGCGCGACATGAATGGGAGACGATTATTAACCCTTAACATACTATTTAACAAGTAACAAAGTGCACCGCAACTGAAATGGTAATAATGATTTAAATTATTAAATTTATAAAGTTATCCGCTTCATAAGGGTGACATGTGGTTTTTCGTTCTAGAATTTAAATGTAATTAAGTTTATCACATTATCTTAGTAATGAGATGGTGTATTACGTCATAAATATACTCTTTACAATCTTTTATTATTTACTAAGTTACTAAAATAAGTCATGTATTTTCATCACTGCCATTTGGTAATTTTTGTAACATATCAAATATACATACAACAAAAGTACAAAAAGATGTTTCATTTAAAATCCTACGTTTTTAGGGTTCCGTACCCAAAGGGTAAAACGGG